CATGTCTGCCTTCCTCACGTGGGTCTTTTTTGTTGTTAAAAAAAATTTTTTTTTTTTCAGAGAGGAAGAGAAACCCCAATGATGAGAATCATTGAGCAGCTTCCTCCTGCATGCCCCCTATTGGGGACCGAGCTTGCAACCCAGGCCTGTGCCCCGACCGGAATCGAACCGTGACCTCTTGGTTCACAGGTCGACACTCAACCATGAGCCAAGCCAGCAGGGCCTCACTTGGGTCTTGTTGCTCTTTCTGGTCGCACCATGTGGGGCAAATAGGAGGTGCGCATTCAGTGTTTAATGAAGTGAACTCAGCTGTCTGCTGCCCACCTGCACCGACTCCAGGACTTCTCTCTTAACATCCCTTCCAGCCAGGGCCCCGTACCCGGAGATGGGAGACGAGGGCATGGCCTGGTCCAGGGAGAACAAAAGGTGCCAGAGACCTGCTGGGCCTGCGTGGAAGTCCGAGTGGTGCTGGGAACTCCGGTTAAGACTCCTGTGCAAGGTCGCTGGTCCCACTGGGGTGGGTTTCCTGCTCCAGGTGCTAGTCACTGTCCGGGGCTGAGGCCTGGCAGGTCCCCATCCCCACTGTAGGGGGATGGGCCTTCTTCGTGTCACCAAACTTGAGTGGTCCCACGGGGATCTTCTAGTTAGGGGTGTCGAACTCAATCAGAGAAGGGGCCAAAATCTAAAATCCAGCCTAAATCGCGGGCTGAATGGTTTACTGAACAGTCATAAACTGTCATTGTGATGGAAAAGCAGCGGAGTGCAGTGATGACAGCGCGGTGTGGGCCACATTGCAAGGCCTGGCGGGACGGATTTGGCCCGTGGGCCTTGTGTTTGACACATGTGTTCTAGATCTTTGGGGACAAGGAGGGTAAACCAGGGTGGGGACGTGAGCAGGGATTTGAGGTTCCTGGAAAGGCCTGGGAGGGTGTCACCATGTGGGGTGGGGGTGGGTGGGGCTTGTTTTCAAGCAGTTCGGTGGCGCCTTCGTCTGTGTCTCGGTTCATGGAATTTTTCCATCCCAGGCCGCTCTGCCAGGCCAATGATAAGGCTGGCTGCTGTGTGTTTGTTTCTGTGTTGGAAAAACTCAGCTCTTCCAGGCAGATGTCAGCAGCCTTTCTCCCCAGCCAGGGGGTAGCCTCCCAGCCACAGCTGCTTGCATTCTAGCACTTGCCCTGCAGCAGCGTCCTGGGCCTGGGCCTGGGCTGCCCCAGACCAGCATGAGTGGCCCGGATGACCTAAGCCTATCCCTGCTCCCCCCCCGGCCCACCACACCTCCCCCCCCCCTCCCCCCCCCCCCCCCCCGTCTCTCTTCTGGGTCTCTGCCTCGTTCCTCTCATTCCTGCTTCTTCCTCTCCCTCCTCCTTTCTCCCTTATCCGCTCCATCTATCTTTCCCTTCCTTTCCATCCTTCCCTCCTCCCCTACCACCCTCTCTCCTTTCCTCACTCCCATTTCACCCCTGACTCCTCCCCCGCCTCTGGCAGAGGGTGCAGGGAAAGGCCCCAACTGCTTTAAGTGGCTGCTGAAGCTCTGAGCTTCCAAGGAAAATAAAACCCAAGTTACTCGAGGCCACCCTGGTCCATGCCTTACCACCGCCCCGCGGGGCTGCCTGGTTCCAGATCCTCTCTGCAGTGGGGAGGGGGGGGGGAAGGAAGGAAGCCGGGATCACACTGTTTACAAGGCCATGGAAGCAGCTTAGAGAACCAGTGGCAGCAGTTCTTTGAACCCCTGCTCATCCCCCAACCCTGCTGAACGGAGGCAGGCCTGTGAGAGCAAATGGCGAGTCCAGTTGGAGAGCGGCCAGGCCTTCGTGGAGGCCTAGGTTACATGTGTCAAACACAAGGCCCGTGGGCCAAATCCGTCCCGCCAGGCCTTGCAATGTGGCCCGCACCGCGCTGTCATCACTGCACTCCGCTGCGTTTCCATCACAATGACAGTTTATGACTGTTCAGTAAACCATTCAGCCCGCGATTTAGGCTGGATTTTAGATTTTGGCCCCTTCTCTGATTGAGTTCGACACCCCTAGCCTAGGCTGTCCCTGAGACTGGTTCCCTGCCTGGCTGTCCGGTGGGGGTGGTGCTAGTCCAGTGTCCCGCCCGCTGCCATGGCCGGAGCTGGCTCATCCTCACTGTCTTCTGCCGGAGACTCCTCAGGCCCTCGGACCCGAGCTGGGTAAGCCTTGCAGCAGGAGGAGGGAAGCTCAGCAGCGCAGGCTCACCCTCACAGATGGGAATCAGGAGGGGGAGAGGGTCCCAGAGTCTGTTTGGAGTCAGCAGCCCGTAAGGAGGAAACTGTCGATTCTGAGAGAGAAGCAGAGACCGCAGCCCTGCAGCTCCAGGCCCCCCAGACCTAGTGGGCAGGCCCCCCTTTAACATGAGCCAGACTGTTTCCAGAAGATGCTGGTCACGGACCTGGCTGCCGCATGGACTCCTCCCCGATGGGGGTGACTGGCGGAGCCCCCTGAGCCCAGCTTCTGCTCCTCCTTCGGGCCTCAGAGGCCTCTCCGCCAGGGGAGGGTGTACTCACAACCCACCCTGTGTCTCAGGCGCTTTGTGGACATTCCTAGTTTATCTACCCATAACTGTGAGTGATGTCATCTCCATTTTACAAATGAGGAAACTGAGGCACGGTGTGTCAGTCCACCCCCACACAGGCACCACACAGGCACCAGAGTCATACCTTTACAATGTCCGTGGGGCATCGGCCTGCAGACTGAAGGGTCCCAGGTTCAATTCTGGTCAAGGGCATGTACCTTGGTTGTGGGCACATCCCCAGGAGGAGGTGTGCAGGAGGCAGCAGATTGATGTTTCTCTCTCATCAATGTTTCTAACTCTCTACCCCTCTCCTTTCCTCTCTGTGAAAAATCAATAAAATACATTTTCTAAAAAAATTTAAATGCCAGTGGGCCTTTCCCTTTAAACCCGTGTCCACGGAGCCCCGAGGGAAAGCCAGGCTCCTCAGGGTGGCCCTGAGCAGGTTCGGGGCTGGCTCCTCCCCTTCCTCTCGCTGGCTCCCCACTTCCTCCTGCTGCCTTCCAATCACACAAACACTAGGTGTTCCTCCCACGTGGAGGCTGGTGCTGTGCACGTGGGTGGGATGCCGCCCAGGCCTCCATTGCTGGTGCCAATTCTCCCCTCACCTGCCAAACCCCAGCCTGGAGTCACTGCTCCAGGCCCTTTCCCGACCCGTCCAGGTTGCACTAAGCACCCATCCTGCCACACGGAGACCCTGTGTGACACCACATGTGAGCTGCACCCTGCTGTGGTCTCAGCACTCTGCCTTCTGCTGGAGGTGAGCTCCGTAGCAGGCAAGGCTCCTAGTTGCCTGGCAGCTGCGGGCACCCACTTTGCATCTGAGAACCGGGCAGCCCTTCATTTTCAGTGTCGTTAGGAGTCAGAGAGGGGTATTTAAGCGGCCTTCAGGTACCTGGGGTCTTACAAGGTCCCTCTGGTCTCGGCCTTGGTGCATTCCCCCCCCCCCCCCATCCCCCCGGAGGCGGAATGGGCAGCTCCGAGAAGCTGAGATGGTGCAGGCGCCGTGTCCTGCGCTGCCCTGCACAGGATGGACTGAAGCCTCGGAGCGGGTCCCCCGCTGGGCTTTGCTCATGAGCTCCTGGAGCCTGGACCATGCATGTCATCCTCCAACAATCTGCACTTGGCCTTCAGGGCTCCCCTGGCGGCGTGCTGAGCCCCACCAAGCATGTGGGGCCCAGAAGCAGCTGCCGGGGGAAAACCACGGTGGGGCTTCCCTGCAGGGGATGACAGTCCCGAAGAGTTGGCTGGAGCTCCTGCGACAGGGCCGACCAGAGGTGGCCCCAGGCCCAGGGCCATGGAGGGAGCAGCTGGCTTCTGGAGCCTCAGAATCTGAACCCACAGGGCTTATGACCCACGGCAGGAGGCCCAAATGGCACGCAAGAAGCCACTTAGGCCTGATGCGAGCAAACCCCACCGCCCTCCCTCGGCCTGGAGAGGCCTGTCTCTCCACAGAGCAGCAGCAAGGAGGTGGCAGATGCGGGGCCCCAGCCTCCCCCCACTTCCGCCCCGTGGCCAGGCAGACTGCCCTCCAGATGCGGGGGCTCCGGGAAGCTGGGCAGGAAGGACTTCTGGGGTTATCTAGGGTCAAGCATGATGTCATCTTGATGCTTTGAAGCACACAGTAGGGCTTCTCATTTGTTTCCCTCCCCTGTTGGGGCTACGATCCTGTGTACTTCCTCCCCCGACGCCCTTAGCCAGGGGGAGCCCAGCTCTGGTTAAGGGGCCTGGAGGTTCTCAGGGGAAAGACTAAATGTGCACCAGCCTGACTGCCTGGCCCAGGCACCATGCTAGCTTCTGGACAGAATGAGGGAGGAGGCCCCATTTGACTCATAGCAATGCTCAAACTCAGTATTTCGGACGCAGCCTAGGTTTTGACCAGTGGCGGGTGGGGGAGTGGGGGGGGGGTTGGGGTGAGAGGGTAGGCACTTAGATGGCAGATTTGAGGTTTAAAAAGGTCCTTTTTGCAGAAACCGGTTTGGCTCAGTGGATAGAGCGTCGGCCTGCGGACTGGAAAATCCCAGGTTCGATTCCGGTCAAGGGCATGTACATTGGTTGCGGGCACATCCCCGGTGGGGGGTGTGCAAGGGGCAGCTGGTCGATGTTTCTCTCTCATCGATGTTTCTAACTCTCTATCCCTCTCTCTTCCTCCCTGTAAAAAAATCAATAAAATATATATAAAATAAATAAATAAAATAAAAAGGCCTTTTTTCCCTCCCCAAGTTCCGAGTCCCTTGTACAGCTTCCCAGCGGACAGGGGTGGGAGAAGAGAGGAATGGGAAGCAACCCTCCCAGCTGTTGGCCCCTTCCTTGGGCTTTTCCTTGAACTTGGGGAAAAGGCAGGAATCAGGAAGTGACCAGGCCTGCCTCCATTTCCCCATCCTTCTCCTCTCAGATCCTCACGTGCCTGCTGGTTCCCCTGCGGCCTTCCCCGGCCTCACACACAGCCAGCGAGAGACACCCAGACACAGACAGGAAGGCACGTTTATTGCACTTCTTAAAGGGGCAGGCCTTCCTCCCCTCGGGGCTGTGGACGTACAGGCCTGTGCTGATTGCATGGCCATTCCTGACCGGCTGGCTGGCGTCCCAGGACTGGTGGTGCCTCAGAGGGAGAGGGAAGGGGAAAGTCCCCGGGCAACGGCACCCCTGCCACCCACTCTCTTGCCCTGAGGCTCCTCCAGACCAGGAGCTGAAGGCAAACCAGACTCTGCGATGCCTGCGGCCGACCGAGTGTGTGGCCCTCAGAAACCAGAGGAGAGGGGAGAGGGCTGCTTGTTCAACAAGAAAACAAAACACCAAGGAGGAAGGAAGACTGAGATGAGGCCACTGGGCCCAGCACCCTGGGGAACCCCCGTGGGGCCTCCCTTCGGTTCCCTGAGGAGCGGAGCCCTGTAACCCGGGGAGGGGGCTGTCGGAGCCTCTCCCCCGGGCCCCGCAATGTTCGGCTGTGGGTGCCAGGGGACCGCGCGCGCCTGGCCACCGAGGAGCTGTGCCCGAGCCTGCATAGGGTGTCCGGTGGGTCCCCACAGACCGCGTGGTGCCCGCATTCAGGCAGGGAAGGTAATGCTGTGACAGCCCCAGCGGTCGGCCAGGAGGGAGGTAGGCTGAGGGTGGGATCAGGGAGATCCCTGGGCTGGTTCCCATGATTCTAATGCTTCAGGCCGCCTTTGCATCCATGGAGCTCAGGCGTCAGGGGCCAACTGCACCCGACTCAACCTGCAAGGAGAGGCACAGGTTAGCTCCTCCCACACGTGAGGGGCCTGGGAACCACTGCCCAGGCCACTCAGCGTCCGGCAGCTCCAAGGCTTTCGGGGCTCAGCTCTCCTGTCCCCCGAGAACTCTGGGGTTCTCGGCCCTGGCTGCACTAGTCACCGGGAAGCTTATAAAACCCCCACCCCGGGCCATGCCCAGAGCTTCTGGGGGGAGACCCCGGCGTCTGGGTTGTCCCAGGCTCTCCTGGTGAGCGCAGTGCAGCCGGGGTGAGGAGGGAGAGGAATTCAAAAGCCTTCTTTAGGCTTCCTGGCTGCAGCTTTGACTGAGGAAGTGAAAATTCACGAAAATAAAGCATTTTATCTGTAAATAGACGACATATCACAGCAAGAATAATTCATGTCGGCACTAAAATTAGAACTTCCTGCCCATCCGGCTGTGCTGGGAGAAGGCTTTCTGAGGAGCTGTGGGCTCTCCCCTTGGCGGGCATGTAAGAGATGGAGCCTCCCCTGGCTGGAATGGGACATGACTGATCCCCCCTCAACCCAAGGGGCCTCGGAGACTCTGGAGACGACCGCCAGCTCCTCTGGCCTCCCTGCCTCCTGACCTCCCTGCCTCTTTTCCAGCCTCCCTGCTCCCAGCCTCCCAGCCTCCCTGCCTCCCAGCCTCCCAGCCTCCTACCTTCCCAGCCTCCCTGCCTCTCACCCTCCCGGCCTCCCAGCCTCCCAACCTCTCAGCCTCTCTGCCTCCCTTCCTCCCAGCCTCCCAGCCTCCCTTCCTCCCAACCTCCCAGCCTCCCAGCCTCCCTTCCTCCCAGCCTCCCAACCTCCCAGCCTCCCAGCCTCCCTTCCTTCCAGCCACCCAACCTCCCAGCCTCCCAGCTTCTCTGCCTCCCAGCCTCCCTTCCTTCCAGCCACCCAACCTCCCAGCCTCCCAGCTTCTCTGCCTCCCAGCCTCCCAGCCTCCCTTCCTCCCAGCCTCCCAGCCTCCCTGCCTCAGAGATGAGGCAGTGCCACTCCGAGGCTGGGGGAAGTACCAGGCACAACCCACGCTTACGCCACGGTCTGCACGCCCCAGGTCTGACCGCACTGAGAACGGTCTTAGCATCAAGGCCGGATGCCTTCTCGAGTATGTCCCACAATTGCCCAGAATTAGATGGAATGCTCCTCTCGGAGGCACTGTGTTCTCCAGACTCCGGTGGAGCCGGGAAGCCTCCACCCGGCGAGGACGGTGGCTCTCCTGCGGACAGGCCGGAGCTCGGCCACCCGCCACCAAACCTGCGTGGGCAGGTGCCGGCGCCGAGGACCCAGCCCTCCCGCGCACAGCGGACTCCTCACCCTTCGATGATGCAGTTGTTGTCCTGGAGGTCGGAGGCCAGCAGCTTCATCTCCTTACAGAGCTCCTCCATGCTGTCCAGGCAGAGGCAAGAGCGGCCGCTGGGCCTGAGGCCGAAGGTGCCCTGACCGACCCCTTCCCTGGGAGGCCGGCCACCAAGCACTGGCCTCGGGCCCTAACTTTCACCCCCCCTCCACACACACACACACACACACACACACACGCACACACGCACACACACGGACATCCCTCTCGGGTACTTACTGGAAACTCAGGACCTAACTTTCATCCCCACTTACACACACATGCACGCACACACGCATGCACGCAAGCGCGCACATACACGCACGCGCACACACACAGACATCCCTCTCGGGTGCTTACTGGAGACCCAGGTCCTGCAGCTGAAGGCCCAGGTCCTCCGGGGCAGGACTGGAATACGGGGCTGTGGGGGCTGGGGAGGCCTGGGCCCCCTTCGCTCTGTCCTGAAGGAGCTGGAGAGACAGCCAGTCGAGGATCTGAGGGGAAACCACACTTTAGTCAGAAGGGAGGAGCCAGCTCTCCTGTGGGGAGGGCAGTGCCAGGGTAAGGCCGGAAAAGGGTAACAAAATGGCCCCAGCCCTCTTCTCCAAAAGCTGGGGCCCCTCCGGCGAGCCCCTCCTGCCCATCCTGGGAGCGCGGCCCCCCTCACTGTCCGCGTGGATGTCATGATCCTGGCTGCCAAGTTCTCCCCTGTGTCTAACCTACACCCCTGGTGACACCTGCGCCAGGAGCTGCAGGGAGTCGGGGGGGGGGGGGGGGAGGAGGGGAGGGAGAGGGAGCCCGTGTGGGGAGGGGAGCACCATGCAGCCTCTCCCGGAAGAGGCGCCCTCTGTTCCTGTTGGTAAAGCCTGCGGCCTCCCCCGCTGCCTGCACTGGCCTCTTGGCAGAGCTCAGATCAGAAGGTCAAGGAGAGGTCACACGGCCCCTCTCAGGAGTGGCCTGCGGCCTCCCAGGCAGGAGGAGGGGGAGGAAGAGGTCCCAGCTTTCCGGAGGCTCTGCCCTTGCTCTGACCTTCAGTCTGGATCACCCACTTTCTCCATCACCCCCTCAGGGCGCCTTTGGGGTCAGAGGCCTCCCGCCCGTCCCAGAGTGCTTGGGCTTGGTCCAGGCAGCTCTGCCCAGAGGCAGGGGAATGGCCGCGTGCCCCCAGAGCACCAGATGGACCGGGCGCCCCCCCCCCCACGCCCCCAGCGGTGCCCTGAAGCCCCCGCACCTTGCTGAGGCCCTCCTGCACCTCCCGGGCTTCGGCGCTGTAGGCAGCCACGGAGCGGGCCACCAGGCGCAGGTGGTTCCTGGCCTCCTGAACCAGCCTGGGGAGAGCAGACCAACCGTGAGGGCCAGGCTCGCGGGCTCTTACGGGCCACACCCAGCTGTTTGGGCCGCTGCACGGCCACCGAGGGGAGGCCTCCAGGCAACAGGCAGGCGTCCATGGGTCCAGCCAGTGCCTCCCCCAGTGCCTCTGCCCGTCTGGGTGCACCCTCAACTCTCCCCTGTCCCCCCATTCCCCTGTCCCCCTGTGCCCCTGTGCCCCTGTGAGAGTGGTAATGCTTTGACAGGCTGATGAGGGTCCCATCGCAACCACCCGGGAGCTGCAAACACCGAGCGCCAGGCAGGGTCACCCGGAGTGGGCAGGGGGAGCGCACGGCCAGGCCGGCTCCAGAGTGGGAGCTTCATGTGGGAACTCCTGAGGCTCCCGTTCCCGAGAAAACCAAGGTCAAGGCTCTTCTGTGACTTCTCTAAGTGCAGGGAGGGGGCAAGGACATTTTGTCCACGGCCCGAATAGGAAATCAAGTGCAGAGGGGTTCAGCCAGTGGTTGGCTGATGCTCAGTCCTGGCTAGACATTAGAATCGTCCGAGGAGCTTCTAAGCTGACGCTATCCAAGCCAACTTCAGACCAACTAAACCAGAGTTTGGGTGCGGGGAGCTGGGAATTGGGATTCTAATGAGTGGGCAGGCTCACTCCCAGGTCCCGTGGGTCTCAGACAGAGGCACCTGGGCAGCTGCCCCTTCTCTAGAGGAGCCCGCGTGGGTGCAGGTGGAGAAGGAGGGAGGGGCTGTCTGAGAGGGAGAAGCTGGGAGAGGGGTTCTGTGTAAGGTAAGGTGACCAGACATCCTGCTTTTGGCAGGACAGTCCCGATTTTTAACAATTTGTCCCGCGTCCCGCGGCATTTTAAAAAAGTTCCGATTTTTGGAAAGAAGCGGGACGCGGGACAAATTGTTAAAAATCGGGACTGTCCCGCCAAAAGCGGGATGTCTGGTCATCGTAGTGTAAGGACCTCTGCCCGCCCCTGCTTCCCGGCCACTGGTCCCATCCTAGGGGACCTGTGCTCACCCCAGAGAGGGAAGGCTTCCCACATGACCACCTGGGACCGCGGGAAGAACCCAGGTTTTAGGGGCAGTCACATCCCTGGGCTGTTCTGGGCCTGTGACCTGCTAGCTATGTGGTCTCAAGGGAGAGAGACTGTTCTCTGAGCCTCTGTTTCCTGGTTTGGAAGGCGGGCTGATAGTGCTTCCTGGGCAGGGAAGATGCTGCGGGATGGAATAAGCTCGTGCGTAGAAATCACCCAGCAAACTGCCCAGCCAAGGACTTCCGAGCCTGGAAGGGCCCGGGGCCCGTGAGCTCGGGAGGCCGGGTCCTTACCTCAGGCGGTCGCTGTGCGTGACCAGCGCCGCCTGGTACTTCTGCACGCACTCCTCCTGGAAGACCTGCAGGAGCCTCTTGGCTAAATGGCTAAAGTTCACCCTGGGAAGGAGAGGGAAACCGAGGCACCGAGCTCAGCCGCCAGAGCCGCCCGAGCACAAGCCCAGCGTGCCTGGGTCTCCACCGTCTGGTGCCCCGCCCGCCGGCCACAGCGGGGCTGGCTCTCCCGTGAGGGAGGAGGGGATGCCCACACGCGGGGGGCACGGTGACCAGTGTGGCTGGCACACCGCACGGGACCACAGAGGGAGCACAGGCTCTCCGCTTGTCCCCAGAGGGCAGGCGAGGTGACTGGAAAGTGTGTGTGTGTGTGTGTGTGTGTGTGTGTGTGTGTGTGTAGGTGTCGAGGGTCAGGGTGGGTATAGAACTGGGGGAGTGAGTTGCCAAAAAAGCATTAGATCAGGGGCCCCCTGAGGCATGAAGGGGGGAAGGGGGGAGGCCCAGGAAATGGAAGGGCAGAGGGACAGCCAAAGGGACGCTAAGGGGAGGCCAGAGTGGTGGGGGGTGGAGCAAACCAGCGAGGGGACAGGGAAGAAACCCCAGGAGCCGAGCTGTCTTCAGAAGGAAGTCCAGCTCCTGCGGCTGCTCTGAGGAGCCGCCCTCCAGCTCAGTCACCGTCCCCTGCCCTGGTCCCCGCCCCACATACAGTCACACCGCCCCCTCCTGCCAGCTGTGGCCTATGACTGGGCCCTTCATCATGTCCCGCCTGGCACAGAGAACCACTCTGCCCAGGTGGCACCCGCCCCCCTGCGCCCCCTCCTGCCGGGGGACAGGCCACTCACTTATCCAGCTTGTGGATCTGCTCCTCGTTGTAGCCAAGCCCTGCAGAAAACAGCAGAAAGGATGCCGCCTGTTACACCAGCAACATGGAGTGCCCCGAGGGTTGGGGGACCCCCACAAAGATGCTGTCAGCCTGGCTTGAACCCCACTCCCTGGGAGCTCCCAGCCCCCTGAGCCAGGAGGGACAGGGTTGAACCAAGCACCCAAGACACTGCCCCACGACAAGGAAGGAGGTGCCGGGGGGCAGGGGCAGGGGAACGCGTCAGTTGGGAGGTGGTGGATGGAACAGGCCTTGAAGGATGCTTGAGGTCAGCTGGGCCCCTCAGCCACACCAGACCCAGAGGGACTGATGCCTACAGGCTGCTGGCCTCACCCCTGAGTATTCAAGCTGCAGGAGAGCCATAACCCTCTTCTCCTCCGGCCCCATAACCCTCTTCTCTACCCCGTACCTCCCTTCTCTGCCCAGACACTTTTGCCAGAAGGGCTGACGGTTTCACTTCCTGGGCACCCCCTGGTGCTCTCTCACTGGGGAGATGCTGCCCCCTCCTGGGCTCTGAGGGAATAGGCCTCAGCTTTAGCTTCTTGGAGAGGAAATGAGGCAGAGGTTACATTGCTGACCCCCCCTCCACGCCCCTAATAGCAGAATCCCCTTTCCTGGGGTCTTCATCCGGGCACTGTTCACAGCCAGCTGGGCCCCTGTGACGCCCAGCCCAAGTGACACGCCCCAGGCCTGCCTCCTATTGGCTGGGGGCTGTACCCAGGTGATTGCACCTCACCCAGTCAGTCCCCGCATCTGTCACACGGAGCACACAGGGTGGGTGTGAGGGCAGTGAGTGCCCTAGTGCTCACTCCTGAGCATTTATCAGAATGGCCCCTTCCAGCACTCTGAGAGGCATTTTTCCTGATTCTTTTTAAATTAGAATAAAGGGCTTTTGAAGACCACGGAAATGAAACTTTCTGAGGCTGCAAAACAAGGCGATTAAAAGCAGCTGGTGCTTTTAGGAACAGGTGCTGCCATAGGAACAGGGAGACAGATCAGTGGAACAGAGTAGAGAGCTCAGAAGGAAGCCCAAGTCTATAGGGTCAATTCATATATGACAAAGGAGGCAGGAACATACAATGGGGTGGAAGAGAGTCTATTTAATAAATGGTGCTGGGGAAATGGGACAGATACGTGCAAGAAAAATGCAACTAGAGCATCTTCTTACACCATATGCAAGAATAAACTCAAAATGGATTAAAGACTTAAAGCCATAAAACTCCTAAAAGTAGACAAAATCTTTGATATCTCTCTTAGCAATATTTTTCCCCCCTTATATATCTACTCAGGCAAGAAAAACAACAAAAAATAAACAAGTGGGACTACATCAAACTAAAGGTTTTCTGAACAACAAAGGAAACCATCAACAAAATGAAAAGACAATCTACTGAATGGGATGAATCCAATAAGGGGTTAATGCCCAAAATTTAGAAAGAATTCATGCTACTCAATACTAAAAACACACACACACACCAAACAATCCCATTAAAAAGCGAGCAGAGCCTGAAGAGACACTTCTCCAAATAGCACATGCAGATGACCATAGACATGTGGAAAATCTCAATCTCACTATCACCAGAGAGATGCAAATCTACACTAATAAAAGCTAATCAGGCCGGATGTCCTTCTGGATGACCTTCCAGGCGACCTTCCGGACGAATCCGGGGCTGAGAGGGAAGCCTGGGTCCCGGGTGCCAGAGGGAAGCCAGTGCCGGCAGCCGAGGAAAGGAGGGCCTGCTCTTGCACAGATTTCATGCATTGGGCCTCTAGTAAGAACACAATGAGATATCACCTTATGCCTGTCAGAATGGCTATTATCAATCAATACATCAACTAACAAGTGCTGGCGAGGATGTGGAGAATGGGGAACCCTCGTGCACTGCTGGTGGGAATGCAGACTGGTGCAGCCACTGTGAAGAACAGTATGGGGGGTTCCTCAAACAGTTAAATATGGAACTGCCATTTGACCCAATGGCCCCACTTCTGGGAATATGTATAATTATGTTTATGTTGCTTATGGATTACATGCTGAAATGACAATTTGGATATATTGGGTTGACTAAAAAATATTATTAAAATTAATCTCACTCTTTTATTTTTACTTTTACATGTTGGCTACTCGGGAACTCTGGGTTCTGTACGTGGCTGCAGGCCATGCCGTGGGACCTGCTCTGAGATAATCCCAGGAGGACGAGGACTTGGCAGTGAAGCCCAAGACCTGTGAGCTGCCCTGTGGGAAAAGCCTAGCCATGGGGAGGAGGGGCGGGGGGGGGGGGTGACGGGTCAGGTCCTGGGGGTTAGCTCCTCAGCCTTGAGAGTCAACGGTGGCCTCCCTAGGCCCCCTCCAGTCCCTGCCCCACTGTCCCTGAGTTGGACCCTCCCCTGCCCCAAGATGGTGGTCCCCTGGGGCAAACAGCCTGACAGTTGAGCCCCAGTGAGCTACCCTGCCCGAGGGTCCTCGAGAGGCTTCTTAGAGATGCAGCCGAGCGCCTGGTCCAAGGACTCTGGTGGCATTTCTCTGGGTCTGCCCGCTTCTGGGAAACCCAGCCGTTTTAGCAAACCACGGGCACACAGACAGGGCAACGTTCCTGGAATTGTAAGGTGCTGCTCGGCAAAGGTGTAGGTTCTCTTCCAAGGGCCACCTGTTGGATGGCAGTCAGGTGCCAGACGCTGTGAATCCCATATGTGTCCCCTCAGACTCCTGTCCCACCTGGCAATCAGTCAGGTGTACAGGCGTCCTGCCTCTTGCTGTCTGCAGGCAGCTGGTGGCCAGGGACCCGGGGACCCAGCCTTGGACCAGCCGCACCCTGGCTCTGCTTGACCAGTGAGCCCCCAGCAGCAGCCCTGGGAGGAACATAACAGGGACTGGGCCACTGGCGGTAAGGAAGGAAGGGTGAGGGAGAGGGAGGGAGAGCATGAGTACCTGTGAGAGCATGCTCGGCTCTGCCCCTCGGCTCACCTGGTCTCAGCCTGGCCTTCCGGAACTGCTTGAAGATGAGGTGCATCTTGTCCAGGCAGCACTGAATCTGCTGGATGCTGAGGGCAGGAGACAGGGACCTGGTGATGGGAGAATCCAGCAGCACAGAGCACAGGGGGATGGGGGGCTGCGATGGTGGGGGGACGAGGCAGGAGCTGTCTGGCTGCAGAGGAGCCTTAATGTCACAGTTTTGGGGGGCGATTGCGAGTGGGGGTGACTTTCTTGTCTCTAAGCTTTCTGAGGCACCTGAGGCCAACCAGCCATCTGTCATTCTCGTGTTTATTCTCTGTCCCTCTTCTGTCTCTCTCTCTCTCTCTCTCTCTCTCTCTCTCTCTCTCTCTCTCTCTCTCTCTCTCACACACACACACACACACACACACACAGTGTTGAATAAGATGAGAAGGACAAAGAGCCAAGCAGGACAGACTGGAGGGTGGCGTTTGCTGGTGAGAAGGTTTGAGAAGAGACTGGGAAGGGGGTCTGGACCTTGAAGGGAACTCACATGACAGCCAACAACCCTCCTTTAACGCATCATGACCCCATGTTCTCAGCCCTGCCTGGAGGCAAGGGACGGAGGGAGCTGACCTCCTGCAGTTCAAGGTCATTATGATCTCCCCCTGCCCCTTTCAGGCTGGACAAACACTCCATTTGAGATGTTGGGTGTGTGTTGGGGGGGGGGGGTCCTTCCTCGCCCTCAGGCCTAGGGATCCCCACTTCCTCCCTGCAGCTCCTCTAGGGACCCCGGATCAGCTATTTCTGGAGCTGGACTCGGGGCAGCGCCAAGCTTGTCCCCAGGGGAACAGGGGGTGGACAGGACCTCAGCTCGGTCTTTGTCCGAAAGGTGGGGCAGGATGTGTCCTCTGATCTCAGAAAGGATCCCCCACACACACTGCATGGGGGACACTCCCCCGTGGACGGCAGCCACTCTCCAGAGAACTCCAGTCCATGCACTCCGCATGGGATAATGGAGCAGAGAGAGCCTCCTGCCGGCTTCGGTCTGTTCCGCAGCCAAAACAAGAGCAAGCCCCACCCGCGGATGCCAGCGTGTTTTCCATCCTGATCCAAGGACGTGGGGCTGAGTCCGGGCAGGGGCTGCGGAGGACGCCCTGGCCCGGGCGGGACACTGTCAGGCCAAGGGGAGTGGGCGCCTCGTGTTTGTGAAAAGGGGGCCTGGGGCTGTGAAAGCTGAAACTCCTCGGTGAACCCCAGGAACTAGGCTTTGGAGGTGGGTGACCCCGGCCGGATGCCCTATGGGGTCACTCGTCACTTACTGGCCGGGGCTCAGGGCGCACGAGCCTCCCTGGGGGCCCAGGGCAATGCCACCGTCTTGAGGGTGAAAGGAGACGAGTAGGAGGGCCTGGCCAGGGGCTGACGCAAAGCAAGGGCTCCGAGCGGGCAGGGAACTCACTTTGTCTCTGACTCAGAACTGTCGCCCCTGCTACCATTGTGAATTCACTCTCTAACCCCCCAGGCCCTTTTCTCCCTCCGGCTGGTCCCAGGGGAGGGTCTGGCTCATTCCCAGATGGCCACCACGACCCAGTGCCCCGCCCCCGCCCCACCAAGAAGGTAAATCCCACAGACCTTCTGTCCTCATGTACCTGATCCCGGCTCTTCGCCAGCTCCAGGCCCAGGCTGCTCAGGCTCATGTGCTTCTCCATGAGGCTGCGGGAGAATCCGGAGAGGATCTCGGCCAGCTGAAGGCAGAGAGGCCCAGCTCAGGGGTCTGGGGGAGCCTGGTGGGACCCCTGCCCCCTGCCCAGCTCCTGCCCGGCCCGGCCCCCCCTCACTCACAGTCCGCAGCTGAGACCTCAGCTCCGAGGCCCTCTGCAGTTCCTGGATCTCAGGCACCCCGGCCATGTTGCTGAGCCTTGAGGGAAGCACAGAGAAGGGACGCGTTGGGGCATGGCACCCCTGGGACAGCACTGCAGGCTTGTGGGGTATCCGGGGAGCTGGGTGGTTGGGGCAGAGGAACCAGCTGGAAGAGGCTCCTACTCATCCCCGTGGGGGCTTGCTGAGCACCGCAGTGAATAAAGATTGAGGTGGATTGGGATAAGCTGAATCTATGGACACTCAGAGCCCACAATGCAAGGCAGCTGTTCAAGGCCTTCTTACGTGGAAAATTTGTAACTAAAGGAAAAGAGTCAGGTTTCTTATCAGTGGACCAAGCATGTCAAACTCAAAGGCTAACACGGGCCAAATAAACAAGGCATGCGGCCCTAGAGTTTGACATGCTTGCAGTAGAGACTGTGTTTCATGATAACCAATAATCCCGTGGTTGGCAAACGGCGGCTCTCGAGCCACATGCGGCTCCTTGGCCCCTTGAGTGTGGCTCTTCCACAAAATACCACGGCCTGGGCGAGTCTATTTTGAAGAAGTGGCGTTAGAAGAAGTTTAAGTTTAAAAATGTGGCCCTCCAAAGAAATTCCAATCGTTGTGCTGTTGCTATTTGGCTCTGTTGAGTGAGTTTGCCGACCACTGCAACAGTCTATTGACACGGGAAGAGCTGTGGTGTATAGAATACCAGCCAGAATGGTCCAGGACTTGGAATCCTATTATCGTGCTGCCCCCTTTAAAGTGACTGATGAATGATGAAGGGGTGGCCATTTGTGCGGCACCAAAGTAACAAAACAGAGATTCTTCCACAGGAAAATGTAGCTGTCCAGTAGAGAAACCAGGCTGTCCCCACCCAGGGGCAGGTGGGTATCCAGTGTACCCAGCATCCTCTAGGATGCATCAGCCTCAAGTTTACCCTGATACCTCCAACCGTTAGAACTCTCAGGTTCTAGGGCATTATGTGAAGGAACAAGACAAATGACACCCAGAGGAAGTGTAGCCGAGTCCAGAAGGGGGGACAATGGGTGTTGTGTCCCCATAAGCCCATGTCATGGATGGGGGCAGCAGTCTGTGTAGATTAAAACAGACTGAAGGAACATCCCAGAGTGTGGGCTGAGGCTGGGTCCTGGTTGGAGGAAGCCAACCGGAAGAGGAAATGGGTGGGGGGGGGGCGCGACATTAGGGCTCTTTGAATACAGACGGGCACTAGATCAGATGAAAATGTATGAGGCGAGAGCTCGTTGGCTGAGAGAAGCAGGTGATGGAACAGGAACTACCCTGGTTGGTCTGTACACGTACATACACCGTGGGCGCTCTCTAAGGGTACCTACTGCTCAGGGATGTGGCCATCTCTGTGCAGTAGGATATGGTATTTTAATTTCATTTTTGCTTGCCTGTATACTCCAGCTTTCCACAATTAGCATGTACTGTTTTTATAGCCATAGCATCGAGAGAACAAGAGCCCCGTGTGTTTGGCGTGGGAATGGAAAGGAGGGGAGGGGAGGGGAGGGGAGGAAGCTGGAGGCTGCTACAGGCAGGGCTGCTGCCCACATGCTCACCACTCCACTCCCCATGCCCAGCGGGTTAGCGCCCGTGGCCCTCAGCACACAGTGTCCTGATGTGGAGGGCACAGGTGGGTAAGGGAGCGTGGGATACTGATGACAGAAGACTAGGCTGGTGGGCTGGGCAGGGCGTCAGAGCCAAGGCTGGAGTCCCATTCTCGCTGTCACACGTGCCACCTGCATGGCCTGGGCTGTGACGCTTTAGCTCTGCAGTCCCCCGTCTACGGAAGGGAGATAAACCTCCTTCCCGCCCCCTAACGAGGTGTCTGTGGGGTCGCATGGGCGCTCTGGGATAGAGGGCTTGGCGAGAGGCAGGGACATGGGTGTTTTTGGGGGGATGGCGGTGGGGGCAGCCCTGGGAATCCCCGAGCCGTCCCAGCTGCCTGATTGGGCCCCTGGGTGGCAGCAGCTGCCAAGGAGGACCGGCTTCCGGACAGAGGCAAGGGCGCCCTGCCGAGGCAGCCGTCCCGGAGAGCCCGAGGCCGGAGGAACGAGTAGGAGAGAGGTGCCCAGGCTGTCGGACGCTCAGGCTCCGCCAAACGTCAGTTCAGCTTGTTAGGACGTTTCGGGTGCCACTGCGGGAGGCGCTGTGGCTCAGGCCTTAGCAGAACGCGCAGGCCTGAGTTCGCCCACCAAAGGGTGGCCCTGCAAAGCCCTGGAGCCGGCGGCTTCAGAGACTGCCCATTTCGCAAAGAAGGAACACAAGCTCTATCAGGAGCTTAGGCCTGGCCCTCAGGCTCTGCTGCTGCTCTTCGTGCTCCCCAAACTCCTCCTGGGGCCCGGGATAGGCCTGAAAGCAGGCACCCCTGACCCTGGGCTCTCTGGACACACAATGATGGGGCGGGGGGGGGGGGGGGAGAGGGGCTCGGAAACAGAGTGCGGAAAGGCAGCGGCCAGGCCAGATGCCAGAACTCCAGCTCAGGGCCAGCCTGTGGGCACCCTCCCCCCCACCCCCACCCCCACCTCCCACCCCAAATCCCCTTGCTCCTGAGTCCAGAGCAAGTGGTCAGGCAAATACATTTCTCTGCACATCACTTTCTTGCTCAAGAACCCACGATGGACCCATAGTCATGTTACTGGGCTCTAACCTGCCACCTGGACCTTCCAGGACCTCCATGTGTCCTCTCCTCCCTTTCCCAGCCCTTCTCCCTGCTTCAGCTTCACTCTGGGATAGTTTCCTCATAACAGTGGGAACCTGACTAGCACCCCCTTACCCCTTGCAAATCCCCCAAACCTCAAAATACCCCCTTCTCTGCCTCTGCACAAGGCCTGCCAAAATAGGTACTCTCTCATTACGGCCTGAAAAGCCTCGCCTCTTCCAGGAAGACCTCTGCCCGTACCCATCTCTAGCTTCCCTTTACCCAGCCACCTGCCCTCCTCCTGTGCCCCTCTGTGTGCATGGCACCACAGTCGTCCTAGGACCCCTTGCTGTGCCCTGGCCAGAGTGCTGCCCTCATCCCTGTCGCTGTTTGAGGGGGTTCAGCCATGCCCCACCCCAACCCTGTCCTTCGGAGCCACTCCTCTCCCTCCTCCCACTCTGCCACTGCCCAGCTGCTGCCAAGCGCGGGAGGAGGCAGGCCGGGCTGCGGTGAGTCAGCCGCTGCTGGAAACTCCCGGGCCTTCCTGCGGGCGTGGGCCGGCATCAGGGTGCGGACGCCAGGCATGCCTGGCACCGCCTCTGCTCCTCCGTCCCCACGTCTCCTCCCCGCGGGCACGGCGCAGGCCACCAGCAGCTGCCCTGGGCCGCAGAGCCCGTCCCCCCTGCCCCAGGCCCAGGCCTTCCAGGATCGAGGGCTGTGCCCGCTTTCCAGGAATGCCCTCGGAGGCTGCCTGCTTCTCCTCTCCTCGGCCTGCGTTTGGTTTCCTCCTCCCCAGGCTCCCCCTTTCTCCACCCGTTACCCCTAAACAGCCCGGCAGAGGAGTAGAAGCCACGGCGTTCGGAGGGCTGGGCGGGGGGCCCCCTCCGGAGGCAGGGCAGTTTGAGACAGGAGGAGGCGGGAGAGGAGCTTGGAGGTGGGACCCCTGGGTCCCCATCGTGCCAGGCCCGGGGGACCACACATGGCTGTGTCCCCCCAAGTCCAGCTCGGGACCTGGTGCGGGCGGGGAGGGGGGTCTGGAGGACAGAGGCCCTTCCTGGGCAGGAGGCTGGCTGCCTCGGTACCTGGAGAGGCAGTGTTCGCCCCCCACCCCCACTGCCTTTCCCCCTGAGCTGAGCTGTGAGGCAGGCGTGGGGTGGGGGTGGGGGGACATGAGCAATCCTCCGGGGGTGGGCTGTGGGGCTGAGGGGCGGGATGGCAGTGCCCTCAGTGTTCCAGCCAGGCAGGGAAGGTGGGGCCCGGGAAGGGGAGAGGAAGGACCTTGTTGGAAATGGTGGGGTGAGGGAGAGACAGAGAGAAGGGCCGAGGGGCCTCAGATGGCCTCAGGCCTGCTGTGGCCACCGCCCTGGGCAGGACACCCACCTCTCGGCGCCCAGGCTGCTGCTGAGGAAGAGGAGGGCCATCCGCACGACCTCCAGTGTCCGCCGGCAGGTCGCCTGCAGCGTCTCCCTGCCGAGGGAGGGGAGCGGTCAGAGCTCCTGCTCCCGGGGCCAGGCACGTGCCCGCAGCCGGGGCCCAGCGCCCGTGGAGAGTCTGGGCTGCCTGGCCCTCCCGCTCGCCCGCCTTGCCCCCTGCACCCTCTGCCCCCCCCCCCCCCCGCCCCCGGGTACTCACAAGAACCAGTGCAATCCCCGAAGCATCAGCTTCTGCCCGGCCAGCAGGGCCCGTGCCAGCCGCAGGGCCTGGTAGCCGGCACCCAACAAACCCTGAGAACACAGGTGGGCAGAGTCCGAATCCCCACCCCTCACCCCTGGGTGAGCCCCCCTCCCTGCCCCCTGGGGCCACCCCTAACCTTGGCCGTGTTGTAATCCGCCTGCAGGTCCACTTTGGGCACAAACTTGGTGATGTCCAGAGCGGCTGCAAACGAAGGCCCGGCACTCCTCACTCCGGGCTCCCACTCACCCCTCACCTCCCAGCTTTGCAACTCCCAGGGCCCCACAGCTCCGGCCTTAAATGCCCGTTAACGTGGCTTTCCGATTGCGGTCCCTCACTGCCCCCTTGTGTTCACTTTGGTGAACCGCATCCTGGTGCCCAAGACCCCCATCTGAGCCAGAAAATGGGCCCAAACCACCCTTGTGCCCATGACTTTCTAGGTTAATTCCCTTTCCCAGCCTCGGAGACCCGGGGAGGAGGAGGAGGAGGATGGAATGGAACTTATTCAAATAAGAAGAAGTAATATTTCTGCCAGGACTCGGAGGACAACGCTCTGGGCCCCTGACTGCGTTCCCTCTTCTCCAGCACCTCGGGCTCCAGACTATCTGAAGCTTCCCCTGGCAGAGGCTGGGGTGAGCACGTGAAATCCACTCCCTGTTCCAACGGGAGTCCCACGGCTCTGTGGGCACTAAAGCCCGGGAACGCCGGGCCGCCAGCCTGAGCCACATGGTGTGTCAGGGGCACGTGAAAACCCAGAACCCGGAATCGGGGCACCCTGTGGACCGCAGGGGAAATGGAGCCCCACCCGGCCTCTGGAGGAGAATGGGGGGAGGAGGCGAGACCCAGCCGGGGTGGCTCTACTCACGGTCCTTGAAGGCCAGCCCCGCGGGGGCCTCCGTGGCCGCGCTGCACAGCGTCAGGGGGCTGCTGGCGGTCGTGTGGGCGATGTGCTGTGCGGAGAGGTTGGGCTCGAGGACGCAGAGGTGACCCTCGAATAGGTACTCCTGGTTCTGGGGGGCCACGCTGGTCTGCTCGTACACGGCCTCCAGGAAGATGGCTATCCTGGACGCCCCGGGCGAGGGGGGCAGGAGGGAGAGGCAGTGTCAGCAGGGGGTCCCACGCCCCAGCTGAGGCTGCATCCATGCAAAGGGCCCAGCTTTGCAGAGGAAGGGACCGGGTGGTTGTTCTTTCTTTCTTTCTTTCTTTCTTTCTTTCTTTCTTTCTTTCTTTCTTTCTTTCTGTCATACTTTCTTTCTTTCTCTCTTTCTTTCTTTCTCTTTTTCTCTCTTTCTCTCTTTCTTTCTTTCTTTTTTAAATATATTTTATTGATTTATTTTACAGAGAGGAAGAGAGAGGGATAGAGAGTCAGAAATATCTATGAGAGAGAATCATTGATCAGCTGCCTCTTGCACACTCCATACTGGGGATGTGCCCGCAACCAAGGTGCATGCCCCAGATCGGAATTGAACCCGGGACCTTTCAGTCCGCAGGCCGACGACGCTCCATCCACTGAGCCACACTGGCTCTGGCAGTTGTTCTTTCTTATCGACGGCAGAGAGGCCCAGGACAGCTCTAGCGGCCCACACCCAGCCTCTGCCTGGCACCTCGTCCCACTAAAATGCACCTGGTTCCCCCAAACTCTCCAGCCATCAATCAGGGAACCCACGGCAGGCACCCCCACCCAGGGGGTGATAAGGCACCCCCACCCGCATTGGCATGCACTGAGTCAGGAGCAGCTGTGAGGAGGCCTAGTTCACTTGAATTTGGTGGGTCTAGCACTGTCCCAGACTAAGTCATGCAGCCTCACCCAGGTAGCCTGACAGTAGGGTTTGGGATTGGACCCAGAAGCATCCACATCGAAACACTCCCCCAAAATGCTGCTTCAGACGTGCCCTTCTGCTCCAGGACAGAAGGTTCCGGGCCTCCGGCCTGGCGCCCACTCACGTGTTGTGGGCGTGGATGAAGACGTGGTGCAGGACCGCCTGGGACAGCGAGAACACGTGCACGATGACGCGCTGCAGGATGTCGCTGGTCTCCGCGAAGAACTGGTCGAAGCCCCAGCACTTGGCCGGCTCCACCTCCAGGATGTTGGCCAGCACGGGCACCAGCTGGCTCTGCAGGCCCCTGCCTCGGACAGGAGACTGTCAGGGCGGGAGCCCAGCCTGTCCCCTCCAGGAGATGGCCGGGGCATTCCCGGAGGACATCCTGCGAGTGAGGACCAAGGTGGTGACACGGGGTGGGATGGGGAGGAAGGGCTGGGGGAAAGGAAGGCACGCCCAGCATCCCGATGGAAAAACGGAGGCCGGAAAGGGAAGGTGGTGGACAGATGCGGGGACCCTGTGCCGGGACAGGCCTCAGCCGAGAGGACGCCCGCCCAGACTCGTCTGTGCCTGACCCTCACATGGACAGCTGGCAGGTGATGGGGAGGCCGTAGCTCCACTCCAGGGGCCCGTTCTCCTGCCTCTGTGTGCCCGCGATGGCCCCGGACGGCTTCTCCGTGGTGATCCGGTACCTGGGTCAGGGGGCCAGGACCAGGTCAGTGGGACCCCAGGACCATCACGCTTCAGAGGACGGCAAGCTCAGCACAGAGGGCTCAGAGCACCGGTTCAAGTCCCCCAGCACCTCCAAGGCAGCCTAACACTGGCATCGGAGAGGCCTGGCTCTCAGCCAACAAGAGCACCTGGCCTTCACGTTCCCCGGTCCAATACTGCTGCCCCCCCCACCGTCCAGTCCCTCTGTCCCCTTACGCGCATCCACAGCGGGCCCACCTCTGCACCTCTGCCTGAGCCGGGCTTGGCCTGATACCCTTCCCCTGCACACCACTGTTCTCTCTTTCCTTCCATGTCCAACCCGCTGACAGCACCACCCGTGCCCTTTCCCTGACCTCAGCAGCTCCCGCACGGCTGACCGGAGAGAGGGCAGGTGCATGGACCTCCCCATGCGTCAGCCTTAAATCCCTCTGCGCTGGGCCAGGCACACAGGGGGAGCAGCACTATTTCCAGCTACGTCTGTGTCAGACCGCAGGGCCTGGGAGGACCCGGGACCCGGATGCTGGGCCTGCCCTATGTCTTCCCTGACAGTGTCCTGGAGCCTGGTTGAGGTGAGATTAGCAGCCAGCCAGGCCGGTTGTGTGTGTGTGTGTGTGTGTGTGTGTGTGCGCGTGCGCACGCGCGCGCACTAAAAGGAAGCCTTGGACTCAGATAAGGGGTCTGGCTGGTCCCCGTCAGCCAGGTGTTGATGGGAGAGGATGTAAGAGGAGCCGGTAGGGTGGCCGGAGGAGAGCCACCGAGTTGGAGGCAGAAGCGGAGACATGGCAGGGCCAGGGAGGGAGGCTGGCCCTGACCCTGCCCGCGCCCACCGTACATGATCTCCTTGTTGCGCCGTGGCCCGCCAAAGGGGACGAAGGGCAGGCTGCCAGTGGCTGCGTGGTACAGGGTCACCCCGATGCTCCAGAGGTCCACGCTCACCCCAAAGGCCTTCTGCGGGGGCTTGCGAAGCACCGCCCGCTCATACATGTCCGGGTGCTGCCGAGAGAACCAGAGGGCGGCCGTGGAGGAGGAGGCGCAGGGGCCGTGCCCGCCAGCAGACCCCCTTCCTCTGCCTTCTGGTGGCAACAGAGCCTCAGAATCCACTCCTTTGCCACCTCGGACACTGGCATGGAGCTGGCCTACCCAGGCATTTTTATGTGCCCTCCCTGCGCCCTGGGAGAGGTGGGGACCAGTGGTGTCCCATCCCCCATGAGGGTCAGATCAAGCTGCTAACTGCACAAGGGAGGCTGGCCAGGGAGGCTGGGGCAGGGAGGCTGGGGCAGGGAGGCCGGGGAGGGAGGCCGGGGAGGGAAGCTGGGCAGGAAGGTCGAGGCAGGGAGGTTGGTGCAGGGAGGCTGGGGCAGGAAAGCCAGGGAGGGAGGCCGGCCAGGGAGGCCAAGCAGGGAGGCTGGGCAGGGAGGCCAGTGAGGGAAGCTGGAAGGGAGGCTGGGAGGGAGGCTGGGAGGGAGGCTGGGCAGGGAGACCAGGGAGGGAGGCCAGAGAGGGAGGCTGGGCAGGGAGGCTGGGCAAGGAGACCAGGGAGAAAGGCCAGAGAGGGAGGCTGGGCAGGGAAGCCAGGGAGGGAGACCGAGCAGGGAGGCCAGTGAGGAAGGCCAGTGAGGGAGGTCAGGGCAGAGCTGCTGGGCAGGGAGGCCGGGCAGGGAGGCTGAGCAGGGAGGCTGGGAGGGAGGCTGGGGAGGGAGGCCGGGCAGGGAGGCCGGGGAGGGAGGCTGAGCAGGGAGGCTGGGAGGGAGGCTGGGGAGGGAGGCTGGGAGGGAGGCTGGGGAGGGAGGCTGGGCAGGAAGGCCAGGGAGGGAGGCCGGGCAGGGAGACCAGGGAGGGAGGCCAGTGAGGGAGGCCGGGCAGGCTGCAGCAGCCTTTTACGCGGAGAACAGGGCGAGTTCTCCCGGTCGGTCGGGTGCAGAGCTGGGTGCAGGGACAGGACAGAGGCCCTCGGACGGGGAGGGGCCCTCGGCAGGGGTGGGGCTCCGCTCACCAGGTACTCCTCGGTCCCGTAGACGGAGACGAACTGCTCGTCGTCGTCCAGCTCGCGGGCGGCCCCGAAGTCGGTGAGCTTGTAGATGCTCTGGCCCTCCTCCCCGAGCAGCCGCATGATGTTGCCCGGCTTGATGTCGCGGTGGACGATGCCGTGCTCCCGCAGGTGGTTCATGCCGGCCACTGCGGACGGAGGCTGCTGGGGCGCCGGCCGGGACAGGCCAGGTCCGGGGCGAGGCTGCAGGGGAGGCTGCCCCACGGGCTGGCAGGGCCCCAGCCACACAGGACGGGGGTGGGCACAGGGCACAGGGCACAGGGCACAGGAGGGGTCCCCAGGACCTGGCTGTGGAGGGTCCGAGAGGCGCTTCTAAGAAACTATCAGAGATGGAGGCTCTGGCTCCCCAGAAATGGCAGGCTGCCTTCTCTATTTTATTATTATTATTTTTTAAATTATATTTTAAAAATGTTGAGTATGCCTAACAAAATCTAAAATTTTACCTATTTATACAGCTCAGTGTCATTAAGTGCATTCATACCGCTGTGCGTCCATCACCGCTTTCCATCTCCAGGACTTTGTCAATCTCCCAAACAGAAACTCTCCCTTAATATTAAAAAATCGCTCTTCCTCCTCCTCCCCAGCCCCCTGGCCTGCCGTCCGTCCCTGAGGAACTTGATCACTCTCGGTCCCTCATGTGAGTATTTGTGTGTCTGGCTTATTTCACTCAGTGAAATGTCTTCCACTCTCACTGGGTCAGAACGTTATTCCCTTTTTAAGGCGGGGGAGCATTGCCTTGTGTGTGCCGGCCACATTTTGTTCCTCCATGCACCTGTTTGTGACATTTGCCTCGCTGGCCCCCTGTGGCCGGTGTGAATAAGGCTGTTACGAATATATCGGTGTGCAACCTGCTTTCCATGTTATGGTTAAGCTGGAGTTTTAAACTGCTGACCAGCAGGCGTCAGACCCTGGGTCCTGCCCACTCATCAATGCCCATCCCAGGCCTGAATGGAGGGCCTCTTGGGTTCTGAATGTTCTTTCGTGTCTGGGTCCTTGTTCCAGAAGCGCTGCCCCCCCGCGGGCCTTTGCCTTCGCTGAGGGCCAGGTCAGAGGTGGGCGGGGCCCGGTGGGGTCAGGGAGGGGCTCACCCACACAGCGCAGCACCACCAGGAACTCGTCCTCGGGCAGCCCGAAGGCGTTCTCCGGGCTCTCCAGCACGGTGAGCAGGCTCCCGCTGGAGCAGTACTCCATCACCAGGACCTTCTGCCGGCCGGCCCCCTGCAGGGGCACAGAGGGGCGCGGTGAGGAGGGCACAGCTCACCCGCTTCCTCCAGAGGAGGAGACTCATTTTCAGAAAACAAGTCCGAGACCATGTGGATTCCTGCAACAGAGAGGAATTGACAGGACTGCTCCAGCCATGAAGACCGAAGAGAAACAGTCCAGAGGTAGAAGACGCTGGCGACGCCTTGCCATACTAGCAGACAGCAGCTGAGAGTCGCTGAAGGATGCCCAGGACCAAACCAGAGAGGGTCAGACCTGCATCACCACCATTTGTCCACCATCCAGAAGTGAAATATCATTGCTGGCATGTACACATAAGGAACCGTTTGACGTTGAAATTGGGACTCAGAAGAACAGTTGGACCAGAAAGAAACTCACTACAAACTGATTCATTTGCCTTTCAGCATAACCATGATGGCTGGCCTCATTTTCGGTTCTTATAATATGAATTTCTTGTATCACATGATCTCATGAATCTAGGGGAAATAATGAACAAAAACAGACCCGGAGACAGGGAAGCATCGACCAGACTGTCAGGCCTCAGAGGGAAGGTAGGGGAGGGTGGGGGAAAGGGGGAGAGATCAATCAGAGGACTTGTGTGCATGCATATAAGCCTAACCAGTGGTCACAGACAACAGGGGTGTGGGGGCATACGTGGGGAAGGGTTTGGGATGGGAATGGGGGATGAGGACAATTATGTGACACCATAATCAATAAAGAAATTTTTTAAAAAAGAGTAGACTCAGCCCACAGCCCAAATCCCTTCTCCAGGGGCCAACTTCTGGCCTGGCTGCCCCTCCTCAGCCTCACCCTGATCTCACACACCGGAGTCCCAGGTCACCTTTTCCAGGAAGCCCTCCTTGATTACATCCTACTTCCTGTCCTTAGGTCCCCAGGTGCCACCCCCACATTATTTACTTTATTCTACACGTTGCTGTTCTGGTGAGCGTGTGACCAAGGCTCTGTTAGTGTGTGACCTGACTCTGCCCAGCCTGCAAAGGTCCAAGACAAGGCCGCCCTCTGCCCGGGCCCCGGACCCACCGTCTCCTCCACCGCGAAGAGCTTGACGATGTTCTGGTGGTTCAGCTTCCGCAGGACCTCGAACTCCCTCACCTGCACCTCGCGGGGCCGCAGGTAGCTGGCGGCGTTGAAGACCTTCACGGCGACCAGCTCCCCGGATTTCTGCCATCGGGACAGAGGGGGCTGCTCAGGGCTCTGGCTGGGGACAGCCCACTGCCCGGGGAGCACCCTCACCCCAAGCCTCCTTCAGCCTCGTCTGCCAGCCTAACACCAGAATTGAGGAAAGACCCCCAGCTCCTTCCCCTGCTCAGAGGGTACCCGGCCAGGCCAGGACTGAGAGGTGGCAGGGGCTCAGCACACCTGACACCTGCTGTTCCTGCATTTGCTGCTATCTCCCTGGTGTTGGCTTGGTGTCCCCATCCCTCTCCCCAGTTCCCAACGGGCCTAAGGGGGGCACCAGGCTGAGGAGCCCTCCGCAGCTCCCACACTTCTGCTCAGACCCCCAGTGTCCCTGACCCCAGAGTGTGCAAGGCCGAGTCCGGAGACCTCTGCCCAGCCACACACGGGGGCTGACGGGCCTGCGGGGGCCGCGGGGGCCAGGGCTGGCCCTACCTTGTTCCGAGCCTTGTACACGCTGGCGGTGGCCCCCTGCCCCAGCAGGTCGTCCGTGTGCCACAGGTAGTTGGCCGTGCTCTGCATCTCCCGCCCTCGGCCACCGGCCGCCTTCTGCCTGGAAGGACGTTCGAGAGTCCGGGATGTCATCCCTGGCCTGGGATGGACACAGGGGCCTGGCCAGTAGCTGAGCCGAGATCATCCCATGAAGGGCTCCGTCCCATGGACAGGGGCCCCCAACAGGCGAGGGGGCAGAGGAAGTGTGCGGCACAGACAGGTTAAGTCACTTCTGCAAAAGCAAGCACGGCCCGTGCCCGGCCCGCCCGGGGGCATCCTACCGGCCCCCGGCCCCTGTCCCCTCACACCCTCCCCAACCGCCGCTCTGCAGACACAAACCCTTAGCTCTGTCACCTCTCCCAGGGCCGAGAGTCCTGGGCTTTGGCACCCAGGCCGGGGACTGTCCCAGGAAGCAGAAATGTGCTAGAAGGAAGGGCCCCGGTCAGGCAGTGGCAACCACACCTCCAGAAATCTCCGGGATTGCGACACAAGCCGGAGCCCCTCCCCTCCCGCTCGCCTGAGTCCACCACTTCCTGCTGCTGCGAGCTAACGGCGGCGGCACCGGCAGCCAGCAGGGCCAGGGCCAGAGGACCGGCTGCCGAGTGGGTGTGTGCGTGTGAGAGGCATGTGGGTGTGTGTGCATACGTGAGAGGGCACGCACATGTGTGCTGTCACGCATGCATGTGGGCGTGTGCATGTGTGAGAGGGCATGTGCATATGTGCTGTCATGCATGTGTGTGGGTGCGCATGTGTGTGTGCATGTGTGAGATGGCATGTGCATGTGTGCGGGCACACATGTGTGTGTGGGTGTGTGAGTGTGTATGTGTGTGCGCGTGTGGGGGTGTGTGGGGGAGGGTGGAGGAGGCAGGAGACCATCAGGAGCTTGGGGAGGATCTGAAACCCTCTCTAACTTTGTTCCCCATCTTTGCTTCTATCCTCTTCTCTCCAAAAGCCAGTTCCTCTAAAGCAGTGGGCAACTCCTGCCTCTGAGCAGCAGTGCCAGGGGGGACACTGAGGCACGACTGGGAGAAGGGCCTCAAAGCCGGACTAGGCAGGCTGCTTCTTCTGACTCACAGGTTTCTCAGCCCACAGGGCACCTCTGGGACGCGGGCTCTGAGCCGTCTCTCAGCAATTTTTTTTAAGGCAACATTTGAAAATGTCAATTCTTTGAGCCAGAGGCCACTTCATGAGCTCAGTGGTTTGCATTTTGCAGAAGTAACTGAGGTAGGAAGGCTCCCTGAAGACATTCATAGCTCAGGGGAAGGAGCTGGTCAGGTGTCCCCCTCCTCCCCCGCCACCGCTGCCCTTGCAGGAGGAGTCAGCTGGGGGCCTGGGGGTGTGATCCTGGCACAGCCCCTGGTGCCTGAAGGGCCCCTCTCCTGCGATGGTCCATGCAGGAGGGTGGGTGGTGGAGTCGGGAGCCAGCCTCCCCACCCACCCCTTCCCACCCCGCCTCCTCCTGGGGATCCACCCAGTGCCCTGCCGCACCTACCCTGTGCTCCGAGCCCTGCGGCCGGCCGGGATCAGGCAGGGACGCTCCCTGGCGAGTGTGTGTTGTGCTCTCGGTCTGCAGCGGGTCCAGGAGCAGAGCTGCACCGGAAAGAGGGGGGTGGATGAGAGGCACCCCTGGTGCTGCCGAACCTCAGCCTCCATCAAAGGCGCCGGCCCAGCCCTTTAACCCTTTCCTGTTTGTCACCTCCCCGGGGCTGGGGCTTTCCAGCCGAGGGCCCCTCTGCTCCTCGTCCTTCCACTCCCCGGCCCTGGGCAGGGAGAAGGGCCCCCGAGAGGGAGGGCGGGCGGGAGCCAGGCACCTGGAGCCAGGCAGGGGAAACTCGGGGACAGCTGAACTCGGCTTTGGGGTGTTGGGAAGCGGGACAGGGATGGCAGCCCTCCGTGCCACCGCCCCCCTTGCCTCTCGCCAGCTTCCAAGTGTTCTTAGCGAGGGCGACCGCCCCCTGGGGATGGAACACGGGGCCCCCAGCAGAGGCAGAGACACAGAGAGGGGTCAGGGACCTGGAGAGCCGCTGCTCACAGGTCAGCATCGGACATGCGGGACGCTGGCCAAGGGCCACCCTGCAGCTGCCCTCCCCCCGCCCCCGGGACGCTGCCCACTCACCACATCTCAGCTGTGGGTGCAGGCTGGTGGGACCGGGTGGCACCCCGGGGGCTTTCAGGGCTCGCTGTCATCCATGGGCAGTGCCCGTAGCATCCCGGGGCTCAGGGGACGGGGGCCTCAAAGCCGGGGCCAGTGGACGGTCTGCGTGACTCCGGGGAGCTGGGAGCCGAGAGCCGCCTCCCTGCCTCCATGTGTGCACGCTGCTCCCTCCGGCCTCCCGCCTCCAGCAGCGCTCACACTTCCTGATTTCCTTCTTTCTCTCTCTCTTAAAGAGACAGGCAGCTGGGCCGCGGCAGCCACCCTGGCGGGCGGAGAAAGATGCTCTAAGTTCCCAAGTGGAGGCGACAGGACAGAGGAGCCTGAGCCGCAGAGCGGCTGGGCACTGAGGCTGGGCAGCGGCGGTGGGCCTCGGGGTGCTGCTTGGGCATCTCCCACAGTTCCCTGGAGCAGAGGGGCTGGGGGCTGGGCCCAGAGCCCACGGAGCAGGTTGGGCAAGTTAACCAAGGGGAAGGACCAAGTTCCCACACCCAGGAGCCCCAGGGAGGGTCTGACTTACCTTCCCAGCAAGCACCGGGGTCCAGGTGATGCCCTTCAGTACGACCTTGAGCACAGCACCCACCCCTCCCAGACAGTTTTGCCATCCAAGGCATGAGGATGGTAACATCTGCTCCGCTGGCGGTGTGGGCGACGTGGGACGATGTGTCTGGGAGTGCTTGCTGTTAGGTCTGATCCAATAATTGAATCCGTACCCCCTCCCCTGGGAACTGACCTGGAGACCACCTCACGGTGGACACCCTCTTTTGCTGAGACCACATTCCACTTGCTAAGACCATTACCTTCCCCCCAACCCCCAAGACCTGCCCAGATTCTCTGCCCAGAAGAAGCCAACCTAGAGTCCTTTAAAGCCCCCGATTCCCCGGGGGGTCCCTGGGTGCCGGTGCCGTTCGGGGGGCTCGGCCACCTGGTTTTCTGAGAGACCGAATAAACTCAGCATCCTCTACCCCTTTCAGCCTCGTGCGTTCCTCCTTCGGGGACTCTGACGCTTGGGAGACAGGGAAGCCCTTGCAGACCGCACTGAGGCCCACGCCTGCAGGACTTTGCCCATGACCTTCGGAGAATGCAGGGCTGGACCAGGGGTGCCCGTTCCCTGCCAGGTCTCAGTGCCCCCAGGCCATCTCCTAGGAGCTGCAGAGGTCAGCCCCGCCCTCCTCACTCTGAGGTGGCAGCTGGAGGAGAAATGGTTAAAAGCAGGAAATTCCACGTTTCTAGAGAATGTCCAGGGACTTTCCCAGAGCCACACCTGGTGGTTTCCTCCGCGGCCCCACCCCCCGCACGGTGACACCAGAGCTGAAAAGCCCCTCCCGCGCAGAAAGGCACACCAGCTGTGACCGGCAGCCACAGGCCAGCTGCGGGGCCCTGCCCAGAGCTGCTTCCCCGGGTTGTCACAGCGGAGGCACCAAGAAATTCCTCACTGAGATCCTCCCGCCCTCCGCCAGTGTTCTCCGGCTCGAACTGCGCCTCCTGGGCCCTGGGATTCCCCAACCAAAGCGCCGAATTGCTGATGCAAGAGCCCCCTGCCCTCTGACAGTGCCAGGGAGACAAGGTCACTGCTGTCTCAGGACCCCTGAGTGACTGTCCCGAGCTGAGCCCCCTGCTGGCCCACCGGGGACATGCAGCCTTGGCGGTTAATAACCTTCCTTAATAAGCCACTGAGGTTTGCAACATACTCTCTCGTCTACCCCTAAGCGTCTACCTAGTTTTCCCTGGGGAACATGCTCAGCTCTCAGCACCCTGCTCTCCTCTCTCCAGCAAGCCCGTCTCTCTTCCCAGAATCCTCAAAGCAAGAAATGTGTGTGTCTAGCACCTACCAGGAAGCAGACACTGTGTGCTGAGGACACAGAGGGGAGTCCTCGGTGCCCCCCGGACAGCGTGGTGAATGCTGGGACACACGCTGCAGCAGGGGGTGGTTCTGCGGACCTGGCACGGGGACGGGGGCACAGAGAGGAGGGGGGCTCGCCAGAAGAAAGGATACCCCGCTTACTTTGGAGAAACGAGAGGCAGGCAGAGAATTAGGGGTCAGAGGTGAGGCACTGCAGGCAGTGGGAGCACGTGTGGAGGCACAGGGGTAGGAGAAGGGGGGGGCTTGTTCAGGGCACCGTGGTTGCTGGGGGGAAGTGGACGAGGAGGGGGGAGGGGGCGGGAGTGAGGGGAGCTGGGCTGGAGCCCTGCGAAGGGGCAGTTCCGCTGGGCATCTCTGAGGTTACGACCTCTGTGTGGATAAATGAATGTGTGTCTTGATGTGGTTTTGAGCTGCTGGCCCCAGTGGGCAGCACGGCCACCATTTCATCTGGTGGCACAGGAGCCTTGCGGGTCCTGATGGGAGGAGGGACTGAGGGAGGCGTCACCACATGTTCCCAATGGCTCTGAGGAGATTGAAGTGGCAATTCAGAGGCAGGATAAGGACCAGAGGTGGGAAGAGGGGGTCATATATATATATATATTTAAATTGATTTCAGAGAGGTAGGGAGAGGGAGATACAATAGAAACATCAATGATGAGAATCAGATTGGCTGCCTTCTGCATGCCCCCTACTGGGGATCGAGCCCACAACCTGGGCATGTGCCCTTGGCCAGAGTCGGACCTGAGACCCTTCAGTCCGCAGGCCGACGCTCTATCCACTGAGCCAAACCGGTTAAGGCAGAGGGGATCTTTATGGCAGCTCTTGAGGGACAAGCTCACATCTGCCTTCTACGAAGGGAGGCTGAGCGCATGCTGGGGAGAACTGGAGCTCTGCCATCGTGGAGGTTTGAGTCCTGACTCGACCACTTGCTCTGCACGACCTTGAGCAAGCCATGGCCTTTCTCATAGGGTTGGTGTGAAACAAAGCGAGATGAAGCGCCTGCTACCTGATGGGCCCTAAATAAGCACCGGCTGCCTTCTCTGTCCCTACGTGGCTGGGGCCCGTTGGTCACAGCTGCCTCGCCTGTCCAGAGCCTACAGGGGGCAAAGGATCAGGGTGGGTGGGATGAGGAAGACCTGGGCAGTGTGACACGCTCAGTCATTGATACCGGGCAGAGGGACAGGGTTCAGGGCCCTGCTCCTTGCCATGTTCACCAGGCGCTTTGGTGGAGGAGAGACAAGCCCTGTGGCCAGCCTGGCACCCCTCCCAGCTCCCCCAAGCAGTGGGAAAGGGGCTGTGGGAGCAGCACCCAGAAGGAAGAAACCAGCCCTGAAGCACCATGGGCAGGGTTGGCATGAAAAGTGAGCATTTCATTCTCTTCATTCTTCAAACCTCCTACTCACCATTCTCTCCCACTCTCTCGGCTAAGGCCTTTGCCTTCAATGTCACTGAAATGAAAGCAATCAAAAGGGAATTCCCTCTTCTCACCCCCTCGCCCCACTACTGCCTGCCTTGCACCCTCCCAGGAGACAGAAGTGCCTCTTCTCTGGCCCTGGCCAACCCCTTCCACCTGCTCTGCCCTCGCACTCGCATATTCACTCTTTCCTTCCGGTGGGGCCCTGCCCTGGAGCGGACATGCACCTACTCTGTCCATTTCAAAAACAAAAACCCGGCCCTTGATGCCTTCTGATGCTCCATCAAAACACCCTTGAATGAGCTGCCAGGAGCTCCCCGCTGCCTCTTCCCTCCCCATTTGCTGCCAAGCCGACTCATTGCCCCTCCTGTCCAGGGCACTTTCTTCGCTGCCTCCTCTGACCCACCAGCATTTGCGGCCGACCCCTCCCTCCTTGTTCAAACATTCCTTCTCTGGACTTCGGTGACTTGCTCCCCCAGCCATCTTCCTCTGTCACTCGCTCCCTCTGTCTTTGCTGGCTCCTTCTCTGAAGGATTTCTAATGACTGATACCTTCTCGTTTTCCCATTTTTATATTCTTTCTGGGACTCTCAGTCTGAGTACGTCTATAATGTAGTAGTTACTAAATTTGTTTTCAGGTATGACTTGTCCCCCAAACTCCACATTCATGTATCCAAGAGTCTGTTCGATATTTCCACGTGGATGTCCAATAGTCATCACATTACCAGGCCAAACAGAATTCTTGATGAGCCGTACTCAGGCACCACCTTCCTACATGGTTTCATTCTCACAGTTAATCTTTATTTTGCTTATTTCTCTCTTCTCCCTGAAACTGGAAAGAAAACTCCATTATCCGCTTCCCCTGCTCAATATTGTGTGACACTCCTTGGCACACATGGAACTTGAAGTTTGGTGACTGACTAATGAATGAGCCTTTGGCTTACGTAAGACACCAGGTCTGCTAGCTCTCGAGTAAGAGGAAGCTCCACAGACCTACCTGTGGACTTGAGCATTTAGATGATGAGACAACCAGAGACTGTTTCCTCAGTCACACCCTCCTGGTCTTCCTTGGCGTCTCTCTGGATGGAATGGGCCTGTGCTTCCATTGTGTTGTTGTCACTAGTTTCCACCAAGCGCCCATCAGAGTATGGAAACTGACTTAAAAGAATCCCAAAAGAATAGCCCACCTTTGCCATAGGGCTCCCTGAAAAGATTTTTTGGTCCTTTGCTCACGTCTTCCGAGCAAGTTCCACCTCATAGCTCGTCACCCACACCCCGAAGCAAGAACTCACCCATCGCATGGGGCGGCAGGAGAGTCAAGAACAAGTGACCAGCCAGCGAAGCCCCAGCTGCAGCTCTGCCATGAACGCGAGGGCGGGAAGAGGACAGCCAGCAAAGGCAGGAGCAATAGATTTACAAATCACAGGTGGAGGCGTCGCCCCGCAGGGTGGGCCGCGTGTGGCCGGCCTGGAGGAGGAGTCCTTGTGTTCGGTTGAACACCGGGCACTCCCTCCCTTGGATAGGAGGCTTCACCCACCCCCAGGGCTTCTGGTGTTTGAATACGCCCACTGCCCACTACGAGTGTGAACTGGGGCTCGAGGATGCATTTAAGTGGTTATACTTGAATAACATCAACCTTGACCTTATGATTAGCTAGAATCAAAACCTAAAGGGGCCCTAACTGGTTTGGCTCAGTGGGTAGAGCGTGGGCCTGCAGACTCAAGGGTCCCAGGTTCGATTCCGGTCAAGGGCACCTACCCAATAGGGAGTGTGCAGGAGGCAGCTGGTCAATGTTTCTCTCCTCTCCGTAAAAACTCAATAAAATATATATATTTTAAAAAAAAGATAGTGATTTCATTAAAAAAACAACAACAACACCACAAAAAACAAAACAACCTAAAGGAGAGAGAGCATTTCTGCAGACCTCCCGCCGCCCTGGTACTCAAGGCCAACAGCCCAAGCATGTGGGTCAGCTCTCCTAGAGGCAGGGACTGCCAAGGGCAGTGACGATGGGCTTGGCTTGTCAAACTGAAACCTTCAGTCGCCCTTGGTTTCGGCTGGCAAAGCCTCCAAGCAACTTCACAGGCTCCTTCCCTCCGAGTGAGAAATCTGACTGGAGAAGTGAGAACGATGCTCACTGGACACAGGGGAGGTGGGGTCTGTGGAGGGGATGGTTCTCATGGCAACAGACCGCCCAACGGAGAGCGGGAAGACTTCTACACAACCTCTCAGGTTCCACACCAATGGGAACGCCAGGGGGAAGATCCACATTCTAAATGCACCTGTGCTGGCCTGCCTGCCCGGGGGAGGGCGAAGGTGGTTGGCTCCCAACACCACCTAATTCCTCCTTCTGTTGCCAGGCAGTGCTTCGTTACCACAGACACGCAGAATCCCTCCTGGGCAGCTGGACTCGCGGAGTGGAGATTTCAGGGAGGAGGGATTGTCAACAGCAGCACTGAAACCTAAAAACGTATTTTATTTCGAAGTTGTGCTTTGGATTTTCCCCAATCCAACATCTGTTGAGTGACAGTCTTAGGTTCCCACAAAGCATCTCCAAGCATACATACAGTATTCCAGTTATCAACACTATTTAAAGAATATACCATTGTACACAAACGTGACATACACGTCAGACGCCACAACATTGCAATTCCCTGGAAGCTCGGGCTTCTCTTCGAGGTGCATCCACACCAGCCCTCCCAGCTGTCCGTTCGTCCTGCTGCTGGCGTCTCTCCCGTCTCCTTGGGGAGAAACCAGGGTGCCCTGAGGAGGTTGGCTGAGACCAGTGTTTCCAGTTTACAGGCGGTTGGCTGCAAACTCCTCTCTTGTTCGGAACTGGGATGCTGGTACCCCACCCACGTCTGTCCCCCAAAGACTGACCCATCAGAATCCACACCAGGAAGAGGATCCGTGCCTCAAGGGCCAGAGCGGGGCTGTTGGAAACACTACGCTGGTTTAGGCAAGCCTGTCCGAGGAAGGCTGGTCTCCCTAGGCCCGGGGTGGCCAGCTCCTCTTGGCTTTTCGGTATAAAAATCACAGTGTGCAACCTCAATTCCAGTTGACCGCAGTGAGCTCTGCCAAGAAGGACTCTCCTCTGGGTTCCCAGTCCTCTCGACAGGACCATCTCACAGGTGTCAGGAGCACCAAAGGGGAAGACATCTGCTCCCAGAGCGGGGGGAGCAGGTGACCATTCACACTGTCCAATTCATGATGCAAATCAGCAGACGACACTGACCCAGGGGACGCGGACAAGTCATGTACAGGGCGGAGGAGAGAAACAAGGTAGGGACAACAGAATAGGCCGGAAGCATTGTCATTAAGAAAGCTTTGCTTTCCCTTTCCTAGAGAGGATGCACCGGAGGGAGGAGGATGGGCAGGTATGGGTACCAATTTGGATCAGTTGGATTAAAAGGAATGTACAGTGGAGGGCGGGGATCCATTTTCAGCAAGGAAGTAGATCCTCGGATACGAGAGACCCTGTTGGCTCAAGACCTGTGGAAGTCCAGGTGATAGACAAGGACTGGCCACCAAACGGGCAACGAGAGCCAGGACTCCAGGGGGCTGTGGCTGCTTCTCAGAGGCTGTCTCACTTCCCTGAAGGAGCTCTTGATGTCTCCCTTTTGTCTCTTGGGATGGTCTTCCTGGTGCTGCAGGTTCTCCTTCTAATGAGTGATTTCCCACAAAGCTCCTCTTCTCCTTCAGGCAGAATGGGGAACAGCCTACCACTTCCACAGAGTCGACTACCAACTGCAAAATGCTGGCCCCAAAAGAGCTTCTAGGTTACAGATGAGAAAATTCAGACTTTTTCCTACCGGAATGACAACTCACCATCTCTCCTGAACTACAGGAAATAGTAAGGCTAAAAGTTGTAGCTCTAGAACCGAAAACAGACAAGAGGAATGAGTTTCGAGTTTAACTCGAGTAGATATCTGAGATGCAAGAGCCTGGAGTGTGACTGTCTGTTCCCAGCTCTGGTTCTGGGACAGCAGGATGCCAAGGGTGCTGGGATCACAGGCACCAGGTTTGGAGACCGGCTTAAAGCAGACAAGGGCATCATTTTTGCTTTTTGGAGAACTAGAAAAAAGTCCAAAGAAAGGCCAAAATATTCAGCAACCAATTTTTCTTAGATTCAGGCCTTATGAAGATGTTAATGCCCGCCCCCACCCCAAGGTGGTGGGGACGGGGGGGGGGGGAGAAGGGCACAGTTCTCTTGGTTGTCGTTTGGCTAAAAGAAAACATGTTTTTAAGGAGAAATGTCTCCTTTTAATGTACCTGGGGCTCCAAGCCCACTGGCCCCTAAAGAGACCTCATAGAATAACCAAACTAGGGGCTGAACTTAGAAGACGTTTTCATTTGGGAAAAATTTTGGGGCTAGCAAAGCTGAATTTAATTTTTTAATAGAGGAATAAATTCTATGTCTTAAGTGCCCAGATGAGTGGGAGGAAAAAGGACTCATTTCTTACCTTTTTCCAAACCTGTCATAAATGCAATAAGACTCTCTTATAGGACTCTTTACCCTAAAAGGAACCAGCTATAAAACCGTTTTATATAGGAAAATGTCTTATCTGGAAAATGGTCCATCAGAGACAAAGATAGGAAAGCAAGAAATGTCTATACATTCAGGAAAACTGGAGAAGTTCCGTAGTAAGACTGAGTTGTAGTTCTAGATGGAGGAGGAGCAAAAGCAAATACCAAGGACTAGCTCACACCAGTAGAAAGAAGACAGAGTCTCTAATCCCTAAGCAGATTACAGGATCGCGTCCCATCCTGCTATATGTCATATGATGGAGATACCAGTCTAGGTTCTCCAGGCCCAGACAGATTTGTAATGGAAACAGAGACCCCTGGTGGCTCCTGTGTGAACTGTCACAATAACTTACAAAGAGACTGGTCTAGGACCAGAAGCTACACATGCCAGAGACTAGAAAAGCCTGTGTGTGTGTGTGTGTGTGTGTGTGTGTGTGTGTAAAACGAAGAATGGACTACATGGACTATATGATTCTCTATAACCAGTACCCAAAACAAGACGTCACTGAGAGCGGGTTGTCCGTAGCTGACCATCTGGTTAGGCATCCCGTGTGAGGGGACTGAGCCTGGAGCCCATGTCCTCATGGCTTGCCTGGCCAGATTTCACAGTGACCTGATAATGGAAAAATCTACCTCTGGCTAACCTAAGAACAGTATGTACTGCGGCTGGTTGACTTACGACGACTGGGGGAAGCAGAGGGCAATGGGAAGGGCCGGGCAGGGTGATAATGAGAGCTTCATTCTCAAGATTTTGGGTGTTGGGAAGGCTAATTCCTGGAAGAACAACTTAAATCTAATTTTCAACTGAAGTCCCCAAGCTAGTTAAATAGGAAGAGTTTAATAACAGTCAGTCCCTGCAGTCCCCTTGTCTAGAACAATTAAATTATATTCCTCAGACAGTACAAGACTTGTCAGTGGACTGTGGGGAAGCCGAGGAGTTGACACCAGGACTAGTGGCATTTGTTTTGGGGAAGACAGTGGGCTTGGGCCGTGTGGCAGGAGGCTTGACCGGGGCAGCCATCTTGACGGACTTGACAGGCCGGAAGGCGCAGGCGATGTCCCCAGCGGTGCTGGCACTGCGCTGGAAGGCGGGCTCGGGGTCCTTGAGGAGCTGGGTGTGCAGGGGGCTGGAGGGCTCGGACGTGGGGGCCACCACTGGGGAGGTTTTGAGGGGCTCCAAGGTGTCCAGAACCACGTCAGGGGTGTGTTTGACGCTGCTCTGCCGCTCCAGTTCCCGCAGCTCGTTCAGGGCAGAGTTCATAGTTGCCTCAATATCCTGCAAAACAGGAAAAAGGAGGTGAGGCAAATGGAGGGAGAAGTCCCCCAGGATCCTATTTCAACACCATAGGCCAGATCGTGGAGAAACCAGCTACAATGAGATGTCCAGATTATTTTACTTGGCCCAAATCCTTGAACATATGAATGTTCAGAATGTGGGGGGAGGGGACAAAAGGATTTGCATTATCATGAGATTCTTTTTCCTTTGGAAAGAGTGGTTGAGATGTTTTTAGAATAGAGTCATTGGATTTTAGAGATATGTATTGAAATATTGAAATATTTATGGATGAAGGATTTAAAGAATCCAGCGGGGAGAGAAAAGGTGGATGAACTAAGACAGTGGTCGGCAAACTCATTAGTCAACAAAGACAAATATCAACAGCACAGTGATTGGAATTTCTTTTGAGAGCCAAATTTTTTAAACTTAAACTTCTTCTAACGCCACTTCTTCAAAATAGACTCGCCCAGGCCATGGTATTTTTGTGGAAGAGCCACACTCAAGGGGCCAAAGAGCCGCATGTGGCTCAGGAGCCGCAGTTTGCCAACCACAGAACTAAGAGAGTGGGCAGGAGTTTGGTTATAACTACATGGGATCATTATGTAATTCTCTCTACATTTGCATATGCTTGAAATTGTACATAGTGAACTTTTTTTTTTAAGTGGTAGAGATGAAGTATGATCTTTGATTTCTTGGACTCCAAGGTCAAAGGGTGAAAAGGTTAATTCTTCTTCCTCAAGGGCTGAGGAAAGGGCCAAGAGCCCTGGCACTGAAGATTCATCAGATCATCTCATCCACCCCGCTTCCTCCCGCTCCCCGCCCCTGCATGAAGCCATTTCCTCCTACCCATCACCAGGAGAGGGCACCAGAGTTACCAGGAGGGGAGCCAGAGCCCACAGGTGAATCACCTTCAGCAGGTCACAGTAGAGCACTCAGCTCAGGGACTCAAGGCAGAACCAAAGGTCCTTTGTAGGCAGCCAGCTGCCTCCCAGCTCCTTCCCTCCTCCCCACACTGTGTGTCAAACCACCACAGGGCTCTTCCCTTGGAATTAGGCTCATATTGAAAGACTGTATGTGCTAAGCAAAGGCCCCTGGCTAAGGTGTCTGTCCCACAGGATGACCCGTGTGTTCTGTTGACAGAGACTCAATTTCACGTTTCCCTAGGATGTCCTCAGACCTTAGAAATGCTCAGGAAGAGCTCCATTGCTCTCCACGGCCGCCCTCTGCAGCTAGAGCCTGTCCCGCCATTATTCTGACTTCCGCTTGACCTGGCCAAAGAGGGAGCTGGGAGGGTTCCCACAATGCAAGGCAGACTGCAGCCAAGAGCTTAAGCAGAGGCACAGAAATAGAAGGCCAACAAAGCAAGACATCTCGACCTGGAGCTTAGTACTGGGCTTACCAGGTACACATTCCCTGAGCGGAGATCCACAATTAAGCCAAGAGAGACCACGCCCAGCTGCTCCTGCCCCCTAAAGGGGGGGCGAGGAGAATCTCAACTCAGTTGAGACAGGAGAAGGCAACAATGAGCCCTCAGTTCCTACCTGGTCTAATGAAAATTATAGAGTTGGGAGAGACGTCTGAATGAGCTGCTTGGAGTGGGCCTGGTGGTCGGATTTTTAGAGGTGGGGACGGATCTCTAGTATTTCATGGAAAACAAAGGCTTGTCAGTGTGGCATAAACAAGGAAAGAAGAGCCCAGTCACCACGGAACTCATCTCCACTGCATCTGGAGATTTGGGCTGGAAACCCTTCTGGCTAAGCCCCCCCGTGTGGAGTACTTTGGGGCCTCCAAGACGAGGAGCAGATTGTTGACTGACCATCTATTTACCGCTACGGACTAGATATTAGCCTTAGGAGATAGAATCATAGGCAGAGTGATACAAACATAAACTGACAATCAAAATACATCCAGAGACATGGATCCATGGAACAGCCTGACAGTTCTTGGGGGGAGGGGAGTGCTGGGGAAGGGAAGAGATTAACCAAAGAACATATATGCATATATGCATAGCCCATGGACAGACAACAGTGTGGGGAAGGCCTGGGGTGGGGTTGCAGTTGGGTGGCGGGACTAAGGAGAAGGGAAGTGGGGGACACCTGTAAGAGTGTCAACAATAATATAGCGTGGCCAGAACTACATCTGAGCCTCAGCACTTGGGCTGAATGGACTCTTATCAAAGCACTCCGTCTGTAACTGGCTATACAATGACCACAGCCTTGTAGATGGCCCAGGCCTGACCCAGAAGCCTTGGTATCCTTTCATTTCGTCTTCAAGTTCTTGGAGGGAGAGGGACCCACATTTCTTGGAAAGCTGTCCTATCAGGCCCAGATGTCCGCTAGTCCCTGAACTCAGGATATGATGTATAAAGCAGTGTCTTTCCAGTCATGTCATAAGTAATATGGGCGCACTAAGCAGCAGTGACAAGGATAGACTCATGCCAGCTGCTTGTCCAGGAGCCCCCCCGTTACCTGTGCAATGACCTCAGGATCCATAGGCCGATGGTTATTGAAGCTTTTTGACCTCCCAGCGGTCACCGTCTTCCGAATCTGCGGACTGTCCAGCCGGTTCTTCAGGGATGAGTGGCGGCTGATGGAGTTGAGGCTCCCGTGCCCACTGATGGAACACTTATCTGGCCCTTCCTTGGGGAGACTCTGGCTCATGATGGGCTGGGAAGATGGGCGGCAGCCAGCCCCCACCCCCGGGGAGGCAGAGTCTGTCAGAGAACCACTCAGCCCGTGGCTGTCACTCCGAAATGTTTTCCGGATGCTCCCCGATTCTGGCCGCTTCCTTTGCCTTCAATCACAAAGAGAGAGGGCAGGGTGACTAGGGAGCCCTGGCTCCGAGGACGTGAAGACAGGTGAGAGGGACACGCTGGCACCCAGGGACTTCCGGAAGGAGAGGGACACAGAGAGGCTTTCGCCACGTCTCGGTCCCCCTGCCACCCCAACTGGACAGAGAAGTGGGTACTTACTTGGCAGTCGTGGGCTTTGAGTTCGCAAGGTGGAAGGTACTGCTGTCAGGAAAAATGTCTGGTTAAGTGAAAGTTTCTAACGGGAAAGAGATGCGTGGAAAGGCCCCTCTATTACCTGCTTTGAGCAGAAACCAGGCCCCAGGGAGAGAACAAGGTTCACCGTCACCAGGGAGGTGGGGAATTGCTGGTAAGAGGAGACTTGACTTTTCCAATTGTAGCCTCTTTCTTCCTCCGACTACAAGGCCACAATCATTTTGGGCTTTGGCAAGAGGCTGTTGCTACTCATTTTGCAGACATGGAACAGAAAATTTTTTCAAAAGGCTGCAATGTTGCAGGGTTAGGGCCAAGCGTGTGCGTATTCTTAGGGTGGAAACACATCGACGTGACCCTGAGTCACCCAGCACTGGGCTGGACCTTGGCTCCGTGTCCACTGGTTTCAGACCACTGAGGCTCTCCTACGAAATGGTTTGGCAGAGTCCAGCTTAGTACATGGGTGTTGCCTACTGCTGAAAATTCCATTTTCTTTTGCAATTAGATACGAAAGACCCTAATCTAAGAAGCAGTAGGACTTCTGGTTTGGGGTGGCAGCTGAGCAGCTTTGATCTGAAATCTATGAAGGGAGATGGGGCTGAGGTGGGAGCTGAGGCTGTAAGAAGGTAGGGGTGGACCTAGTCTACGAGGCAGGGCCAGCATTCTAAGTCTGTTCTCTTAACCGGTCAGGTCTTCCTCGTTGTATATCCACAGGGCCTGGACCAGAGCCTGGCACAAAGCAGCTTTTCCATGTAGCTGCCTGCTCAGTAGTTTAGAGGTGAGAGCCAGCCATTCTTGAGTGGAAAAAGGATGTTCTCAGTGTCTTAGGGAGCACAGCTGAAGTAACTTCTCCACCAAGTCTTCCCTGGCACCCCTTCTCTAACAGAAGGCAGAGCCGACCATGCCCTCCTGCACTGCTTTTTAGTTGCCTGTCTGTATGGTAAGGACTCGGCAAACTGAGTTCTGAGGCCAGGGACTACCTTACTCCTGGGATGAAGCAGTATCGGCACTTGGCACAACAGTAGGTGCTCAATCAATGTGTGCAATTAAATTGAAATGCCACACCCCAGTAACTGCTGACTTCCTTTTCCACTCGGTGGCTGACTCACGAGGCGAAAGCTGCTGAGGAGATTTGTGGAGAGGCTGGTGCATGCCAGCTCCTGGCCAGGCCCTAGGGATGTAGAGGGGAAGACAGTTCCTGGTTGCAAGGAGCTCAATCCGATGGTGAATGTGAGTGAGTTTCAAAAGACACTCAGACTGTTTTAGGGGCATACAATAAGGGCACCTAACTCAGCCCTGAGGAACTAGGGGTGTCAGAAAGGCTCCCCCAAAGAGATAAATCTTCGAACTGTCTTGAAGGGACAGGAGGAGGTAACCAGGTGGGCCTGGGTGAGAGAGAATCTGGGGCACTCAGGCAGTGAGGGGCCTGAGGAGGCATGTGTGGAGTAGAAGCTGGGGCAGGAGTTATAGGCAGAGACACTCCTGAGGACATGAGTGGGGGCCGGTGCCCAGGCAAACCATGTTCTCCAAATACCCCATCCTGACGCCACCAAGCAAGGAGCTCAAGGGAACGCCTTCCACCAGATGCTCATCCTTTAACTACTTCAGCTAGGACTCTGTACAATTCCTTTGTACAAATGGTGTTATATGTATAAATATAAATAACAGTTTAAAAATATGTACCTAACTGATTATTTAACTTTCCCTCCACCAACCCTGCCTTGATTTCTGGGCTAATAACAGGCTTATGACCTTATGATTATAGATTTATAATTAACATAGACTTGTAAATAGGGGGGGGAAATGTGATTAGCCCACAATTACTTTTTACTAGCTCTCCCTCCCAGCAGGGCAGTACGCTGGAGGGAATGAAATAAAGTCCTCAATCATTTTTACTGGCCTGACTTCGATTACAACTGCACTCAGTGAGCTGAATAAGCTACTTACTAACTTTGAGGGCCAAAGAGACGAAGAGCCACGTGTCCCAACCACGCCCCCTGCTACCATCTGGTTGGAAAAAAGCCAAGAGATCTGGGCGACCTGGTGTGGTTTAACAACAACAAGCATCCTTTATTCTCCTTCCAGTTTCAGTGTCCAGAGGCTATGGTTAACAGGTTTTCAGTGTGCAAATCATTTCATTCCTCCAAAGCCGGGGGAATAAAAACTGCGCATCATCTCCAATCCATATTCATCGGGAGCGCCCTGGGGCTCGTCCTCCTGCTGGCATGGGGCCAAGGTTCAGGGTCTGGCGGAAAGAGGTCTGTAGGCTTTGGGACTTGGTGTCTGGCCCCTTGAGATGAGATTAGTTCTCCAATAACCTGAATGTTTCGAGGGGAGGCAGCGGCACGAGGGCGTGGGATCCCTCTAGGCAGCCAGCTCGGGGGTGGGTGGAGTTAAACCCCCAGGATGTCGCTAACAGCCACAGTGAAAGCTGGGGCAGAGGTAAGAGTCTGCTGGGCAGGAGTGGGGATCTGCAAAGGGACTGAGAGGAGAGAACACACAGGGCGAAAGCAGTAGGGAGAATGGAAAGGTCTTGCCACTGGCGTGAAAGGGCAGAAGGGAGGTAGGAGTGAGACAAGGAATGAAGAGCTCAGACAAAGCTCTCCTGGGGGCGCAGGGGGCGCCTTTCCTTCACGGGTGCGTGCAAGACGGGGTGTACGTGGGTGGGGGACACAGACACGGCCATGTGAATAAGCCTCTGGGCTCACGTGAGCCTAGAAGACACACAGACTTCAGATCTGTGCACAGACAAGGCCAAGAAAGACATCATCACAGACTATTACTGGAGTAAGAATTGGAAAAGAGAAGGCACCTCTGAGAACAGTATAAAACCAAGTTGCTTAAAGTAACCAAAGCTTTGGCCAGAGCTGAGCAGTCAGATGACCAGGGAGGGTCTGGCTGAAGCGGGACGGAGGGAGCACCTTCCCAGGCAGGACGGCAGCCCGGCCCGGTGCCAGGCTGGGGAGGCCTCCGCCCGGGCCGCCCTGCAGCAGCGAGGAGCACATGCAAACTGCTGGGCCCGGGAGCTGCAGCCCCGTGCAGCGCAGAGGGTGAGGCTGGGTGTGGCAGAGTCAGTCAGAGGAGCAGAAAATGAAAAGCAGCGCTTACTTGTTGATGTTTGCAAGATAAATATCGGCTACATGACCCCCACTGGGACAGCTGGCCCCCGCTCTGGCTGTCACCTTTTCTTCAGGTGGCTCAGACATGACCTCAATCTCAGACTTGGGGCTGGACCTCTCCACGACACTGTCCTCGCTGGGGGAGAAGGGGCAGGCGGGGAAAACAACACAAAGAGCAGTGTTAAATCGGCAAGATGGCCCCCAAACACACGTTACCCCGCGACGGCTCTGAGGCTGCAGCGACTAGGCTAGGTCTGCGAGCAGAGGCCAGGACACCTGAGGGCATTGGGGTGTCGTTTAAATAAAAATAAATAATCCCGCTGAGCTCGCCTGGAAAGCTGGGCTAGGGGACACCTGGATTCAAGGCACTGCCTTCTACCCACGCTGCCATCCTGAGGCAGCTGGGCCAGGGCCCCTCCTGGAGGAGGAGGAGGAGGAGGCCAGTCCCGGTTGCGAATTATCTGCCAAGATCCCGGGTAAGGACAGTCCGCTCTGCGTGGCTCTGGAGCTGCCGGCTTTGAGGCAGGACATCCAGCCCTGCTCAGAGCATGCCCGCTGGTCTCTCCGCTGCTCTCTGGCCCCTCTGGCTACTGATGCCAAGGAAAAACCCTTCTCCCCCACAATCCATCTTCTCTTGGTCCCGCAGTGAAGCCATAACACTAAATTTGGGAGGGTCCTGTCCATGCACAGATGGCCACCGGGTTTGCGATGTTATCAACAGAGGAAGGATTTCCCCGCAGAACGAGTTGGGGAGAGGCTGGGAGGGTGCAGACTCGTTCAGGATATCAACCTTTAAAAAATAATATCAAGGGACGGACTAAACACACTGACAGCATCATATCCAAGGGGAGGAAGTGGGGCAGAGGCAGGGCAGAGGAACAGGGTGGCTAGCGGGGGCACAGGAACACCCTTCCTGCCTGGAGACATGGCTTTAGAGAGCGGGAACCAACCAGCAGCCCATCTATGAAGCCATTCCCTCTGTTCCCTGACATCTTTTCCCCTCCCTCCCCGGCTTTCTCTGTGTCTACCTCATCTGGGTTAAATGGATTTGGTCATTTCCACAAAGCTGCCTAAGCTGGCTTTCTCCTAGAAAAGGAACTTATTTTCATTTCAGTGGAAAGACGCCAGCAGGGGTCCAACAGGTTAGGGTGGGCATAGATACTATTTTATTATTATTATTATTATTTTTTAAAGGGGGAGATAGAGAGGAAGATATTTCCCCAACCTGATCTTTTCAGAAAGGAAAGTGGTCAAATAATAATCCTCAATATCACTCATCAGGTGTAAGTGGGAATGAGCGCTCTCTGGCAGCAGAGGAGTGGTTTCCAGGGGGAACACAGTGTGGTGAGAATCAAAAACAATTCTCCACTGAGTCTGGGGTTGGTCTCCCTCATCCCCCGTTGGCTCCAGAAATGGTTTCCCTCCCACAGGGCAGCCAGGGAGCCCTAAAGATGCAGGGGCCCAACGTACGTGTCTTGAACCACGATGTACTGATGGGGGATGAGCCCGTCGAGGCCATTGTGCCGGCCTTCCCACCAGTCGTCGGAAGCCCGCTGGTACAGCAGCAGGGATGCCCCCTTCTTGAAGGACAGCTCCCGGGCTGTCCGGCCCACGTAGTCAAACTTGGCAATGGCCTCAATGGGCTCACACTCTGCGAGGAGGGGAAAGGAAGGAAACACATGTTGCTGGGACTCACAGACTCAGGAAACTGAGAGGAAGCGCTCAATGAGCTGAACTTACAGTGGTGGGAAGATAACCTTCTGCGAAAAATAAGCCATGGATAATATTTAAAGCAGGTAATTCCTGTGTAAACTGTGCCACCATCTTGAGCGCAATGTATGCCCTTCCTGGCCTTTGTTCATGCTGTTCCCTCCACCAGGAATCCCTGTCTCTCTCATCTGATTGATGAAACACATGAAGTCACAATTCGAATATCACCTGCTTCCTATAGTAACTTCTCTGGCCAACCCCTATCACTGAACTGGCATACTGTATTTGGAAGCATCATTTCTTTTCTGATTATAAAATAACTAGAGACCCTCGGGGGATGTCAGAGGTCCTGGTGCACGGATTTGGCCCAACCCCCCCAGGCCAGGCAGAGGGACCCCATCAGACTTATAGTATGCATATAAGATCTTTGGTTAATCTTTTCCTGCCCTCCCCACTTCCCTCTGAGATTCATTAGTCTTCCATGTTTCCAGGCCTGTGCAATGAGCGTCTGCCCCTTGGTGGTCACTGTGTGTTATAGCAATTGGTTGAACGGTGGAATGGTTTCTTAGGCTTTTATCTATCTAGATTCCGTGAATCACAGAACATTTATCATTTTATATTTTAAATAATTTATTTATGCTATCCATTCTCCCTAGTAGAACATGATATTTTAATTTCAATAAAGAGAAAATAAGTTGCCCAATCAACTTTCTAAGAAACAAAATATAGAAATACATTTCGTGGACAATATATGGAAAAAATGTACATAATTGTGATTAGAAAAATAAAAGGGGTTTACAAATGTAATGCAGTTTTACTTTTGTGTGAGCCTGAATCTTGTCTATTAAATGGGGATAATAATAGTGTGTGTGTGTTTTATTTTCTTCATAAAATTGTCCTGAGGAGTTAATAATTTTTTTTAAATGAATTTATTGCCCTAGCTGGTTTGAATCAGTGGATAAACCATTGGACTGTGGACTGAAAGGTTCAATTCTGAGCACATGCTTGGGTTGTGGGCTCAATCCCCAGTAAGGGGCTTTCAGAAGGCAGCCAATCAATGATACTCTGTCATCATTGATGTTTCTATTTCTTTCTCCCTCTCCCTTCCTCTCTGAAATCAATAAAAATATATATACTAAAAAACAAATAAACAAAAAGAATTTATTGTGTACAACTTTATAATCTGACATCTGCATACTCTATTGTGTGCTTACAACTAGAAGTCTACTCCCCTTTTGTCACCATATATTTGACCATTTTTACCCTCTTCATCTCCCCTCATTCCTTACCCCTCCAGAAACCATTCTGTCATCTGTATCCATGCGTTTGTTTTTTTGTTTTTTGGTTTGTTTGTTTAGCAATTCGTAAAAGTGCTTGGCCCATCGTAAATGCTGTGCATGTGCTAGCCATTATTCTGCACATTATACTACACATTTATTTATATGCCTACTTTTAGAGAAAGGATTTGAGGTGTGTTATTCAGAGTAAATGAAAGAAACTCAATCTGGGAATTTAAGAACCAAAGTGAACCTAAGGCCAAAGGCCGAGACTTCACAGGAGGCAGGCCAGAGAAGGCCTGCTACACACCCTACTCTCAGTTCTGCATGGCCTTGGGCATGGCACTTGACCTCTTAACCTCAGTTTAAAAAAAAAAAAAAATAGAAGCACTATCTATTTCACCAGAGATTAGGTCATAAGACATATAAAGCCTCTAGCATTGGTGGGCCCACGGCAGGCTCTAACCAAATACATATTTCTCTAGTTCACCCACTTTCCTCCCATGTGGCAAATCATCATACCGATCCATCTGACATCAGGGCCTGAATAATAGCCCTAATGTTTTCTCCTTTAGAGCTGGCTGAGGATCGTAGAATTCACTGCAAAGGCGGGAACTGGGAAAGCCCCGCAGACTGTGCCATTTTGTTCTTATGCCCAGAAAATTCTAAGGCCCCTTGTCAGCTGCTGAGCCTTCCAGAGCCCCAGAGATCCAGAAATGGGGCACGAAACTACTGGAAGGAGAGGGAAAGGTGCTGGCTGGACAGTCCCTGGTAATCACTGCTGAGGGGCCCGTGGCCGGCAGCTGTGTCCACATCCCGACGCAACCCCCCAGGCCGCAGCGCCCGCAGGTCTGCGCTGTCTGGAAAGGGTCAGTCTTTCCAGCGAGTAGACGTGAGAGCGTGTGGTTTCTGCATCCTCACTCCCACTCCCCTCTGGCTTCTGCTGGAGTCTTGGCACCCAGCTTCTGTATTCCCGGGCTTATTGCTTTTCAAACGAGCTCTTCACTTTGGTCTCTAGCTCCCTGGCGGCAGTCTGGGCTGGGACAGGAACTGACATGCTGGCGAGACAAGGAGCTGTGAGGTGGGCGAGGGCAAGGTGTTGGGGCAAGAGGTTGAGGGGCGATGAAATGTCTAGTCTTCACCTCTGGTCTGATACAGAGACCTCTCTGTCTGAGAAGGTGGGCTGCCTCTTTAAGACAGGGAAGGGAGGCAAGGGTTTGCTGCCTGTGTGCAGGGGACTGCTGGGGGAAGGCTCATTGGGAGCACAGGATGGCCTCACCCGGGTAGCCCCGCGGACCCCAAGCAGGACCTCGTACCGTCATCACTCGTGTGGTGCTCCGTGCTCACATCCTGGGTGGAGTCTTCAACCGACGCTGTCTCTCCGTGAGGGCTGTCACTGCAACAGAAGCGAGAGTAACCAGGCTCAGCGGGCTCACAGAATTCTTTTCTTCTTCTCCCACAGCGTCCTCTGGCTCAGGCATGGAGTCTACCTCATGCTCTCTCTATCCTGACTGCACACTACCCATAGACGCCAATAATGACCGAGAAGGCTCCTGAGGTTCCTACTCCAGCCTGTTACAAAAGCTGCAGACTGCTTGGAGTATCTTGACACAAGCGAACACCTTTTCAATCATAATTTTTTTTTCAAAACTACAAAACAACCCAACTCCTCAAGGGCTGTTTCTCTGGGTGAATTAGTTCCTGGAGGGAGCACGGTGGAAGAAAAACACTAGGCTTTAGTATCAGATACAGCCGGATCCAAAAACCCACTCTGACACTTGGGAGCTGTGTGGCCCCTGGGCAAGTTACTGGTCTCTTCCAGCTTCAGTCACCTAATTTATAAATGGTCAGAATAGCTCAGGGTCATATGAGGATTCGGTGAAAAAAGAGGGGGTGATTGATAAGCAGTACTTCCTTTCCTTCTTTCTCAGTCTGCTTGATGTCTCTAGGACGCCTTGCAGTTTAGCTCCTCCAGGTACTGGAAAGGAAGTGGGAGGGGAGCCACAGAAATGGATGGGAAGAGGAGTCTGCTGCGGGCTGAACTCCGCAAGAGCACAAGAGAGTCAGGTCAAATTCCTGAAGAAATTTATTCTGTCTAGAATCATCCCTCAGGAATGAGGATCAAGAATGGCCAGGGAAGTTACTAGGAACGTCGTTTTGCCGCCTGATCTCCTGGCTCGTGGCCTTCAGAGTGCTTAGTAAGGTAGAAAACCCCCGTTCATGTCTAACGGTTCTTTCTCTGGCACATGGTAGTAATGAGTGAGTCTTTCCAGGGAGTTCTATGGAAGAATCCCACCCTTGCAGCCCCACCACCTGGCCTCACCACCCTTGCAGCCCCACCGCCTGGCCTCAGGGTCCACCTTTGAGCCCATACCTCTCCCTTCTCATGGAATGGGTCCTTCACTCCTAGAAAGGTCCTCCAAAACCAGGAGACCAGTTCAGCATGAACCCCGTTAGGAGTCAGTCAAGTCCAAGGAGGTTCTCCAGGCTCCAAAGAACATTCTGGGGTGCATGAATGGGGATTCTGCTTTGTCCAAAAATCTGGGCACAATTTTTCACTGTTTTCTGGGCCTAAAACCCACTGATGAGTTTGGTGACATTCTGGAAACCCTTGGGATGCACAGGACAAAGGCTCACTTTCCTGCAGGACTCCAAGCCATCCACTAGGGGGCAGTTCTCAAACTTCAGAGAGCAGACTTTAGAAGGAAGGTAAAACAGGAATTGGGAAGTTTCAGCCCCAGAATTTCTGATTCACTAGGTCATTTGCATTTATAATCAGCCCCACGTGCTGTTGGTCCCGGGACTCCACTTTGAAAACCACTGCTCTAAGGTAAGATGTTTTCTAAGGTTCCTTCTTGCCCTAAAATCCCATTTTCCTCACTGTACGCCCACACCCCAGCAATACCCCAGGCCCAACCCTGTGGTCTCAGAAGCCACCCAGCAGCTGTCGGGAAAATCCGTTCCGATCTCAGGGTGGTAAATGTGGTGAATGGCCTCTCCTCTTCACGGTCATGGGGAGGCCTAGTGGCCTGTGCTCCCTCTTCCTGGCTGTCTGGGCTCCTGGCCACTTTCCAGAATCCCTGGACTCTAACACCCCTACTGCCACCCCTCCCTCCCCCACCTCCTTCATGGCCTTAGCTCACAGTACTGGCACCTCTCTCTCCCCAAAGGAAAGGGAGCCTTCTGAGTGGGTGTGAATCCAGGGTTGAGATGGTCCCTTTAACCCCAAGGTCATTTACTCTTGATCCTCCAAGTACCTCTGGCCTGAGGCCCAGGCCGTCCTACCCAGGCTATGGTATAACATTCCCTGAGTAATGTGTGGTTTTCCAGAGGCTGCTAATAAATGTTGGATGTATAACAAACAGCATGGGGCCAAGGGGAACACCTTGGAGAGAACTGGAGGAAGATGTCCTCCTGCTTGCCCCTGGAGCCTCCACCCCCATCCCCTGCCGGGGTTCCGTCTGTTCCACTGGGCTGGGACCACGGGGGAGGGGGCTGTGAGGGACCATGTCCTGGGGTAAGCCCAGCCTGCAGTGGTTTCATATTTGAGAACTGAGGGCAGACTTTAGAAGGAAAGTAAAGCAGGAATTGGGAACATTATTCCATAGTTTCCCAATACTCGTGCAAGTGGGAAACTGACCCTCCCAGTCACATGTACAAGGACAGCTCCCTGGAGCTCCTCGGCCAGCATGCTGAGACCTGAACAACCTCCCCCATCCCATCACCCATCTGTCAGTGACAACAAGCTTTCTCTCTAGCTGGCAAGCCGAGGTTTCTCCAGCCCGGACCCAGGTACTGGGGTCTGCAGGACAGTGGAGAAGACCAAGCAGATGTCAGTGATATTTTCATGATCACCACACACGGATGTCCCTTTCCTCACGCCCTGAGCAGGGGATCAGGGACAAGCATGGACCCATCGGCCTCTAATGAAGTAAACAACCTCCCTTATTCTCCCTACCTCAGTCCACAGCAATGGGGCTGGCTGAATTGGTTCCAGATGCTGAATTAGGATGGAATCTGGTTTGGGCTGGCTTATGCTTTCAGCCCAGGCTGAAACATTTTTAGGGGAAGGGAGAAGGGGGACGGGGAGAGGAGAAGGTAAGGGATGTTAGGGAGTAAAAGAGAGAGGCGGATGTCTGTGTTTAGTGGCAAACTAACATGGTAAGTGGTTTCCTGGTGGCAGTGGGTGGTGCCCTGTAGTAAAGGACGAGAGATGAGGGTTGAAATCCCCACTGTGGGGTGGCCTGCATGGCAGTGACTTTATCTGTACAATGGAAACAGTGACTCAGTGTTTGTCCAGCGGGAGGGCCTCTGTGCCTGGGATCCTGTCATATCTCTGCTCCCAGGCCAGGTCATGAAAAACCTCGCTGCACAGAATTGAATCCCACTTCGGGGTGAAACTGTGCCAGCCTGCTGAAAATGGAGCTTCTCTCCCTTCATGATTTTCTGAAATCATCCTAAATGGTCATCTTACAAATGCCCAGCCAGCAAATTATGCCCTGTATCTAAGCCTTTCCCAATATGAAATTCCCCGGGAACCGGGACAGTTTCGAGCACCATGCACAGCAGAGCAGAACTCTGAGAGACACTGGTGAACAACTGTAGAAAATCCCCTTCCCTAGGGAGTAGTATTATTACTATTATTACTGTCATTATCTCTCAGAATGGTCCTTCACCACTCAGAATCATAAGAAAGAAAGGTGGCATGAAATGGCACTTCCTTCATAGGCCGGGTCAAGGTGGGGCACTGCCTACACCAACCCAAGACCCTGACAGCCTGAAGAGCCTGGGAGTGGGAGGCTGGGCAGGTCTGGGTATTTCCCTTTGGTCTTGCTTGGCCATCTGGCCCCCAGGTCAGTGTGGGTGTGTGATGCCCTCCTCTCCTCCAGCCCTGGCGCCCTACCAGTAATCCTCCATGCTTCCTCCTCGGCTGTAGACGGGGCCTTCCAGCTCCCTGGGGTTTGGGAAGATGTTCTCATGCTGGATGATGATGGTTTTGATCAGCTCGTTCACGTGGGCTTGGCAGGACACCTGGTCGTGGCCCTCAGGCACTGACATCAGCGAGGGTCCGAAGCAGATGGCGAGGTTGTAGGGGTCCATCATGTTCTCCTCACTGAACTGTGACAAACTGGAGGAGAAGGAAAAGGGTGCAAGCTGGAAAGCATGCGCATGAATGCCCAGGAAACACAATCACAGGGGGCACAGCCAAGAGCAAGAACAGAAGTTCTGCAAATTGCCACCTGCTTTCCTGGGCATCAGAGCCCTTCTGAAATGTTGGCAGGAGGGGAGGATGTGGGAATGACCACCACGATGGTCATTCAGGGGTCAAGGAAAGACAAAGCAGAGTACCTCCTTGCATGTTTCATCCCCTCTCTCTCTAGCTCCCCGATCAAATTCTACTTACCATCCCACCCCAGACCTTATCCACCAAATCCACCGTGCATAGCTGGATACTGCTCCAACAGATCCTCTAAGCTGACAAGGCAGACGAAGACCCCAGGCTGGCCCGGTCATAATAGGGTTAGAAGACACAGGCATTGTGTACCTTCTTCCCCAGAAAAATAATCAAGTTATTAGGGATATTCCATTCTAAGATCTAGGCTTATTTTGTTTAAAAGCCTATCGATTAGCTTTTATATCCCATCAAGCCAGTGGAGTTCTTTCTGGAACAGCTAATGCAATTGTTTTTCATTTTCATAACATCCTCCTCTATTATTACATTCAGGATTTGTTCCGGAAAAGGTCAGCACACTGTTCAGCTCCTGCTCAGGCTTCCTCGGGATGCGGTCTGACTTCATTATCGGATATTTATTTATTCTGGGAACTCCCTCTTTCCAGCCAGCAGCTGCTCCAGCCACACCTCCAATCTTGGCCAAGAACCCAAGCCCTTCAATGAGCCACAGCACTGATTGGCTCCCATTGGCCTCTATTTGTTCAGGCACCGAAGGCTGGGCCAGCTCTGGATATACTCCCCCTTCTACCCCCCAACTGCAAAACAGTGAGCTCTGCCTCCTTCGGGGCATCAGCAGAAAGTCCCCAGCGCCGGATTCTGCCAGAGCCTAAGAAGACACCCAAACCCTCTGATGCTGAACGAAGGCCTGAGACTCAGCTGACTTCATGTGAGTTGGGCAGTTTACTTCTAGTGCACCCCACATCCAGACTCCAATTACCTAGTTGTCTCTATCTCAATGGTTCCCTCCTCTGTTGAAGATTCTGATAGGCTGCCCACTTAGAGAATGCCTGCAGAAACTTTGAGATGGTCCAGAGAATGTGAGCAACTGTCCTGCCTCAGAGTCACTGTTTTCTAGGATCTCGTCAAACGCAGGGAGGGCGGCGATTGGAGGTTATAGAACTCAGGGGCTGGATCGCTTCTTGGGAGGTCATAAAAAGTTAATTTTGCAATCCTTCTCTGGCTCCTGAGCTAAAAGAGCAGATTCAGAAAAGGCTGGGAGATGTTTCCAAGTCTACTTCTCAGTCAAATAAAAACTTGAGAGAGAATGGAAATGACCTTGGTAACATCAGCAGGGACAACTGAGGATGAGGTACCACAGTTGTAGTGAATCACAGGCTGGCTGGTTCCTGGTGTCACGGAGGGCCCGGAGGAGGCAGGCCCTGTTTTGTAGTGTGATCTGACAATATTCTGGTAACATGGAAGGAGACTGGAAGTTTCTGGAATGTCTTATCGTCAAAGGGAAACAAACTCTAGCCCTGAGAATCCAGGCCCGCTCTGCGAGATGAGAAACGAGGCTGAGCCTTCTAAAGCAAGGCCTGTGTAAGTCATAGGTGGCTGCAATGCAGGGGATACATCTTCATGGACTGTGGTCTCAGAGGTCCAGTTCCATTAAAATATAGACCAAGATCCTTTGCTTCCATTCTGCAAAGGAACACTTAGGGTCAACGTGGGACACTGCCTTTTGGAGGGACATAAGCTCCTTCAAGAATTTGACAAAAACTAGCAATTCTCTCCCCAGAAAATTCATGTATGTGCACATATAAACACACACAACTTTGTATCTAATGGTGTTAATGGTCCTTGGAAACACTGAAGCCCGTACCTGGTATAAGACCTCAAACACTGGGTTTTAATCTTTAAGGAAACACCTAAATAATACTGCTAACAGCCCCCCCCGCCCCTAAAAATTTTTTTGGCATCAACTTATATACTTGCTGTCCCCTCTAAGAGTTGTGCTATATTTCTATAGTTCGGTCTATAACACCAGGGAATCCTCCTAATTGATTCCAACTCATCAGCTTTTGTGCAACTTCAAAAGGTTCAGCATTATGGCTGGGAACACAAGCTTTTTGGAGGAATGAGAAAATCAGGCTTCCTGGACTTTTTACTCTTTAATGATGTGCATTTCCATCTTTGATTACATTTAAAAGAAAAGAAAAAAAAAACAAAACACCAAAATATCCCAAGAATTTCTGGGTCACAAAGACCTGGTTTTGAGTCCTAGCTCCGCCGCTTGCCAGTTTATCTAGTTCCCTAGGTTCTTCATTGGAAAATGGAGGCATAAAATGGACTTTATGGGGCTGTTGTGAAGATTAAATGCAAAGTACTGAGCACTGTGGCTGGCACACAGGTGGGGTTCCATAAATAGTTTCTGTAATTATAATATTCTCACTGTTTCTTGGTACCAGATCCTTGATTCTAGTCCAGGAGTGGACAGCAGGGCTGTGGACATTCAGCAGTAGTTGATTCACAAGAGCCTACCTGCTTCTCCTAACGGGCATTCATTACCTAACTGGGCAGCATGTGACTGTGTGAGTCATGGGGGTTCTGAACTCAAAGGCAGCTGTGGTGCTGAGCCAGGGCTTGGCTGAGGAATGGAGCAGACACAGGCATGTGGAGGAGGCAGGCTGCAGAGCCAGCACCCTCAGTCACTCTTCAGGGCCAGCAACAGGGCTACAGGGCAGAGTGAGTGACCCAGCAAGGTCTCAGGCTGGGGTCACTAACCCAGACTCCTACACAGCCAGGCCCACTTGTAAGCAAGCTGAGGCGCATGAAATGGTCTCTAAACTTGCATTCCTTTGAAGTAGACACCAATCAACTAGGAATACCCTTCATTTCCACAAAGAAATATGTGCTAAAAACCCTAAGCCCCTTGGTCTAATTTTTATTTTCTCCTTTTAATAGATTCATGGATCTATAAAAATATGTCTCCACTGTATAAAAAACCATAAAGCAAGAGTGATGATAAGTAACAACTGAATTTATCCTCAGTATCAGGAGGTGTTTGGGACGGCTGGGGTCTGGTGAATGGAGCAGTACCTGCCTCATTAGACAGCAGTCCTTACTCCACAGGGAGCTGCTGCCCCGTGAGGAGGCAGATCCAGTACTGCAGATCTAACCATGTTTCCAAGAGAAGCTAGAAATCTAGATATTTTTTAAGGATACCCCTGGTATTTAAGCGTTTCAATATTTTCAAGATATAGTGGACTGAAAGGAAACTCATCTATGGGCCTTATCTGGCCCTCAGGTTGCCCATTTATAACCTTTGGTCCAGGAGCTGAAGGAGATGCTGCAGTGAAGGCAATGTGAAAAGACAGGTGCCTAGAGAAGTATCACATGTCCTCGCTTGCTGACTTTGCTGCCACACGGGGACTCCAACACCCTGGGCAAGAACACACTGCATGGACGAGATGCTCTGGCCAAGCCCAAGGTCCCTCAGACCCCTCTTTCAGCTACACTGACTCCACGCTTCTCCCCTGAGTGTCAAGTTCCCATGTTCAGCTGCCAACTTACCATCTCCCCTTGGAGGCCTAGCAGGCCCTCAACTTAACATGGCAGCATCGGCACCTGGCTTTGATTCCTTCCTTCACACTTGGTCCTCCCTAACTCCACAAATGGCATCACTACTTCCCTATCGCTCGTGCTAAAAAGATGGAATTCTTTTTGTTTCTCACTCTCTACACCCTACCCTCCAGGAAGTCCTGTCAATGCCATGTTCAAAACAGATCCAAAACCTGACTCCCCACTACCCTCCAATACCTCCCCAGTCTAAGCCACCCTTCCCCCACCCAAGCCGAGATGGTACAATAATCTCTGAAGGGTCGACCTGCTTCTTCACAGCCTTTTCTCTTACAGTAACGTCTCCACGAAGCAGTTGGTGGGTTTTTAAAACATACACATATAGATCAGATCATATGATCAAAGATCACATGGCTTCTCCAATACAAGCCATTATAACCATGACTGACAGGTCTTGAGAGTCTTTAACATCCCTGTGGTTCCTTCCTCTACTTCATCCAGGCTGCTGCTTGTGCCACCTCCTCAGGGAGACCTGTGCTGACCGTCCCCTATGGAGGCTCTCTCCCTTCCAGCCCCGCCCCTTTCAGCCATGCACTCCATCCCTTAACTGACGCTTCTTTATTTTTCTCCTAAGGACTTACTACTAACTGAAGTTTCTGTTATTTTCTGTCTCCTCCCCTGGAATGTGAGCTAAATGATATCAGAACTTTCGTCTCTTATTCTGCAATGTATTCTTACACCTACATCTGTGCCCAGCACATAGTAAGTGCTCAGTAATTGCTGGGCTGGAGGAAGTGACAACAGATCTGTGTGTAAACTTCTAGTGGCTCAAGCCAAGGTCTGACCCAGCTGCTGACCGGGAAGTCTACTCACTGATTGAGGAAGGCGAAGAGGTATCTCATGACGATCAGAGTGGTTTTGGGCAGAGCCAGGAGGACTTTCCGGATGTGCAGAGCTCTCTCCTGCAAGTTGTCCATTGCTGAAAGAAGAAAGCCATGTGTTACTTCCACTGTGGCTGAGATCCCAGGGTGTAACGGTAAGAAGAGGAGCCTACTACCGGCAGGTGTAATACAGAGAGTGGCAAGGTCAAGTCTATGCAACACTGGTGCACTGTTCAAGGCATTTCATCCCTGTGGCTTGAGGGGTGGGGGGATATGCTGGCTCCAGATACTTACCAGGGCAGGACTTAAGGTATATGCTCCTTGAGCACAGAAGGGTTTGGAGATATTCCCTAAGGATCTACCCTTTTATTAAGACAACCACAGATAAGGAACTACCTGTAAACCTGCTATGACTGCTCAACACCCAGCCTTGGAAGGCCTATGTGTGAGGAGGGAGGGAACCTGGGCAAGTCCTGTCCTGCTAGCTCTACCCATGCATCGTCTTATCCTTTGCACAGGTCTGGCTTATCTTCCCCTCCCTATCTGCAGTGCAGATGAGAAAAATGTGTCCAGAGACAAGCAATGGCTGCCCATGTTAACAGTGATAGCTAGGAGAAAACCAAAGAAGTTCCCTGACTCTTGCTATGAACGGATTAATTACAGGTATGGCCCCAGGCCAGTGGCCTCCATCATGGCCAGCTTCCCACTTCCTGTGGGCCATGTGGATATTATGAGTATCTTTTTGTAAAAAAGAAATGAGAAGCAGTGGATGAGGAGCATTCTCAAGGTATCTCGTACTGTCTTGATAGTCCTGGTCTACTTAAGATATTCAACCTAGGCCCAGTCTTAGAAAAAGACAAGAAAATAGGAGGGATGCATGTACTTGCTCACCCAAAGAACTCATTCCCACCAGACTCCCACAAATAGTGGGTCAACAAGTAAAACAAGAGGCTCCTGAATGCTCAGGCCCTTTCCTCTCGGAATAACAGAGGACAGTGCTCAGGGCATATGAGTCAAAATGGAAACTCGAGGTGGGGGTTGGGGAAAGGAGATTTTGGTGGATCTGGGGAAAAGGCTGGTTTCTCCATTTCAAAGGCACTGCTTTCTCCAGCCTCTGGAGCCACCAATCCAATGAAATGTGGTTCTAGGATGACCGGTATTAATCCAACTTCCCATGGATCGCTTTAGAGCAAGAGGCAGAGAACCTCGCAGGGGGATAAAATAGACTCTCTCTCTGTGAAAATATATTGCTTTTTTTTTTTTTTTTTTTTTTAAATGTTTTATTGATTTTAGAGAGGAAGGGAGAGGGATAGAGAGATAGAAACATCAATGATGAGAATCATTGACCAGCTGCCTCCTGCATGCCCACCACTGGGGATCAAGCCTGCAGCCAGGCATGTGCCCCTGGCTGGAATTGAACTCGGGACTCTTCAGTCTGCAGGATGACACTCTATCCACTGAGCCTAACCGGCCAGGGCTATTGCTGCTTTTAATGCCCCGAGGGTTTTTATTCCTAGAAGAACGTGTATTAAAATATCCACCAAGTAGCCGAGACTGGTTTGGCTTAATGGATAGAGCAACGGCTTGGGGACTGAAGGGACCCGGGTTCGATTCCGGTCAAGGGCATGTACCTTGGTTGCGGGCATATCCCCAGAAGGGGGTGTGCAAGAGGCAGCTGATCGATGACTCTCTCTCATCGATGTTTCTATCTCTCTATCTCTCTACCTTCCTCTCTGTACAAAATCAATAAAATATATAAAATAAAATAAAATAAAATATCCACCAAGTAAGCATGCCATGTGCAGAACAACACACAGCAAATAGTTGCAACACCTATGCTTTCTCCCTATGTATCATGAAAAACACAAGCACTGATGTATCAGCTTCCAGAACTGAAAAGGACTATGTCTTATATATGAATATGAATGTATTTTACTAAAGACAAAGACCAGAGAAGCAAAGGAATTTAAGGTGAATCAGGAAGAAAAAACCCAGGCACGCTAACTGAAATGTCATTTTCTCCCTCCCCTTCCCTCCCCTCCCCTCCCCTCCCCTTCCCTCCCCTTCCTTCCCACCCAAGGGATAAAGGAGTGTTGAGGAGGAGAAAAACCTTCAGTGAAAAAAGAAAACATTACTGCAAAGTTTATGAGAAAAAAAAGACCCTGTAGAAATTTCTCTGTTGCTACAAGACCCTCTGGCCCAAAGACCAGTCTGAGGCCAAGACGATACTTACTCACGCAGGTCATCAGGTCATGGAAGATGTCCTTGGGGAAGAGAGGGTGTTCCAGCCCCCGGAAGTAAAGCTTCAGGACGCCAGCTATGGAGTCCATGTCATGGTCATTCTGGTCCCCAGCCAGCGGGTCCTCTCCTGATAGGCAAACCCCCCCAAAAGCAAAAAGGGTGAGAGAGGCAAAACACATAGGATGAAGCAGAGGTGGTGGGGGAGGGGTGACCTAGTCAAGTTCTTCATCCCAGTCCATCAGCTCTTTGTCCAGCATGGCGGCATGACAAGGGTGACCTAGGAACTGAATAAAGCAATGACTGCATAGGCTTGGGTCCCTGGGCCAGAGGAGTTCAATACGCTTGTGCCAGACTAGCTCAGGGACAGTCCCCATGGGCTGGGGATAGGGCACAGCAACTGGCTCTCTGAGAATCACGAAACCAGACTGGGCCGGAGCTCCTGGGGGAGGAAAGCGAGGCCAGGGAGGCCAGCCCCTCTGCGATGCTCACACTCCTCCTGGCCTGCAACAAAGGATACCTACTTGCGAGAGAACAATCATGCTGGAGCTCCCTATGGAAATTTCCTAGCAGATGTAATTAGATTTAATGATTGGACCAACCTCAAATTGAAACTATATATATCCATTACAGTGACGGAAATTGCCAAAGCTTGCCCATTACCTTAATAGCCCACAGAATAATAAATGGGCTACGATGAACAGGCATATTAGCCTTGATATTAACTACCACCAAAGGTTCCGGGTGAAGCCATATACTGCCCAGACACCATGGTTAACTTCTTGGAAGTTAACATCCAGGAAACAGGATGAATGGAGCTGAGAAGGAGGCAGCTGAGATGGACACTGCCATCTCCCTGCGTATCTAAGGAGAAATGTCTTTAACAGAGCAGGTGCCAGGCTGAAGAGGGAGGCGAGCTGGCTTTCCAACCTCTGGGTACCTCTCAGGGAGAAGGAGTGGAGCCAATGGTCGGGGTGGGGGGGGGGGGGGCAGGGCCTGGCAGACATTTGGTCTTATTTCCCAAGAGAGGTTTTCTCACCTCTCTCAAAGGCGTTTTTGATGTCATTCACTTCCACCTGGGACCCTGACACCCGGAAAATTCCTTCATGCTGCAGACCTGAAAAGTCAGGGAAAAGTGATCAAGAAAAAGCAAATTCACACAGCTCCAAGTTTAGCTGCACGTCCGCCTCTGTCAGCCAGCGAGTATCTAAGCAACCTTCTCTCCCTTCTTCAGGCCAACGGAGAACACATGTGCAAATTCAATTTAACTGAACAAATGTTTTTTGAGTTTTTTTTTGGTTTGTGTGTATTTTTTTTTAAAGCTACAATGTACTTTTTTTTCTTTTTTAAAATCAACAATATATTTATTTGTTCAATCCTGGAATACATATAAAATGGCTTCAGAATTGCTAGCCCATATCCCCATGAAAATAATGACCATCCATGTAGATAGCCAATAAAATATTAGCTTTTGAATTCATCCTCCCTGTATTTCTTCTTGCAAAAGTGAGAGGACACATGTATATTCTTACACCCTCTTCTTTCTTGCATGAAAGGTAACATGCTTTATTATTCTTATTTTTTAACTTTCATTTTATTGGTTTGAGAACGAGAGAGAGAGGGAGAGGAGAGGGAGAAAGAGAGACATTGATTTGTTGTTTCACTTATTTATGCATTCATTGGTTGCTTCTTGTATGTGCCCTGAAAAAGGATCAAAACCACAACCTTGGTGTATGGGGACAACTCTAACCAACTAAACAATACAACCAGGGCTAAAGGCAGCATGCTTTAGATACTCCTTTGCACTTTACTTTTGCATTTGACAATATTTCCTGGAAGTCTCTCCAAGTCATTTACTGGAGACCCTCATTCTTTTTTGGTAGCTGTACAGTATTCCACTGCATGGATATACCACAGTTTATTCAACTACTTTTCTATAAAAGGCATTTAGGTTGTTTCTAATATTTTGTAATTCCAAGTGATGCTGCAATAAATAAACTTGTGCATAGGTAGTTTTATGCTGTTGTGTATCTTTAGGGTAAATCCCAAAAGGATTGCCGATCAAGAGACAGGTGCATATGCAGTTTTGCCAAATTCCCCCACAAAAGGTTGTAGTGATTTGCATTGCTGTCAGCAACATGTAAGCACACACAAAAACATGATAAGATACAATATCCAAAACCCATCCACTTCTCAGCTCTTCCACAGCTAACACCCTGGCCCAGGCCACTGTCCTGTCTTCCCTGGGCTACTGCACTAGCCTCCTATAAAAAATAAACCAAAAAAAACCCCACACACTCCCTGTTCAGAATTCTCCAATAGCTTCCCGCTCACTCAGGAAAAACCCCAAACACCTACCCTAGCCAACGAAGCCCTGAAGTATGACCATTCTCCTCTCCACTCACTCTGTTCCAGCCACACTGGCCTCCTGTGTGCTGGCCCTTGCATATCTGTATTTGATGTCCCTTCTCCCCAAATACTTTTCCCCAGATACCCTCATGGCTCACTCCCTTCCTTCCTTCAGGACTCTGCTCAGATGTCATCTTAGGTGACCCTAGGCTTTTCCTGACCCTGCCTAGAACAGAGGCCCTTCTCCATTCTCCATCTCCTCACCTCAATTTACTTTTCTTCATGACACTCACCAATACCTGGCATATTATATATTAATTTGTTTATTTATGGACTATACAAGGGATCATTTATTTATTTGCCTTTTAGTAGAATATAGGGCTCATGAAAAAAGGAACTTTTTCTTGGCACACAATGAGCAACCAATGTATATGTCTATTGAATGAATGAATAAATGAATGAATAGAATGCATGGATGAATAAATAGGAGTGCAGATGCTCTTCTTCTTATTGTCCTTTAGGCACAAATAATTCTTCCTCCCATGAACTTAGTTTGGACTTATCTTTGCCAATTGCTTGGCCATTAATCATTACTATCTTGTGAAATTTCTTACGCTGCTGTTCTGAATTACTAAAGCTTATCTCTTTTTAAGTTTTCACTTGCTCATTTATTTTCTCCCGACTGTATCATAAAACCAGGGAAAGACAGCAACATTGTATTGTCCCTGTTTTTGTTTTCCTGTTTGGCAATGCATGCCGCCCAACATGAATCAGGGGCTTGATAAATATTTGTTGACTGTTCAATAGCGGTGTGAAATGCTGTTACTTCAAATGACTAGTGATAAGATGAAAAATTGTAGCTGATTAGAATGGGGTAAGTTGTAGGCATGCTAACATAATTACTGTTTCAAAAATGAACCAAGGCAATGTCTCCGTTTATCAGGAAGAGGAAGGAGACCAGCAATTATCTAGACATCTCCTTGGCTCCTAGAGGGCCATTCTGTCCTTTTTTTTCCTGTAACTAGACAGGACAGCACCTAAAAACAGTTTCTAATGCCTAGCTCCTAGAAATCTTCATAGCACTAGCTCAGATATCGGTGCTCTCTAAACACTTGTACACTTAGTAGATCAATTTTCTGGCAGTTCACCTCTATCCCTAAATTCTGTCCAAGCAACCAAGGAGCTGGTAAAGAAGGAATGGAGTTTCTGAGACTGAGCTTTATCTAAGTAGAAGACAGCGTGATTTGATTCGAGGCTAGAAGGAGCAAGTCTCAACCGACTCTCAAGTGTGGGCTACCACTTTAAGAGCAGCTTCTAACTATGCTTTTGGCGATGTTGTATACAGTGGGACCAAAAAGAACAAAACTTGAATGTTTTTAGGAATTAATGCAACATTACAAAAGGAGCTGTCTGCAAAGCAGTCTGATGCAAAATGCCAATGTGACATAACGGTGAAGGCTGTGCAGTGGGAGATTCTGACATGTGCAAAGATGGTGAGTAATGGTGAAACCACCGGCACACACCATGCCAGCTGTACTAATTCACATAACAGCTGTGATCTAAAACTCACTCACAAGCTAGAAAAGGAAGTGTGGCAAATGACTGAGGCCTTCTGGGTCAAAACATGTGATGTCTTTCTCTCAAGGGGTGTATGTGTGGCCATTCTGAAGTAAAAATACTACATGAACAAATAGAATTTTATTCCTTGTCTGAGAATGTCAGCATGAGAAGTCAGTCTCTAAACTTACTGATGAAAGAATTCCTGGAAGTTTTTTTCTGACTTTGCAAATATGAGCAAGGCTAGCACCCTGCTTACCGTGTCTGCTGATAAACCGGATACAGCTTTCCACCACCAGAGGAATTGCCTGGCTGGAATCCTGAAAAGCCAAAGAGAAACACGTTAGGATCTCTAAACAGGGATAGCCTAGGGTCAGAGAAAACGGGACCAAGTGTGAGGAACCTGTCTCAGCTGGTCAGTGGCTGGTCCATCGAAAAGTATCCGGCTTCTCTGCCCTTTAGGCTCCAGCGCTCATACACAACAATCTGCTTAGAATGTCATTCAGATGCCTTAAGTCCAGCATGTCCTACATGAAACTGATCACCTTTTATCCCAAATCAGATCCTTACTCTCCTCAGCCATCCAATCAATACATTTTTGACAAGTTTGCCTCCTAAATATCTCTCAAATCCATTCCTTTTTCTCCCTCTCTACTGCCACCAACCCAGTTCAATTCATTTTTTCAATCCCCACCCTTATTGTCTTCCAAAGCATGCTCTTCTTCTTTTATGGAGTGGTTAGGTGATCTTTAAAAGTGTGCATCTGACTGTTTACTCTCTAGGCTAAACTCTTTGAAAGACCCCTCCTGCAGGCTTCTCAGATGTCAGTCTTTGCTCTGCCATTTTGCTATACAACCCTGAAATTTATTTGTTAGCTTTCCGTTCTCACTAAGGGGGAATATACCACCTAACAACATATTAGATGTGGGTAATGAGAAGAAAAGGCGTCAAAGATAAAATGTGGGACTTCTGGGGCTGTGAAGAATGGAGGGTCCCAATAAGAGAAGTAAATACATTAGGGGAGGTGCTCCGGGAATTAAAACATGGTGGGGAAGTTGAGAGACTGATGCTACCCCAAGAGGGTGGGAGGTGCTATCTTGACTCTCAAGCAGCAATGTCCAGCAACCAGTTAGGAGTCAGATCCAAAACCAGGCTGACAACACGATGGAACAAGTGGAAACTAAAGAAAGGAGAGAAAGGTTCACTAAAGAAACAAAGTGACAGGGAAAAGACTATGGAGAGAAATAAGAAGGCCAAGACTGGGGAAATGCCTGAATGTAGAGGACTGGACAAAGAAGGGCCGCCAAGGAAGATATGGAAGCCACAGGAAAGAGGAAACACTGGGCTGAGAGGCACAGGGAGAGTTTGGAAGCATCTCTTTTTGAAGAAAAGTCTGAGATCGTTTGAACCTAGGGTCAAAAAGTCTGAGATAGTTTGAACCTAGGGTCAAAAATGACTGGAACCCATTAGGGACATCACAAAAAAAAAAAAAAAAAAAAAAAAAAAAGCTACCAGATTTATCCTTTTGTTTGGCTGATTTGTAATAAGCAAACAAATATTTATTCCCTGGTTACTTACAAGAATGCTCATCACCCAAATTACTTACTATTTACCCTCATGACTATCAGAAAAACACTTCACTAATCCACCATTATATTTGAGCTGTTAACAAATACTGGGGCAGCAGAATGAAAATAAGGTCTTTATTTGATTGGGGCTTTTGGTGTATCCTGGAACTTTTATGCAAATCTAGCAACAGGCAAATATGCCTGGCCTGCAACTGCTTATGTGCAACAGGATGCAAGCAGATGGGTGCCATTCCTCTCCATGGCGAGTCCAACCAGGTGTGCAAACCACTGCCAAACAGTGGTCTCCGGCACTCCTGCAGCCAGAGTGGAGGTGTGAAGCCCTTGGGCATACTCTCTATCCATGATTAGGAGGCCCAGTCCAAGAACTGAAAAGAACAAGCTTCGAGTTCAATCCTATTCTTAAGGGGGAAAAAAGACTTGCTTTCTCTTTAAAAGATCCACTGATTAATTTTAAACGCATTAAGTTATCCCTGGGAGTCAATCCATTCTTCTCATTTCAAATGAAATTATGGCAGAAAAAGGGAAGAAGAAAAAAAAAATTAAAGGAACAAGAGGAAAGAGAATTGCAATGAACTTTCTATAATTTTAAAAATAAGTAATTGTATCCAATGGCGGTCTCATTAAAATGAGATCCAAAGCAGAGAAGGCAAAACAAAACAATACAAAAACCTACAGTGACAGCAAAGCTAAGACAAGGGAGGGCTATGTCATCTGGGTCCCCCAGCTGGATGACCCAGCCAGCTAGAGCCATCAGATCGGCTGAAGACCCTGCTGGGCTGCCAGCACCACAGAAATGAGGTGGTCTCTATATTCGATTATCTCCCTGTGGCAACAGTCATTGTGATTTACCTAAAAAGAGTTTTTAAAGCCTGGATCAGCTTTCCCCTGAGTCTAAACAAAGACATTTCTGAGCTCTTTTCACCTCCTCCCTGCTAACTGCCTACTACCTAGGTGGTATGAGCTTAGGAGATACAAAATAATTTCAGTATTTGCCATGAAGAATAAATTAGGAAGTCAAATTTGCTACTGCAAAACACAACTCAATTAATTTTTTTAAACAAGCTCAAATGCTGTTTAGATTGTATTATCCCTTGATGTAGATTATCCATCCACTGCTTTCTAAGATCTCCCCTAAATACAGGTAATGAGAGCTAGCAGCACAGTGTCAGATTTTAATCCAATACTGAAGATCCTGTACAAAATTGCCTGCCTATCAATCCTCGGTCAGACTTATCTTTGCATTTTTAGGATGTCTTAGAAATACACGTAGGATGACCACACCACTAGACACAAGTATCTGCAAATATAAGCAAGAGTGCCTGGAGTGGGTAATTGGCTACTGGGAGCTTCTGCCCTATTGGTACAGATGTATGAAGTGTGAGGCCTCTCTCCTGGCCTTTGGAAGGACTGACACAAAGGGCAGTTCTGGCACAATCTGCTACAGTCAAATCAAACATCACTATGTAAGATGAACAAATCAGAAAGATCATGCCACTCTAGCTAAACAAACTAAATCAATGAAGTTGCCATAATATTAAACACTAGAAGCCTAGTGCATGAATTCGTGCCCAGAGTGGGGTCTGGCCGACCCACCCCAATCGGGGCCATTGGGGTTGGGCTGGCCAATGGGAGGGGCTGTGAGTGGTTGGTCAGCTGGCCCCACCCCTGACTGATTTTTTTTTTGGGGGGGGGGCGCGATGTGTGTGTGTGTGTGTGTGCACGCGCGCGCGCAATTGGGGACAGGGACAGCTGGGGGGAGGGGCCAAGAGAGGTTGAGTGGGAGGGTCAATAGGGGCTCCCCGATTGGCTGCCACACTGTGCGTCATAGTGACTGGTAATTCCTGTCGCTTGGCTTTTATATATATAGATGCTATGACTACATGGTACATTCCAAACACAGGCATGAAGTCAGATAAGTGTCTGTCTTGCCTAAGGTGGCATTCCATAGATGTCAATGGGAGATTATCATTTTTCACACCAGACCAGCTTGGCTCTTGCTGGGCCCTTACCTGTTTCCTCACGGTTGAGCTGCGCCTGTGGTTGAGATCAGAGAGGACCAATCCAGCAAAAGGAAGGAAAAATAAAATGGGGTTAAAAACAGTCTGTTCGGTGGTTAATGAAACAAGTCGCATTATTCTACTAAGACCCAGAAATGGCTCAAAGACTCGATAAGTTACTTTTCAAACAAAACCCATTAAAGCTCTTTTCACAAACATACAGAGTCTCTGCTTTTAATGTCTGTCACCATTCAAAAATCAGAATAGAAAGGACTTGATTCAATTTGCAGTAAAAAAATATTTGGGGTTGACAATAAGATCTCCCTGCAAGGAAACACTAGTAAACACCAAAAGAGGCTACAGATTTCTCTCTTGGAAATACTTCAGCAAAAGAGAGAGAGCAATTTTCCTTAAAAAATTTAGAGGGTAGAGTGTCCAGATATGAAAGAACCTTGGGGATCCTCTAGCTGTGTTTAGCCTCAGAGGCTTTCTCCAAAGGAATCTGACTCAGAGGCACAGTGCTTCAAGGAGTAGGAGCAGCATTGCCTTGTCTGACTGAAGGTAGGGGCCAGGGCCTACCCACTGGGCTCTCTCTGCCCCTTCCATCAGGCTGCCCTGATGAACCTCTCTAGAACCCTAGAGCTCCTCAGATCCAGTGCAATGTTCTTTGTCTCATAGATGAGAAAACTGGAGTTCAGAGAAGCAAAAGAGCGGCCCAACGTCACAGTGAAATAACACAGCATAAGGGAATTCAACTTATACTGGTAAGACTCTCTTGCCATGAAGATACACTCCACAGAAATCTATTATCCTGGTTCCCTCCAGTCATCGAGATTAATGGAACCTTTATTATAATCCACAATGACAAAACGATGAAAGCCAAATGAAGCTATTTCTAAATAACGAGCCTATGATTGTAAATGGCCTCATGATTATTGTGTGTGTTGGCAGATATAAGTGGTTGATATAACGGGCTAACCCAGGGTCTCTAAGGAGTCCGGCTATTAAAGCTCCTTCTCCAGTTAAATCAGCACATGTTTAGGCATCTGAGAACTGTTGGCTGAATGAATGTCTTGTTTTCTGCCAGCTCACGAGCTTTCTCATAGCAGCCCCATCACTGGGAGGGAAAATATTTGGCTGGGGTGGGGAAGGAAGAAGAAGGTGGAGAAAGATTGGGAGGGTTGCATACTTGTACACCAGGCCAGGATTTCTACCAATGCTGTTTGGCAAGACAATGCAATGTAATATTTCAATATCCAACAACAGCCACTAATAGGGGCTGTCATCTTTTCTCAAATGCTATCTCCTGATCTTCCTTCTCGGGGTCAGAGACTTTCCAAAACCCACATGTTTAAGTCTAGCAGCTGAGGTTAGGTTACCAGGATCCTCCCTCCAGAGTGGAACATTTCTTTTCCTTGCAATGTAGTGGCTTCTGGGAGTTTCTGAGATTATTTCAGCAAATGGTAACTCCCCATCCCTCAATTCTTTTCCTAAGTCCCAGCAGATCTCACTTCCATTTGGGGCCAGGTGGTGTCAGCAAGGCAAAGGGAAAATGCAACCTCTGTCCTGGGCCACTCCTTTGCAAAGCCATCTGATGCCTTTGCAAATCGATGCCTTGGCTCTTTATCAGGCTGGGACCTCCCTAACCCCAGGCCTGATCCCAGGTCTGTTCCCAGGTCTTCCCAAGTCACACCTACCTGGCCAGACTGCAATCTGTCCTCTGACCTGTTGGAAAGACAAAAGCAAAAAGCACATGTTGAAGCAGAGGGTGAAAGAGTGAGATTTGCTTCTGGGAATCACCATGCAGCCCGTCTCCCCAGAGAACCTCCATTAGTATCAGAATGACCAGCCTTCAATGCAAAAGAGAAGAGGAGCTTCCAGAGCCCCCTTCTGGGCGAGGGCTGTTTCTGATACTTGTTCCCAGCCCAAGGCTGCAGGTGTCCCCAAACCTTAGGTTTGCCTACTCTGCTTCCAATGAGGTGGATTTAGGGGAACAACAGCAAGGCAGCCACACGTTAGAGGACCTTCCTGTAGGTGAAATTTAGCTTCTCTTCTGTGTACACTGTGTGTGTGTGTGTGTATGTGTGTGTATGTGTGTGTGTGTGTGTTGAGGAGTGAGGAGGAAGGGACAGTGAAGATATGAAAGTTCTAGTTTTAAATTCATACTAAATTCTGTTAGGTTGGGCTGGGGTGGCAAGAGAAAAATGAGATTCAACCCTGACATTGTTATAAAACTGTGGTTTCTCAATTCAGTAGTGGATCCCAATATTAAGTTTAATGAGTCACACCCAGCTTTAAAACATGGGATTGGAAATCTCAATGTTCATAAGAAGTATCTCTATGTTTTGTTTTATTAAAAAAAAAAACAATGCATGGGCCATGATACAATTGATGTTGCTCTCTTTGGGTCCACAGTTAACCACACCTGGTCTGTATTAGACCCATATTAGATAAACCAGGGAAAACCCAAGCAGGTCCGGTGTGGATAAGCTCCCACACCCCTCATCTGTGCTCCTGGAAAAGCAACTCCAAGGGCTGAGAGAGGGCAGGGCTTTTTCTTGCCTTTAAAGATTGCTAATTGTTGATTACAGTTCAGCTCATCTTGAGAAACACCCTCCCCCACCCCTAACAGCCTCTCATTACTAAAGGCTCAGCTTTCATCTGCAAAAATATTATTCTGAGCCATTATTTTCAACATCTGGCCCATTTCCACTCTGGAATATTCATACACATCAATTATCTCTCGGTGGCAGGAACAAGGGGCTCTTGTGTTATGGTGACAAATACATTCAGAAGGCAGGGGCATGACGACTTGGACACAGGAAGACCTATAGCTGTTTTCTTCCTTACTGCTAGAGCTTGTCATATTCAGATGAAGGCAATTTGCAGCACTAATGAATGGTCACCAACCTTCACCCCTCCACAGCAGCACATCTGGTGCATGCGCAAACCCATTCTCTCTCACACACAGGCTCCCCCCAACTCCCACCAGGCCCTGTTCCCCATCTCACTTAAGGGCTATGCTTCAATTATCTTGGCAAAAAGAAATCATGGTTATAAACTCGCTCCAAATAGTGCTGGGCTTTCTTTCCTCTGATTCCCCGTGGAGCAATCTGATAACCCAAGAGTAAAGATTTTCTATCAGCAAAGTTTGGATCTCAAAGCCCAAATCTGTTCAGCATGAGTCTCTTGGGTGGTGGGGAGGAAAGAGAACAGAAGTTGCCTAACAGGCTTTCTTCACATAAAAGAAAATGCCCGGAAAAAATCACGATGTCAAAGACACGAGAGATGAAAGAACCATCTGGGGGGATTGTCCAGGGGAGGAGAAGGACAGGGTGCAAAAGATGGTGGGAGGCTCTGGTAAGAAAAGCAGAGCTCTGATTCCCGGGGCCAATGAGCCAATGAATGCTGTGTGCTTTCCTATACTCTGCAGTGTCTGAGGAGTGCTCAGATCTTATTTTACAAGGTTGGACTTTGTGCCAGTGCAGGTCTGTCTTGCACTGGTGTTACCACAAATGCCCCGTAGGCTCCAATTTCCCATCTTTAAGTGAGATTAGTGGGGCAGGAGGAGGGGCCGGCATTCAGAGGCATCCCCAACCTGGGAATCCCATTAATCATAGGATGCTGAGAGACCTGGGCAGGGTGCCAAGAACCCCAGGGAAGCTTCTCTTTCAACCTCCGCCTTCTGTTTGACAGCTGAGGAGAAAAAGTCCAGAGTGCCAGTCCCATTCTCTGCCTTGCTACTTCCCAGGCTCTGGTTAAAATCATACTATGAGACCAGACCATCCATTCAGCACCTTGGCCTCGGCAGGGCCCGGGCAGAGAGAGGGCTGCCATGTAGCATCAGGGCTGCTCAAAGCAGAAGGAACCCGATGCCCTCCTGTGACGCTACAGAAAGCAGCAGTCTGTCCATCACTGTGCCTTCGAAACCCCTCTCTTCTCCTCGGAGCAGCTGGGCAGCTCACCTCCTGGCTCCCTCCCTTCCTGCTCCAGCCTCAGTCCTGCCACAGAGGAGCTGAGAGTTTTCACAAAGTGTCTGGAGAGTAAGTAACTCCTCAGCCTTTTACCCAGGTCACAGCAGAGGAGGCGCAGGAAGGGGACCGAGTGGAGAGCAGGCACGCTCCATTTAAACAAATAGACGATGCACATTAGTGCTTCATTAAGCACCGGCCTGTTCCCATTACTCAAGCAGCCATCTGGGGAGCGTGCTTCCACATCACGGGCTAGAAAAAGAAGTGCATTCACACAACCAGACCAGGGTTGGCTTACGGTAGGAGGCTCAGCAATACAGCCCAGGGCTGGGCCTTCCCCTCCATGCAAACCTCCAGCAGCGCCCCCGCACTCACTTTCTCCCAGGGTTTTCTGGAGAAGGTCGTGCTTGGCTTGCAGCTTGGTAATGAGGTTCCTGCCCTCCAGGTACTCCTTCATTTTCTGTAGGGGAGGAGGAGGAGAAAGAGCAATCAGACTCCTGAAGGAAAAAAAAAAAATCACAGATGTGCAGCTGTACAATCCCCTTCGCAGAGAGCACTAGGTTTCTGACCCAATTTCTACCAGGTTCATTGTTTATTACTTTACAGCCCTGATCATCGGGACAGCTGCTGATTTTCATGGAGTTCTGTACTGGCCGGTGTAAGAAATCGCCTTCTACAGCCCCTCATTCATCTCTTCAGTTCTACTGAAGAGGAGCAGGGGGTGTAGGCACTGACTGAGCCTGGTCTTCTTGGTGTGAGGACACACATCTGCCACTGGTCACCTTCACTGACATCCAGCCCTGCCCCTCCCCCCCGCAGGGTGCATTCCATCACACTAAGGAGCAATGCCTACGGCAGGCGCAGCCCCCACCCCAGCTGCAAGCCCAGCATGCACAGCATCTTTGTCTGAGCCTGTCTTAATCAGCTTCCTCCTCCATCTGCATGGAGTCTTTGTGGAAAGCCTGGGATTTCTGAGCTTTCAGGAGGGACTGCCACGCCCCACTTGCATATGCACATGTCAGCAGCTCCAAACACAAGACGGCAATGCCATCTTCTCTCACAGTTAAAATACTATCGCTATGCTGCATTTCCTGATGTGACCTCTCTCAACCCTTGAATGCCCAGTGAATTGTTAGGTTTTCCTGGACAATTCATCAAATCTTCAATACAGCTCTATGAGCTATTAAGGTCATTATCCCCATTTTATGAATGAGGGCACTGAGATTTGGAGAGATTAAGTAAATTGCTTAAGGTCAAACAACGAGTGAGTGGTAGAGCCAGTATCCAAACGTGTAGTTTGACAATACAGCCTGTGCACTTAACCATTATGGTAACATGCTTCCTTTATGGTACAAAAGGAGAACACTGCATAGTATCAATTCTTTGTATACATGTCAATATATGCAGCAAATTAAGGGTGTTTAGAGCACTTCAGCACATATTCTCTCATTCAACTCTCACAATAACTCTGTACAGCACAGTAGGGAAGGCATCATTACTGTATATTCTTACAGACTAGAGGCCCAGTGCACAAACTTATGCACCAGAGGAATCCCTCAGCCTGGCCTGTGTGATTGGGCCAAAACTGGCTCTCTGACATCCCCCAAGGGGTCCCAGACTGCAAGAGGGTGCAGGCCAGGCCAAGGGACCCCACTGGTGCACGATCAGGGCCGGGAAGGGACGTGGGAGGTTGGCCAGCCAGGGAGGGACCACGGGAGGGCTCCAGGGCAAGTCCTGCCTGTCTGGCTCAGTCCCAATAGGCCAGACTACAGCAGCAAGCTAACCTACCAGTCAGAGTGTCTGCCCCCTGGTGGTCAGTGTATGTCATAGTGACTGGTCGACCAGTCAACTGTCTGTCTCCTGGTGGTCAGTGCACATCATAGCGAGCGGGTGACTGGCCTTAGCATATTATTAGCATATTACACTTTGATTGGTTGAATGGCTAATCAGATGATTGAACACTTAGCATTTTATGCCTTTATTATATAGGATGAAAGGATGATCTTGGGTAAGAATGTGTCAAATAAATTGCTGATCACTGCAAGGCAGTCAGTGGAACTGTTAGGCCTGGATCACGGGCCTTTGGCCTCTTAACACAGCTGCTCATGGGATCTTCCTTTGCCTTGGTGTCTATTGCTGCAACAGCTCATCTGCCAGTCCGGGGCCAGCTACACATGTCTAAACTCAGAAGCAATATGGTAGTGTTTCCCTGGTGTTATGTGAGATATCTGAGGGGCTAAGTGAATAAAACATTTTAAATTATAATAGTTCTGTCTTTCTTTTAATGTATTACACAAAAAGTATAAATGCACATCAAGGCTTGGATTTTATGTCTATTACCACATAGGATGAAGGCAGAATGAAAAGGTGAAAAAATGTGAGCTATGTTTATTCTGTTTGTTTCTGTACAGTGTGAACTTTTAACCAAGAGGGTATTTCTTTTCTCTCTCTCCCTCTCGTTCTGTCATGTAAAAACAAAGAAAAAAGCCTGGGTCCAGTTGGCATGGCTCACCGGTTGAGTGTCAACGTATGAACCAGGAGCTCATGGTTTGATTCCTGGTCAGGACACATGCCTGGGTTGTGGGCTGGATCCCCAGTAGAGGGAGTGCAGGAGGCAGCTGATCAATGATTCTCATCACTGATTTTTCTCTCTCTTCTTCTCCCTTCCTCTCATAAATCAATAAAAATATATTTTAAAAAATTCAGGAAAAAGAAAAAAGCCTACTCTCTATGGGAGGCCCTCATTGGCCCTCCCATGTTCACCCAGAGGCTCCTCTGCAAATCTCTAAGACTGTACTTCTCACACCGCCCTGTCCTGGAGGGTTTATTTCTCCTGTGTCTTTCTCTTTGGACTGCCTCCTCCCTATGGTCAGCGACCATGACATTCATTATTCTTGGCATCTCTGATACATAGTACTGTGCCCACGAGTATTGTGTAGACACTCAATAAATGCTTGAGATATGGGTAAGTAAATGAACAGGCTCACTGTCCTCTGGATAGAACCTTCCATAGCAGTTATGAATGAAGCCTGCAAGTGTGCCCCTACTCTCTCAATTAAGTCTAGTAAATCCTACATCAATTCATTTCTGTTGTTTTACGGGAGACCTGGCTTCCTTTGTTCCTTTGTGCTTTCGCATGAGAACATCTACGTGAAAATACGCTTCCTTGTCACCTTCCTCTCTCCATCTGCTCCAGCTGCCAGCTCACCTGCTGTCAGTCTTCCCTGGGTGATATCTAACCCCCACCAATGCCTAATTGTGAGGTTTGGAAGCTACTTCAGGGCTCAGGGGTGAAAAAGCTGCAGGGAAACACCCTCTGCTAACATCTGAATCTCACATCCTCTTTGGAAGGTTATCCCAGGAGACTCAAAGGTTTCCTAATGAGGGAAAATTTACCAGGAAACTGTAACTCTTAAAAAAGACCAGACTGCTCAGCCACAATTCTGAAAGGTAATGGATGCAAATTCCTTCCTTTCACTCAGGTTTTTACTTGTGATTCCGGAAATCTTTTTTTTTCTTTTCTTTTTCATTTATGTTCACAGTTCACTAGTTAATTCTGGCTGTCACTTGGTGAACTGTTAAAATAAATAAAAATCTGATAAGAGGTATGATGGATTCCTTTTTTTTTTTTTTGGTTCTATTAAATCCTAAAGGACTGAAACTGTGTCTAGGTGTGACCTGCATCCCTAAGACTGGGAAGAATGGTTGGGCTTTTCCATTTCGGTAAGCCAGATATGAAGATAAAAGCATCCTAGAGTTCACAGGTATGTTATTTATCACTTCTCTGTCCTGCCCATAGCCAGCACTCATCTGTATGAGAGAGAAGCTGGAGGGATAACCTGGCTTTTACTGGTAGAATTGAGTTATTATAAAAGCTTCAGTCGCTGCTGATCAGACACACGTGAGAAGAGAACCAAGACAGCTGAAGGCAAGGGAGAAATAGATGGCTTTTCAATGCTTTCTGCAGACCAAGGCCAGGAAAATAACAATTTATGTGGAATCTCAAAATCCCTTCCTTGGACAATACAGTCACTTTCCTTATTTAAAGCATGTTCCAAATATTAGGTAATTAATTTTTTTTTATGCCAATGCCCATTCCCTGCTTCTTCAACAAACATCAAGAATATTAGCAAAGGGATGACCTGTGTTTTCCTCAATGGAGGAGAGAAAATAGGGCAGTTTTCTATTCTAAGTCACCAAATTCCTGAACATAGTCTAACCCTCTCCCCAGTTTTACACTCAGTGTGATCAAAACTGAGAATTTATTCAAAAAGTAGCGAGGCAATAAGTTTATTGGGTGGTTTTGTTTTTTTGCCACTGTGAACCTCCCATTTTGTTTTTATGATCTGAACTTATTTCTTAATATATTCATTAAAATATATATATATATATTTGTATTGATTCAGAGAGGAAGGGAAAGAGAAAGAAACATCAATGATGAGAGAGAATCATTGATTGGTTGCCTCCTGCACGCCCCCTACTGGGGATGAAGCCAGAAACCCAGGTATGTGCCCTGACCAGGAATCAAAACGAGACTTCCTGGTTCCTAGTTCGATGCTAACCATACTGGCTTGGCTTAATAAATTTCTAATTGGTTATCAACTGTCAGCAATGAGTTTTATTTATTGAAAAGTATTATTATACTTTTTATTTCTGAGCCCTCCCTCTCTAACATTTTGGTTGCAGTAAAATGGAAAAGCCTGAGTTGGAATATTCTAATCCTACCTTTTACCAAGTCTTCTAACCTAGAGCAAGTCACTTAATCCCCAGAGTCTTAGTTTCCCTATCTGAAAACCGAGAATAATAATATCTTTTTCACAGGTTGTTGAAGACTATGATTATTAGCACAGAGTCCTGCCATTAGCAGATACCCAAAAGCGTTCCTTATACTTGAATCATCTGCTCGTTAACCTAAAACAGCCATGCCCTCCACTTCTTTGCTTTGTGCTAATACATAAAAAAGAGATCTCTAGCTGAAACCGGTTTGGCTCAGTGGATAGAGCCTCGGCCTGCGGACTGAAGGGTCCCAGGTTCGATTCCGGTCAAGGGCATCTACTTTGGTTGTGGGCACATCCCCAGTAGAGGGTGTGCAAGAGGCAACTGATTGATGATTCCCTCTCATCGATGCTTCTCTCTATCCCTCTTTCTTCCTCTCTGTAAAAAATCAATAAAATATATTAAAAAATATAAAAATAAAAGACATCTGTCTTAAAAAAAAAAAAAAAGGCACAAGAATGCTTTGCAAATTTATTTTAAAATACCCCTGCCCTTTAAATATGCTTACCACGGAGGTATGAAATTCATGGGCCTTATGGCTTTCAGCCTTGGATTTAATCTACATGGAGTCAAGACCATAAGTACCCACTGCTACAAGGGGCGGGGTAGGTTGGAGGAGGGAGCCATGTCCACCAGCCCCGTGTGCAGAGATACACAGATGTCACTGCAGTGGCTGCTTCCCCACCATCAGGCACTCACATTTCCCTCCTCCCTGTGAATTTTTAAAGCAGGAAACAGCTGTCAGACTGTATAAATAAAACAGCAAGTCTTTACATGGGAGCACATCTCCCACTTTAGTTGACAGGGCAGGGGCAGTCATTCATTTGTACCTCCTTAGCACACATTACTGAATGCCTGCAGGAGAATCTATAATAATAAAAGTGTGATATGCTAATTAGACCAGAGGTCCTTCCGGACGAAGCCGGGGCTCTGAAGGAAGCCCGGGTCCCAGGTGCCAGAGGGAAGCTGGTGCCAGCAGCCAGGGGAAGAAAGGCCTACTCTTGCATGGATTTTGTACATCGGGCCTCTAGTACCAAGACATAAAAATATCTCAAACCACCAGGTCCACGTCTATACCTAGAGCATTGCCATGGCCAAGGCACCAACTCCTCTCCTATTCCCTTGCCCAAATCAGTCCCCAAGAATTCAGGTAGTCTAGTTTTGTATATTTTATCAGCTGTAATCCTTAACCCCTTCCCATTGCCACCTCCATACAGGAAGTACTTAGAATAAATGCCAGCCTTACAAGCTTTGACAGTCTTTGGCCAATCAGTGAGCATTACTCTCTATGAGCAGGGAATTGGTTATATATGTGATGGTACATCCACCCATACAATGGAATTCTGCACATGCATTAAAAAAAGGAGGCAGGTCTGGGCCCGAGCTAGGTAGCTCAGTTGATAAGAGTGTTGTCCCAATATGCCAAGGTTGTCAGCTCAATCCCTGGTTAGGGCACATACAATGAATGAATGTATAAATAAATGGAATGACAAGTCTTTCTCCCTCCCTCCCCCAACTCCCTCCATCCACCTTCCCCATTCTAAAATCAGTATAATTAATTAATTTAAAAAGGAGGCAGGTCTTTTTGGACTAATATAAAAATAACGCCCAAAATAAATTAAGTAAAAAAAAAAAGAAGTATAAATAGCATACTTTTTATATTTCTATTTATTCTATTTTATTACATTTCTAATGTAATTCTATTGTACTGAAGGATATGTCAGTGGTAGTCTATGCATAGGATCTCTCTGGAGGGACACAGAATAAGCTGTTTTTAATCACTTGGCAGAAGGGAAGGTATGGCTGGGGGGTCAGGGATGGGTAGAAGCTTGAGTTTTTTTCTGTGTGCTATTTTGAAATCTTCAAAAAAATCTATTTTTTAACAGTCACAGTGAAAAAAGGCAATGGGGGGAACAGTGGACATTGCTGGGCTGTGTGTTATAGAAGACAAGCAACACAAAGCCAGAGAGCAGGGCTCGTCTCCTCACTTAGGGAGAGAAGAGGAGGGAGCTGCTGAGCGGCTCTAAGCCTCTCCTTCCCAGCAGCTTCTTCAGCAGGTGGACAGAGAAAGCCTGGGCCCAAGACCAGGCAACAGGAACCGGAGTTCTCATGTAAGTTCCTGTTGAGGTTCCTTGGACAAGCTACCCATCCTCTCTGGGTTTGTTTTTTAATTCTTTCAATGAGAAGGTTTGTTTAGATGGTATTTAAAAATCACTTCAAGCTTTAAAATTCCATGCTAATTTTTCTGGGACTTCAACAAATGCTTCAAATTTCCAACTGAAGTCATCTGAACAGATCTATCTGATGAAAGCTTTCCTAGGTCTTTGGGCACAATACGGAGGGAGCTAGGCCATGATAAGGAACCTCTTCCCAACTTTCCAAAGGAAGCACTATGGGATACACCATTCTGCTGTTTATGAAGGGCATGGGGAAAAACATGGCAATGTTTATGGAGGCAACAAACTAAAAAAGCCCACGAGCAGTTGTGTAGGCTTTGTATGGTTTGGCAAGCACAGGCAGCCATCCTGTTTAACATGCATATCCCCTTTTCATGAACGTCCATTTCACCACTCCCCAAAACACGCTTTTATCATGAAATGAATTAACTGACACATTCTAAGCAGTAGTCACAAAGTAATGAACTCTCTTGTAAATCTGTTATTAGACAAGTCCGGACAAAAAAACGTTCCTGTTAGCCAAGGAAATTTGCACACAATTTTGATGAATAGCACTATGGCCACAAAAGATAGGAAATGGGTTAGAGAACATCAATGCAGACAGAGGGGAAAGAGCGGGCAGGATTTGAGAGGTCACCCGTTTGAAGATGGTCATTCCTGTTGCTACTGAAAGTCAATTTTGAATAAAAACATTACATATTCATTTAAAGCCAAAAAGGAAATCTGACAGCCTTAAATACATATTTTTAAGTCCAAAATTTCTTATTTAATAATTACAAAAAGGAAATCTTCTTTAGTGTAATATGATTGGGTCAGTTAAGTACTATTATATCTAAGCAGTCCAGACAGACCCACCAAACAATCCTATTATTAAGAGCCTCGTGTTCAACGACATCCTGAGATAACGAAGCTTGGAGCCCTCATTATAGTCAAGAAGTTCTCTTAATAGCTAATCCAGGTTTTTGCATTTTTTATGCTTTTGCACATGCTGCTCTTTCCTCTCAATTCACCGCCTAGTTCATGCTTCCTTCAAGATCAAGCACAAAAATCGCTTTGTGTGTGATGTTTCCCCAACTCTGTTCTTCCTGGTCACCACTCTCGCATTTGTGCAGTGTGCATGTATGCATTTTTAAATTTATATATACTTACATATGTCTTTAATTACAAAAATCAATCTGACATACCTGTTTAGAAATATATAAAGTGAAAATGTAAGCTAACCTTTCATATACCTAATTCCATCATCCTCTTCTCATGTATACCCTCAGCATTCTCAATAAATGATCAATGAACAATTTAATAATGATTGATAAATAAATAAGGATGATGGTGATAATAAATTTTCAGCACTTACAGAGCACTAACTACAAACCAGGCAGTGTGCTAACTACTTTACAAAAATTAATGAATGAGCCAACATGTCAATCCATTTTTTCTATGTATAGATTTGAGTATTTCACTTAAAAGTGTTATAATTAGGTGACTTAGAAAAAATGTTAATAATTTTGGTAAACAAAAGTAGATTACAAAACAATATATACAGCACTATCCCATTTTTTATGATAAAATTATAAATGCATGCTTAGATATGTGTATCCATATATCCTAATACTAGTATCTCTAGGTAATGGGATTATGAATGATTTTTATTTTCTTCATTTTGCTTCTAAATTTTATATAAGCATCTGTTGCTTTGTATAACAAGAAAGAAGTTATTTTAAAAGAATAATTCTCCTTTAAATCACTCCCTTTCAGCAGTCTTCTTTAGGACAAAACAAACAAACAAAAACACCTAAGAATTCTGAACTTGATAAAGTAAAAAAACAAATTTCATTTTTAAAAAGATAGTAAATCACTAGTGTTCTTAATGATGAAAAAGCAGTGTTTAAGGAAGAATTTACAAAATTTTTCTAGATGTAGGAAAAAGTCAATTTACTGAATATACTCTGTTTCTTGTCTGACAAAAGTTCATTTCTCTCATGTAGAATCAGTATGCATATTTACTGGCTATATTTCATCTCACACCTGCAAGCTTAATTTCTCCTTTTTTGGTCATCAGATTAGGAAATAAATTTTAGTACAGGCAATAAACCCTAGTTGGCAAACTCAGAATAACTTAATTATTGAAAAGCAGCACCAAAGACCAGCCAGCAACTTTCCAAAGGGCTGTTAACACTATTTTAAAAAATTGGGTCCACCTGTTTAAAAAGATTTTAGGAGATACATAAATAACAAAAAATACGATGTTTTGGAATTCTCTGCAAACCAATAATGCTGCCTATCCTCTGAATTTCAACAATAGTTATGAGGGGAAAAAATTTCCCATCAACAAAAAATATAAAAGAAGATCATCAGACCACCTAGAAGAGGATACAGACTTTAAAACCAAGATATCTCGGCCAGAATATTTGGACGTAGTTCCCAAGAACCAAGAGATGTAGGCCCCTTTCATGAGCCCCTATGACTGAAAAATAAACTTTCAAACAAAAACTAAGTGGTTAAAAAAAAAAATCTTGGTAGTGTATCTGGGTGCATCCTTTCTCTTGAGGGTCCCTGTTAGACACATACAACAAGTGTAGGGATGGTCTCTGAATACGCCCAGATCTAAATCTTAGGATATTCAAAGACTGCCTTTCAGACACTTGACAAAGAGTACAAGTCCCAAATCTCCTGTGTGTGCAGCGCTTAAAGATGATCTTTAAAGGCCAGCACGCTCCCTCACCGTGAAGTAGAACTGCTCTGTCTCTTGCTGGTTGGCTCTCCTCTTGGCAATGCTGGGCTTGCTCATGAAGGTTTCTGAGACTGTGGACTTGACCGACTCCATAGAGTTGCTGTACTGGAAGCAGTCAGACACGTCAAAATCCTCGACAGTCACAATGTCCTGGATGGTCTGCAGAGTGGCCTCCATTGTTTTTTTGACCTGCCAAATAAGGGCCAACAATGCATGAGGGGAAGGTGATGGAGAAGCTTGGAGAAGGGAAAAGAAATGGGCTGAGGAAGGAGGGAGGATGCTGTCAGAGGGTGCAACTCTGCCTCCTCCCATGGGACAGAGCTGAAGTGAGTGATAAACACCACGTGGACCCTGGTATCAAAGGCTATACTCTCCAGTGAGGACCTAAACCATCCCCTCCCCCACACTACATACCTGAACCAGCTCCCAGCTCTTTTATATATTTAATGTTTACTTTTAAAATTTAATATTAGTTCTTGGCTATAATAGAAGTGCTAAGGGAGAGAGAGAATAAAATTTCAAACATATCCCAACATATAAAGAGCTAGTTCAAATGTGTGATGAGCATGGTCCTGCAATGCCTCAGGTTCTATTTCATGACCTTCAACAAATTAACAAACTTGTTTCCCCATTTTCAAACTAAGTGACCCATGCCCAGTCCTTCCTAATCTTCCTGGGAAAAATAAGACCTACTAAGATGCCAGGTAAGAAGTTATGTCAGCTCGAAAGAAAAGAACCCTGATAATCATTCATACTGTCCTTTTGAATTGGTTGTTGAAAGCAAATACAGTGGGCCCGGGAGAAAGTCACCCTTTTCTAAAAGGACAGAGATGTTTGAAGCGTCAAAGTCAAAAAGCCTCTGTTTGTTTGCAAATGCTGGAAAAAGCCAGGCAGGACGGGGTGGTTTCAGAGACACAATACTGTTCACTCAGCTGCCAAGTGCCATTTTGATTAAATGTGTAGGGGAGAAAGAAAGCATTTTGCAAAAGCTCAAAATAGAGCCCAACCTTTGGCAATGCAAGAGCAACTTCCTGGAGTTCAAGGGCAGGATGTAGCAGAGGGGAAAATCCAAGCCTACATTTGGCTAGGAAATGTTTGCAGCAGCCCGGACATTCCCTGCGTGCTCCTTCCACTGCTCCCAGATAGGCGGCAACGAGTTCAACAGGGAACCTCAAAAGGTGGCTCTGATCTCTTACGCAGGCAACTCACCTCTTCGTTCTCAATCTTCAGGGTGGATAAGCGAGACTGCAGTTGTTGGCATCTCTGTACCAGCTCGCTCTGGACAGGCTGCTGGGCACAGAGCTGGGAAGCCTGCCAGAAACAAGAGGTACCAGGTCAGAAGGAAGACACTGTATTTTCGGTGGTTCTGGAGTCCCATTTCTGCTAATAAAATTACACATATTCAAGCTGTAAGGCTCACCGTTTCTATGTTAAACCAAAATCCAAAGCCAAAGTGTGTGGTTCTCTTCTAGGACCAAAAAGAACAAAAGGAGAATGAGGAGTGGGACCCATTGGGAGGACCAGGCCTCTCTTTGAGCCCATCTTTAGGTTGGCACAGGCGGATCTACGCAGGGTCTGTGGCTCCATGGAAGCCAGAGTTAGGCCACAGAAGGTGCCTTGGGCAGCCCCAGCTGCAGACACACAATGCTTTGGCACAGGGAGGATTTCCTGCCAGAGGTCCAAGTGGCCACCTCTCTGGCTCCTCCTTCACCCCGCTTTGTACACCAGAGTGAAAGCAGAAGAGAAGTGGGTCAGGAGGCTAACTTGCTGCTGTTGGCAGTCAGCGTGTGTTTATAAATCTGTGCCAGGCATGAGAGCTCTGACTCAATTAGAGAAAGTGTAAAGCCAGGAACAAGTCCACAGGCAATGGTAGAGGGCCCCAGAGGGCATGAAATCTGGTGGAAGCTTCTGGTGGAAGCTGGCATTTTCAGAGACCTCAAGTCTTCACCATAAATGTGGGAGAGAAGTCCGCCCTTCCCCCAAGGATCATCACCAGCAAGCCAAAGTCTCCTGATGATTGCAGGGCCCTGGCATGAGCGTGAGGTCACCACAGTCCTCAGGATGACGGATTAGGAGCAGGCCATTGGACTGGGAGGAATGAGCCACATGGAGGCAGCTCCTGTCACCTTGCCGCCATGTGTCCCTTAGCCCCTCATCTAGAGACACATCTGGATAGAACTGCCCTTTCTTCCCCAGCAATGAGTGGGCACATCCACATGCCTATAGACCATTCTCTTGCCTGAAAAGACAAAACCTCTCTTCAAATGAAGTGGGCTGGGACTTGACCTTTTCCTTCATTGGCTTTTAAGCTCCCAACTAACTTGACCTCTTCCCCCAGCTGAGGGGCCGGCTGAGCCAGTTCTCAGATCTGAAGAGAGCTGACTTCACCCTGGCTCTCGCATAAGCAGACACAATGAAGAAAGCTCAGTGGCCAGCTTTCTGGCCAACTTAGCGCCAAGAGTAAAACTCTCTGGCTGCCTGATGTCACCGGTCAGGCATCCAAAGCCCCACCAACCCCCAGGGGCACCAAAAGTAGAGCCAAGCACCTCCTCCTCATACATCTGAGAGTGCTTGGCATCAATTCATGAGCGGAGTGCCCCAGAATACCAGTCAATGTGGGGCCTTGGCCAATTTCAGAGATTCCGGTCAAAATGCCACCCGAACTTTGGCCCTAGTTCAGAGAATTCCAGGCAGCTCCCTTTTGTTGCCTCTATAGTCTACAGATCCACACTGATGGGGATAGGCTGGCTGTAGGGACCAAGAAAGATCCGCCCTCTCCTCTTTCTATTTTCCACTCATTTAAAGGCTAGACTGGAATGCGGAACCTTTTCAAGATCTGTCTGACTCAGTCGCTGACCAGCTACATCACATAAAGCAAAGGCCTAGGCAGAAGAGTAAATTTTTAAAGTAACCCAGACCTAGTAGGGAGGAGTCAAGGAGAGAAAACCACCTCTAAGCCTGTTCCTTTAAGAAGCAGCAGGGCTGCTGATGCATGCTTTGGCAGTGGTCCTCTACCGGGGTGCAAGGTAATGCATTCCAGCTGTGCTCTGGCCGGGCTAGGAGGGGGCCCGAGCACCCAGCATTTAGATCCCCCCCTTTATGGAGACAAGCGGTTTGGCTCAGAAGGACCAGTCAACACCAGAAAATGTATCGCACCACTCAGCTAGTCCCCAAGTTCCACTGATTCTTGGGAAGCAGTTTCAGTGGCAGCTGGAGAAGGGGCTTGGAAGGCGAGAAGTGAGGGCAGGTGAGGAATGGGGCTTCCTGGGGTTTGGTGACACTCCTTCCCCTGCTCTAATTGCACATGCTGCCATCTCACTTCCCCATCTGTTCAGACGCTGGCATTTCTCAAGCCACAGCAATGGAAACAGACTGTAAATGGTTTTTCCAAAAAAGGAGAGAAAAGAAATCATCTCCACATTTGTGTCTTTAAGAATGAAATAACCACTCTCTATAGTGGCCTATTGATGACAGCAGATCCTCTGGTTACACTGCAACAGCTGTCATTATGGAGCAGGGCTTACTACAGAGGCCTGGATGCTAATTCTAGCGGGAGCACCAATCCCTTGCTGAGTGGACACTGTGGTTTCTTGGTCACCTAGCATCCTGCTCTGTCTGGTAACTTTGGCCCGACTGCCCGCCAGGGAAACTCCCGTTCCACAGCTCACACCATGTACTTTGGATGGAGGCTCTCCTCAATAAGGGGATGGAGCATGTGATCTGGGCATAAGCCAACCAGCTGACTGCAAATACCTAGACACACTGAGTGACTCAGAGATAGGCAAGTCACCCAATCAGAACCAAGAAGACACGTGAGACTGTGAGAGTTTCTAGGAGGTAAACAGATACTGTTTCCACTGGATTTCAACCTAGAAAAAGATAAGGCAGGAGTAGTCATCTTGCCCCCACAAGATAAGAGCCCGAGAAAAGGACAGACACAGGACATGCAGTAGAGAAAAGCCAGGTCCGCATAAAATTCCCACTCCTCAATCGAGCCATGCCTGATGGTTCCATCCTGAGCTTTTATTATGTAAGCCTATTCATCCTCCTTTTTATTTGAGCAGATTAAATGGTGGCTCCTACCCACAGGGATAAGATTTACTCATTTGTGGGCACAACACCAGAACTGGAACCGAAACATCCACAGTGATTGAAGCCAAGAAGCTTCTCTTCCCTCTCGCTTTTGTTTACTTAAGCCCTTCTTGTTTCAGTCACTGAAGGTAAAAAGTCCAGAACAGGGCCCCAGCACAGCCTCCCCTGCCTGGGCAACCAGCACAGCCTCCTGGATGACATCACAGCTCCTGTCCTCTCTGTAGGTGCCCATGCTTTTTTGTCCAATACCCAAGTAAAACGACCTCTTTTATTGCAATCTTCTAACCCTAGGAGAATAAAATCCTTCAGAACTCTGCCAGATGACAGAAGAGCACATTATTCCTCTCTTAGCCTTCCCTCCCCACAAAGCCATTGGTATCTGGCCCATCTCAGCTCTCACTTCTTCCAACCTCACTACTTGGACTCCCCTCTCCCTCTTCCTTTCACCATTACCAAACTGGTAGCAGTTTTCAGAACACACCTGCTGCCTTCCACTCCTCTGCTCCTTCTCATCCCTTTGGGTGCCCAACCCTACGCATATTTCTAATTCTCTCTCAACTCCTATAAGCCCCCGAAGGCTCTAATTCCCAACCTCTATGGTCAAGCTTAGTGGACAGTAGGCACTCAGTAGCTGTTTGCTGAATGAGTGGAGTGTGCCTCCTTCACCTGACGGGAAGGCCAGGCCTTACTCTCCCCAGAATAATGTGGCTTGGTGATGTGAATCTAGATTCAAATAAGTGAGGGGAGGAGAACCTCACCATGTCCCCCATGTGGGGCTGGAACTCAAACTTCATAGGTGGGCAGAAGACATTGTTGTACATCTCCATGAGGCGCTGCTTGTCACTGGTGGCATCCAGGTTTTCGACGGCATTCTCGATGGCATCCAGACCCTCGTGCTTCGACTGCTCCAGGTTCAACTCAGCCGAGAGGAAGGTGCGCAGTGCCCGGTTCAGGCTAGCGTGGTAGCCTAAGTCACAACACTGCTGTGGAGAGGAGAGAACATGAGCAGACCCTTAGAGGACTGTGAGGAGCTCAGAAGAGAAGTCATTTGGACAAAATAAGATGATCAAATCATGCACTGGTACAGTGCTATTCAGTAAACATGAGAAGAGTTAAGAGTTAAAGGGAATCCTCTCCTATTTTCAGATTTCTCTGGGGATACCATTATAACAAAATTCAATAACAAAAATATAGCCTGCCACTCCCTGAGGGTTACTGTGGTTAAGTCAGTACATACCAACCAAGCCAGGCCATTTCCACACTCAGAGTCCAGAAGTCAGAAGTGTTGCAAGAACAGTTAATTACACAAACTCAGAGCTCGAGGTAGGAGGACTGGGGGCCTGACTCTGTCGGTGATCACCCCCAACAACTCCCAACATTCTAGAATAGGCCTTAAGCTGCAGACAAAAATTTCAGCACTAATGTTCCTGCCCTATAGAAATAGCACTTACCAGACCCAAAATTTCTAAATATAAGCCTTAGTGAGAAAATTCATGTTAAAATAATCGGATTTTCTAAAGCAAAATAAAAAAGGCATGACTGAGACAACAGCATTAAAGAAGTACTGGATAGTAAGCCAGTAACCTTGGAAAAGCCACTCCCATCCCCAGACCTGTTTCCTCAACTGTAAAATGAACAGTTTGCCAGGTCAGTGGTTTTCAAGCTGTAGACCGGAGCTCTGTGGTTCTGTGCCAGAACCTTCTCAGGCTGCCCTTGAGAAGCAGTAAAAGGGCAGCCCAACTAGTAGGACTTGGAACCTCCTATACCTGCTTCAACCAAACCAACTCTGCTCTTTGTTCTATTGAATAAATTGACATTCTTTGTAAGGTCTGGTTTGAAGAAAGAACTCTCCTGCTAGAGAAAAAGTCTGAAAACACGTGACAAAATACAATCCCTAAGTCCCTCTTCAGCAACAGCATTCTGTAACTCTATGACATTCTTCCCCATCCCTCCCAAGGGACCCAGCAATCCCAACTGCTTGATTGTCCATTATCCCCATATTTTGTAAGCATCTTTGAGATCCAAAACCCAAGAAGACACGTCGGAGGAGAATCACGAACAGAGTAAGACCATCTGCCTGACTGCCATTGCATTCCACAAGCAGGCATCAAATCAACTCGTTCCAGCCTTGCCCCTTCATCCCCTTCATCACTATCACACCGGGAGCAGCCGCTACTGGGGAAGAAAAAGCATGTGATCTGCCTCCTCCTCCCAGCATCTGACAAGAAGCTCAGCGACAGAGTGCCTGTCAGGCTGGGCTCTGGGTCCAGTGCCAACAGGCTCTGGCAGGTGCCTGGCTGCAGTGGAAGAACAGCAGTTACAGCTCAACTAGAGACGGAAAGACATTAAATCAGCTGAGAGGGAAGAACAAATGGAAGCTAGACAAAAGCGGCTGATTGGGAGGCTGCACGTGCAGGAGCCTTCCTCCTCTGGGAGACCTGCTACTCTAGCCGGGCTGCCCTTCCGCCTGCAAGCCCTCCTTAGGTCTGTAAGGCTAATGAACAAAAGCGACACTACCCACAGGGCTGAGCAAGTGTGTGCTTTGGGAGTGAGGGTGGGGGTGAAGGTTTTTAGTGCAGAAGAGAATGTAGGGGGAGGCAGGGTGCCCTTCATAAACATTACAAGGTTTTACTAGCCTCCTTTTCTCTCCATTCTCACCACCTCTATCCTAATTCAGACACTTATCCTTTTACACCAGTGCTACCTGCTTCCCTCTCCTGCTGAAGAGCCTAGAATAGCTCTTTTTTACCCCTTAAATTCAAGACCACCTTCCTCAGTTGGAAAATTTTAAAATGCCTCTATTTACAAAGTGGAGTTAAACAACTTGAGTAAGATCAATAGCCAAAACAAGTTGTAATCTCTTTAGTCTGACCATCTAACATCACCCCCCTCTAGCTTTTTCTTCAAACCACTCTGCTCTAATCCAATGACACATTCTCTGTTTAGGGTAACATGTTGGAAAAACCATAGACCTCAATTCAGCTGTATGACTATGAGCAAGCTACTTAAGCTCTCTAAACCTCAATCAGGGAAAATAGCAGTCTTATAGGTTGTTGTGAGGCTAATAACAGGCAATATACATATACATACATATATATATATATATATATATATATATATATATATATATATGTATATATATATATATATATATATATATATATATATATATATATGACACTATGCAGACATTTAAACACCAGTCATCAATATCCCCAAATTCACTACGTCTATGCTTCAGCTCCTAGCATTTTCTCTTCTTGAAATGTTTCCCACTCCTCTCACCCATTGCAATTGGACCCAATCTTTGAGATCCAAATGAAATTCCCAGCCTCTGGGAAGCCAGACAGCCCTGCAACCCTGGCATGTACTGACCTTGGCCTCCCCTCAAAACCACACTCATCAGCAGCCCTCATGTGACACAGAATACACTTCCTCACTCTGTGACTTGCCATTTCGTATCACCCCCACCAGAAGGCAAGATTCAAAGAGGGCTTGGCCAGTGTCTTACTTCATTTTTCAATCCCTCACCATTAGGCCTTGCTCCTGGTAGGCATTTAATAAACATCAGTGGATTGACTGAAGCCAAGATCCCAAGCTCTCAGAAAATCACCCAGTTAGGCAGCATATGAATGTAAGTCAAGTGGTAGATGGAGCCACTGAAGCCTTTTGTGCTGTTCACCCTACATGGCCCATGGAGGGCAGGGCACTTGCTTGGGATGGTCCACTGCCTCTATTATATAAGTGTTCTATAGCTTCTGTGTGCCAGTGAGTCGGGGGTCTGACTCACAACATACCCTTTCAGCTAACCAGGGAGGTGCAAAATAGGTTTTCCAGAGCCTTGCTATCTACAAATCTGCAAGGGGACAGCTGGAAACAGAGGCATTATTAGCAAAGAAGCAATTTCTGGCAAGGTGAGGTAATGAGATTTGAATACAGAGTGAAGCAAAAGTAGGTTTACAATTCTGAGTACACGAAACACAGTTCATATATTCTTTTCCATACGAACAACTGAAAATCTACCTTTGCCTCACTCTGTATTTCACGAGTACTAGGGGAATCCCAGTGATTCAAAGCAGACATCATTTTGCTCACAGTGGGAACAAAACATGCTCTCCATGGTTTCTGATGGATTCTGTACCAAGCTGGGCTCCCTTGGCCATTTCTGGGTTATATAAATGTTTGATGAAACTTTCCCAGGGGAAATCAATTTTTTATTTATAAAAATTTAATGATAGCCCATCCAGATGTGTGATGACCTGAGCTGACAGCTCATTAACCCTTTACCAGTTGAAACCCTCACCCTGAGACTCTAGAGAAGGCCTAGGAAAAAAAAGTGGGTATAACAACACCCACTTCAAGCTCACACAGAAGAGAAAAATAACTGCCCTTCATAAACTTTCCGGTCCAGAAAGCTGGGTTCCCTCATGTCTGACTTGGGTGTACACGATGCCACAGATTCTCCACCGATGAACATAGCATGCGCAACACTCCAGCTATGCAAGAGAACAATGGGCTGTTCTTCATTTATCCATCTGCTCCTGGAGTGACAGAGCCACAGGAGTAGGGGGGAGGAACAACACATTCCAACGAGCCTATAGTTCTTAGACTCCATCAAATCAGCTCAGAATAAATGTCCTTTTGGCCTAAGTTGAGTTTTTCTGCTGTGTGTCAGATGCCTCACATGGATGACTACAGTCAGAGTTTAAATTTTCTACTATATTATAAAAAGAAGGCAAGGGCTAGTCCTTGTGCCAATGTACTGACATCAACAAGAAGAACTTTTCTCATCCCTACTGTCTGCAGTACACACTGAGTTTCAACCCGGTAGGAAGGAGGCATCACACAGAGGGCACAGACTGGAATGAGACGCATCCCATATCTTAAAGCGAGTTCTGGATATTGCCTAGAACAGGATGCCATCGGACCCAGGCTCCCCACTCACTCCTGCAGGTTCATTGCCAAAGCATCCTTTTGGCCATTTTTATTGCAAAGAGCAGCGAGAAATAGGAAGTACTGACACATGCAGTAACGTAGATGGTGCTCAAAACCTCATGCTGGGCAAAAGAAGCCAGCTATAAAAAAGCATCTACTCTACCACCCCATTTTGTGAAGTCTAAAATAGGTTAAACTAATTTATGGTGAAAGAACTCAGAGCAGTGGTGGCCGCAGGGAGGGGGAATTGACTGGGAAAAGAGGAACTTTGTAAGGTGATGGAAATATTCTATATCTTGATAGAGATTGGGTTACAAGAGTGTATGAATTTATCTTGAAACTATAACACTGAAGTTGTTATTGTATGTACATTGTATCTCAAAACGTTATTAAAAAGCACAAAAAGGAAAAAAAAAATCTTGGCTAGGAAATCATCATCTTCTTTCTCCTTCTATTCCTTTCTTCCTTCAATGAATAAACTATGCACTCAGCTAAGTATTAAGCTCTGCATGTATGTACTATGTATGTGAGTATTAATGTAAAGAGAAGACTTGGCTCCTGCCCTCACAAACTTAGAGAGAAGACTAAGAGATCTTCCTCTGTTATTAGCGCAGCGACTCCCAAACTTTTTGATCTCTAGCTCACAGTGAGAAATATCTTATATCATCTCACACACAAACACACATTCATGGGTGTGCAAGCATATATACTTATCTAACATAACAGTTTCACCAAATAAAACATAACTTTACTACTTCAACATACCTTGATATTTTCTTTCTTATTCTATTCCAGTCTGGTTTAATCATTAAATAAATAAAAAAACAAACAAATAAGTCAACTCATGAAAGTGATTGTATGACTCCCTAATGGATGGTGACCGAAGGTTTGAAAAATACTGTCCTCTAGTGTGGCAGTGAGCCCACTGCATAGACACTATCTATTTCTATGTCTAAGAATACCTCTAAAACAAAAACTATTTTATTCCCTTTTGTATGCCTACTGCTGAGCACAAAGCCTCATCTCAAATAAACATTCGCCAAACAATTATAAAGCAGAAAAATGTTATCGGCCTTTCTTAAAGAGTAATTAATCTGTTCTCACCTCAAGAAAAAAACAAAGCAAACCAACATCAAACAAAATAAAACAAGAGCAACTGTAGTACCTGTGTGGCCTGGCATGCTAGCACCCTGGACTAGCTCACAGTAACCCAGACCCATGCCCTAGCTTAGTACTAAGGAGGCTGGCAGGCTTCTTTCCCATGATGTTTCTTGTGGCATTCTGTGAAGACAAGCTCTTAAAATATGTATTTAATGAGGAGTCTAAAGTACAAAATAGCTTGCTCCTTAGGTTGATGTTAAAACACCTACTGCCCTAACCAATTTGGCTCAGTGTCGGCCTGCAGACTCAAGAGTCCCAGGTTCGATTCCAGTTAAGGGCATGCACCTTGGTTGTGGGCACATACCCAGTGGGGAGTGTGTAGGAGGCAGCTGATCGATGACTCTTTCTCATCGATGTTTCTAACTCTCTATCCTTCTCTGTAAAATAATCAAAATATGTATTTTTAAAAATAAAACACCTACTAACATCTCCTGGAGGATCATGGATTGCCATGGTTATGACTGACAAAGCTGCCCTGGGGTAAAAGAAAAGGACAGAACGGGAGAAGAGTGGACGGGCAGTCTGACTGGCCAGGTGTGAGATAAGCAGCAGACAGTGAGCATAAGAAAGAAGTGATTCTCATCCTCACGCTGAGAACAGGCCTCTCTCCCAGCGAGGAGCTGTTCCCCTGAGGAGGAGAAAGGATCCTGTTTAGGGCTCTGACCTCCATTGAAGGACAGTGTTCCGATTGGCATCAACAAGCAGGGAGAACAAAGAGGCACCTGAACAGCAACCAGAGCTCCACTTACCCAGGAGGACAAAGGCACCCAGGGCATGAAGGGGCTGAAAAATCCCTGGGTCAAAAGACAGGAATCCGTGTTTTAGAAAAGTTCCCCTAGCAACTCTGACGTGCCATCAGGTTTAAGTACCAATGACCTACTCTAATTCTTCAGTTTGCCAGAATGGGATGGGGAAAGAAAGCTTAGTTCTAAAATAGCTCCAAAGAATCCAGCAAGTTAGGCAAATCTTAGACCAGAACCTCACATGATATTGTAAAGTGTGGCAGGTTTGTCTGTGGAGAAACCAAGGCAGGAAGGCAAGTATGAGAGGTCTGGCCAGAGCTTGCAAGCCCAGCTGCTACCCACTGCCAGCAAGAGGCAAACCTCAGGCCTCAGGAAGGAGACTGGCTAGGACCTGCCTGAAGCCCTGGAGACTGGGCTGCTGATGCTAAGTCAGCCGGGTCCAGGCCCCGCCCTCTAATGACTGGAGGGAGAAGTGAGAAACGGTGTACAGTACACTTAAGCAGCTTCCGTCAGTACTGGTTTAGGAATTGGGTCCGATTGGAGTCTGCAGGTAGAAGGAATTGCAAGGCTCACCCACTACAAGGTTTGAGGGAAAGCAGCAGGAGAACAAGGCTGACCCATAAGGCCAAAGTCAAAAAACTTGACCCTGCTGCCTGCCCCATGCCAAACACATGTGCCTACTATCCAGCTTCTCTCAATGTCTTGGTGCCACATAGCAAGAGGTACGAGCCAGATGTCAGGGACATCTGAATACCTTCCTACCAGGACCTAAATTCACAGCGAACCTTTGGTAGGTAAACCTCTTAACCCCTCCATTCCTTATCTACAAAATGAAGATAGGTTGGTGCATGGGCGGTTCGGTGCTAGAATTCTCGCCTGCCAAACTGAAGATAGTAAAGCTGATTCCATCTGACAATCAAATGAGATAAGACTGAGAAACATTAGTTATAAACGTAAGGTATGGCATTCTAATGCTTTTGCTCTTGCCACTCACTTCTACGTGCAAGTAGCTGATTTAAGGGAGACAGAAGTGCAGTGTTTAAGAGCATGGGTTAGTGATCAGACCTAGGTACACATTTTGCCTCTGCCACTTATTAGCCAAGTCTGGGTGAGTGATCTGAACTCTGTGGATTTAACCTGTAACAACGGAGATGATAATCTTGCTCCAAGGATACTGATGAGAACTGAAGGGGAGGTAGTGTAAAGTGCTTCACCTGGTACCGGGTGCATGGCAAGCCCCGAATGGATCATAGCTACTTTCTTTATGATTGTTCTAAAAATCTCTTAGATGCCTGAGCAATAGAACCGGGGACGCCTGCCCAGATCTCCGAAACCAGGAAAGAGGCACCCTGGAGCCCCAGCTTTCAGTACTTACATCAATAAGGTCAGACAGGTCGTGGATGTAGTACTTGAAAACAGACGCATTGGTTGCCTCCAAAGCCAGTAAGTACTCATTCCGGGCTTTAATGGCCTTCAGCTTATTCTCCGTGTACTTGGCTTGGCGCTGAAAAGGGAACGAAAGCTCAATTTTACTTTTTTGAAAAAGAGGAGTCTGTTCTCTAAAAGACGAAAGTACAGTACATTCAAGAACCACAATTGTGCTGCTACTCCCTATGCGCATCTTCCTTAAATTGGGTTCTAATTCTGTTTAATGAGATTCAAGGGCACAATGTAAATCAATTCAGGAAAGGTTAATGAGGCTCCCTACTTTAGATGCGTGTCCCACTTAGATTCTATCTGCAAATACCATTCTCCATCCTCGCACAGCTACCTTGAAGGAGGTGCCATTACATCCACAGCTGAGCAGCTGACACCTGAAGCCAAACCCTAGGTCTATGGTCCCCTTCCAGGCTTGGGAAAGGTGACTGTATGTCTTGTTTATCTGCTACAGGGGAAAAACCAGGAGCCCACAAGCCCAGGTCCTCCCAGATCCCAGATCCTTCTGGGCAGACATCAAGGATAAACTTTGGGTCATTAGGCACTAAAAGAACCTAGAGCTTCCTTGTTCCGCTCTGTGCCTACTGGGAGATTCAGATTAGTCCTGACTTCCAGAATGTGCCTCCCTAGCCCCTAGCACTGCTGGGGTACACGCACCTTCTCTTTCATCTTCTCAATCTTCTTCACTGAGCTCCTCCGGACGTGTTTCTCCTCAATGCGGATGTTGGACGAGGAGTCAGGGGAGCGTGGGGTCTGCCGGTCCTCCTGCTTTACCGATTTGCCAATCTGCTTCTCCTCCTGCTTCTCTGCCTCCTTTAGCTTGCTCTGAGCACTGATGCTGTCGGCATTGTACATGTGATATGTCTTCATGACCTGCAAGACATCCCCCAGACCCCACCCCAGAGGTCAAACCAATAGGGTCAATTCTCTGCCTTACAAACTAACAGGCCTAGCCGGACCTCTCTCTCACGAAGCAATGTCTTCATGGCCCCAAGGGAAAAATTCTTAGGTGTTTGGAGTGGATTTTAATATTATTTATTAAAGACCACTCTAAAGCACAGGAAAGCAGGATTTGAACTGAGCCAACATGCCTTATTATTAAAATGACTTCTTGTCTTCCACCATGTATTATTTATTTGTGTTTATTGTTTGTCCTCATTACTCTTTTATAGTGGCCAAGTAATTTCTATCCCTTAGTCATCTCACAAGGCCAAGTAGATAGGAAACAACACCACCACTCAGACCCCAGAGCAAAGCCTGGGTAGAAACCCTGAAGAGGGTAGCACAGCCTATGGAGTAACCTATACTTTTTGGACATTTCAGATATAAAATGGGGGAGGAAGAAAGGCTCCTAGCCTGGTATCCTGGGGATCTATCTTGTCTGCTTTTTTTTTTTTTTTTGGTTAATCCTCATCTGAGGATATTTTTCCCACTGATTTTTAGAGAGAGTAGAAGGGAGTGGAGGGCAGGAGAGAAACACTGATGTGAGAGACATACACAGAGCTATTACCTCCTGCCTACCCTCCTACTCCCGCAACTAAGGGCAGGATTGAACCTGCAACCCAGGTACAAGCCCTTCACTGGCATTGAACCTGCAACCCTTGGGTGTGGGGGCCAATGCTCTAACCACTGAGAAACACCGGCCAGGGCTGGTCTGCTTTCCACAAATCAAACACCCTCTCTCACAGGAATTAGAAAAGCGGCAGCAATAGCAGTGGCAGCTATCATTTCCTGAGCACTTAGTATATTCCTGACTTGGTGCCAAATGCTACACACACATTTTCTCATTTCATCCCTGAAACGATCCTGTGACCTAGACAAAAATTCGATGAAGCCTGTAAACCTGCACAATAAATCAGGGAAGAGCCTGAGAAGGAATAAAATCCACATCAAGTGAAACTGGAGTTGCCACAGGAAGGAAGTAGTATCAAAGGAGAGGGATACGATTTTCCAATTTTCCATCAAAGCAACTGTCTGGGAGTCCAATGCCTTTTCTCAACTAAGCAGCCAGGAAGCTAAGGACTTGTGTTTTATTTCTACCCCTTAGCACATGCTGTGTGTCAGGAGCTTTATGTACATCACTTCATTTAGTCCTCTCAACAACTCTGTGAAAGACATGTCCTTATTTCCACTTTTAGAGATGAGAAAACTGAGCTGTAAAGAGATTAACTCTCACATCCAAGGTCACACAGCCAGTGAATGGCAGAGTCAGGATTTAAACCCAGGTTGTCAGGCCATTAAGTCCACAGTCTTAGTCACTAAGCAGCAGTGTCTCCTCTGCGAGGGACCAGAGCTGGACTTATTGGAAGGAAAGGTTAAGTTTAGTCAAGAGAGGCTTGAAAAGGGAAACTGGTTTCATTTATAGACTTGAGAAAGATCAGTGGCCTCACACACAGACTAATTTGGTCCACAGGGGCATTCGGTACTGTCTGGAGACACTTTTTATTGTCACAACTTGGAGCTTGCTACTGGCATCAAGTAGGTAGAAGCCAGGGATGCTACTAAACACCCTATATACAGGACAGCCCCCCACAACAAATAATTACTGGCCCAAAATGCCCATAGAGCTGAGGTTGACAAATCCTGGGTTAGAGGCACTTTGTGAGTAAACTAATATCTTAGGATCAGCTGGTGATAGAGGAAGGAATAAAGAATATTGGGACACTTACAAAATCAGAGTACATTAGAGTATAAATAATGTCTCATTTTGGATGCAGAATGTTTTAAATCACCTTATTTTGAACCTGACATCATTTCCCATAAGTATAAGATCTCTGTATATTCTCTACACAGGAGAAATGATATTTAGTATCGAGAGCATTAAAAACCTTTCTAAGTAATTTAAGTGGTCCATCAGATTTCCAGATTGACTATGAAGTGAGAAAGAGGTATCTGGTCTCCGGGGTGATGAAGGGTAGACAGGAGGTTCCTTTTTCTCTTTTTTCACCTGAATATGACCAAGGGATTTAAAATCTTGAGTGGGTAGTCAAAAATGAATGATTTCTAAGAAACTGTTATTCTATTTCATGAAGATGCATAATAATTAATTAGGAAACACTATCAATAAACAAGAGAGACAATAAAGAGCTCAAAGGAATAGTGCCAACAAGACAACGTGTGAAGGAATAAAAATTAACTACTTATTTTGCTCCTTTCCCCTAAAGAACTTAAGAACTCTCACAAGCCGAAACCAGTTTGGCTCAGTGGATAGAGCGTTGGCCTGTGGACTAAAAGGTCCCAAGTTCGAGTCCGGTCAAGGGTATGTACCTTGGTTGTGGGCACATTCCCAGTAGGAGGTATGCAAGAGGCAGCTGATCGATGATTCTCTCTCATCGATGTTTCTAACTCTCTGTCCCTCTCTCTTCCTCTCTGTAAAAAAATCAATAAAATATATTTTAAAAAGAAAAAAAGATAAAGAAAAAAAAGAACTCTCACAAAATAAAAACTAAAAACACTATCTCATCTAAAAAACTATAAATTCCTAAGGGTAAGCACCATTTTTGTGTTTTTTCCTCTTCTCCAAAGTTGGGAAATATGTAGACAGTGGTAGTTTTATAATCAATGTTGTTGCCCAAATGATCTAATGACACTGAATCCCTCTTCTATTGAAAGAGGAGAGAAGTATCATTTCCTACAAGTCAAAGGAAAACTGAGGTATCCAAAGGCTACCTCAGTATAAGTGATGTCAAAATAACAGGAGAGAGAGGACTTGGAGAAATATATTTATATGCAGTGGGACAAATACAAACTAGGGAAAAAATTCAAGAAGTCTACATCCTCAGTTCTGCAAAGAGAATTTACTTTGAAAAACACAATAATGAGTTTGTCTTTAGTTCTGCTCCCTCCCCAAGCCACACTAAAATAATAGAAAAGAGTTATTATTATTTTTAGTATAAAATTAAGGCAAATTTGTAAGAATAAAAGTGGAAGACAAATAGTAACTGACCTATTGGACCCTAAACCAGAAGTAGAGAGAGCCAAGAAGCATCCAGACTTCTATCACAAAAGCTAGCAAGAGGAATTGCTGGCATTGAGATGAAGGTAGACATAATAACAAGAAAAACCATTAAAGGCCTGAGAACAGTTAGACTCCTAGGTCCCATCTCCTCCCCGCCTGTAGTGGAAGGTGAGAGGTTTATATTCTCAGGATCAGCCTCAGCACCATGGACTCGGACCCCAGGCTCACTGAAGATAGGAGTACTGAACTTAAACAGAAGTAGCAACTGAAAATTCTAAAAGGACTGCTGAGATAGCCCAGGCCTCTTTACAACTTGGTCCCCAAACAACTGGGAGATAGAAGAGCTTTGTCTGGAGAATATGACCATCCAAAATCAAAGACCTAGAAATACTGGTCTTTCCCCAAACACAGTCCAGTCAGATCATTCTACAGTAAAGGCCAGGTTGACATAGAACTTCAACCAGCTTTTCACTGCCTCACTTTAATATAAGCAGGCAGCCCTGGCCAGGTAGCTCAGTTGGTTAGAGTGTTATCCCATATGCTAAGGTTGTGGGTTAGATCCCCAGTCAGAGCACATACAATAATCAAACAATGAATGCATACATAAATGGAACAACAATCTTAATCTCTTTCTCTCTCTCTCTCTCTCTCTCTCTCTCTCTCTCTCTCTCTCTCTCCCTCCCTCCCTCCCTCCCTCCCTCCCTCCCTCCCTCCCTCCCTCTCTTTCTCTTTCTTTCTCTTCCTCTCTCCCTCTCTTTCTCCCCCTTCCTCTCTCTCTAAAATCAATAAATAAAAAGTAAAATATAAGCAGGCAATCAAAAATTATCAGACATTTAGTAAAAATATCTAATATGAAAGACCAAAACAACCAATGTAGAGGAAACAAAGCATACAGGGGAAAAAACTTTAAAAAACAAATCATTAATAACATCCCTAGAGAGATCAATGGGAAATGAAAAAACATTGCACCATGAAAGAAGAACAAGATGCAACAAAAAGGGAACAATAAAAGAGCTCTTAGCAATTAAGATTCAATTTAAGAATCTCTCCAGGTAGCCTGACTTCATGTCCCTCCTCTGTGCAGACATGTATTTTACTTCCTACTCTATTTTTTGTCTCTTCTATTAAAACTAAGTGCCTTGAGTTCAGGGGCATCGCTTACATGTCTTTTTATACCTAGGGCCTATAGTTGGAGACACAATCAAGCGGAGTTGGGGAGCTATCAGGTGCTAAATACCAGTCCTGGCTCCTAGCAGACCAGCTGCTGCACCAAATCAAGGGGACTATAAGCAGGAGGAGGACTTAGAATCATCATCCTCTGGTGACCAATACCCACCATGTCCCAACACCTCTTCTTTCTTTCTCAATTCTAGGGCTTCCTTGACTCTTTCCACTCAGCCTATCCATTGACTTTAGTGTCCCCACACATACTCCTTCCTTGGGAGAGCTTGCCTGGCCTTTCCAGATACAGCCTCTGAGTAAACTGAGGCAGAGAGTTCCAGAGTTCTTTGGGATGGGAAGTAGTGTGCTCTGACTTCAAAGGCATTCCTGGATCATCAGCCAGAAAATGAAAACCACTTATGTATGCCAGGGCCTACAAACTAGCCAGCTTGTTCATTATGGGGGCGGGGAGGGGAGAGTGCCTGCAGGAGAATGCTCACTGGGATTGCTCTCTGAGTAGCAGCTGTGAGAAGCAGTTCCTGGCACAGAAGCCAAGTCAGGGAAATCAAAGGCCCTTCAGACAGGAAAGAGGAAGGTATAGAGGGGCAGCTGGCCACTTATGGAGTCGGGGCCTCTCTACCAAAGGCATCTTTATTTGGAAACACCTGGACCCTTCCTCTTGGATCATCAAGACTCAGAAGTACTTAAATTATCAACCCTTGGGTAACAGCCTCCCAAAAAGAAGTACTTATGGCCGGCTATTAGAGGAAGATGCAAGGCAAGAAAAGCACTATGATGGGTTCCTTATAACCTTGATTTCCTTTATCCCATTCACACAAGCTGCCTACAGATTCACTGAAACAAGAGATCGTTCCATGCCTTCCCGAAGATCTGTGTTCCCTTCTTAAGGAGAGAAAGAGAGAGAGAGAGAGAGAGAGAGAGAGAGAGAGAGAGAGAGAGAGAGAGAGAGAGAGAGAGAGAGAGAGACTCAACAAGTAGCTTCCCAAATCCAGCCTACAATGGTCCCAGGTTACTACCTGATGAACTCACTGTGCATTTAGGTGACCAATGGGCCTGGTTTCTAAGGGTTCAGTCTCATGTCCCAGGAAGCCCTTCAGTCCTAGACAAATTAGGATAGTTGCCACCCTAATGCCATGGTGCTTTATTCATATCAGTCCTATGCTTATCTCACTCACAAGAAACAACTCATGATTCCATCCTCTGAACTTTCTAATTGCCTTCAGAATCTGCAAACTCATCTGACCCTTCACTATAGCATTCAAGTACATGGCATGTGGAGACCTGGGTAACAGAGCATCCCCCAAGATCATATAGCTAATGGTAGACTGGGTAGAATCTGGATCGCCTAATTCAGGAGGCTCTAGTGACTAGTCACTAGACCAGGGTGTTGCAATCTGGGTACTATTGATATTTTAGGGCAGACAATTCTTTGTTGTGGGAGGCTGTCCTGTGCTTCATAGGATTTTAGTCACATCTGGTCTCTAACACACCTCCGTTCCAGAGGGACAACCAAAGCTGTCTGCAGGATTGTCAAATGTCCCCTTGGAGGGGGGAAAGTCACCTTCCTTGAGAATCATCGTACCAGAGAATCACTGCCATCTCTGGAACATTCCAGTGTCCTCCCTTTTTTCTCTTCCTATTGCCTACAACAAAAAATATAAAATTCTATGTGGTTCCGGATAGATTATGAGTGTATATCAATTCACCTGATGGTGGAGGATACCATGCTCAGCCAGTTCTGTTTGTGCACCAGTGGGAAGTTTGTATGCTCTGCGTTGTCTGTGGCCATGCAGTGGCCAGCGTGAAGTGCCCAAGACCACAGTTCTCTGAGGTTGCCAGCTTGGCCACCTCAGACCAGAACAGCAAGGGCCAGGGTTTCCTTCCTCACTCCAATATAAAGTATACCCTGTGACTTATTATTTTTAAAAAATCTTAGCATGTTAGATCTAGGCTCTGAGTAACACTAACAGATCCCCAGACACTGTTCTTTCTCTGTTGCACCTCAAAGGTGGCACGCTGGATTTGATTTAGCCTCGGGTTTGCTGGTGATCCAACCTACTCCTCCCCAGAAACAGTGAACTGCAAAGGCCCAAGATATTTATAGGAAAAGAGAAGGATTCATAGAATGATTACATGTGTCATTTTCTATCTTAGTGAATTCTTTGCAGGAGAGAGGAGTAATAATAGCTCTCCTTGGTGCCTAGAAGATGCTCTAAAAATAAAGAGCAGAAGTAAAGCATTATAAAGACAAGGGGGTTCAGGAAACCCATCCAGTCTGAAAGTGGTTCAAGCCAACACACTTCTATTTCTAACAGGCCTTAACTTCATTTGAGAGAAATGAAAACCCTGGAGCTAAACCAAAGGGTACTCTCTATCTACTTGGCTTCAGAGCCAAAGCGTCAGAGCAGAAATTCCAAACACACTGAGCGTCACTAGAGGCAAGTCTGATGACTCCCCTGTTTACTTGCTTAAGCGTTGCCATGACAATAGGGCCACACCTAGACTTTGGGATCAAGAACATGGAATTCTCGGATCCCAAATGACTGTGATCCATGTCACCATGACTGTCTTCCTGTGAATACAGAAAAAAAGAAAGGAAGAGAGAGAGAGACAGAGAGACAAAGAGAGAGAGAGAAATATAGCAATTAAGCAAGTAAACACAGGAAATCAGTTTCACTTCCAAAACAGGATGGGGTAACCCTGGAGAATGACACAAAGGCCTGGCACAGCTCAGCTAGAGGAGAGGCCCTGGAAGGCCTTAGCTACACAATTGAAATATTCCCTGTACGGCATCAGGAATTTCTTTGGTGTGCATGTTTGTTTTAATTATAATTAATGAAACATGGCTGGGGAAAAACAACCACCGCCACCTCCCAGCGCATGAAGAAACACGCATCAGCCACAGGCATCATGTGTCTCAAGCGCCAGTCACTTCAGGACAGATTGTGCTTTTCCCTCCAACTCTGAAGCCTGCCTCTTTACTGAGGTTTGGCCTTTATACAACCCCAGAGAGTAGATGCGAAGCTCTCTCGGCCTGAACTGGTCTCTCATATTATGGGCATTTAGGACTATGCTTCCCTCTAGAGCACATGTGTCAAATACAAGGCCCGTGGGCCAAATCCGTCCTGCCAGGCCTTGCAATGTGGCCCGCACCGCGCTGTCATCACTGCACTCCGCTGCGTTTCCATCACAATGACAGTTTATGACTGTTCAGTAAACCATTCGGCCCGCGATTTAGGTTGGATTTTAGATTTTGGCCCCTTCTCTGATTGAGTTCGACACCCCTACTCTAGAGCACTGATGCAAACCCTTGAACCACAAATCCTTTCCAACACACACATACTGCTAGCGCAAAGCAGGCTGTGTTGTTTTGCCTTTAGATGTGAGGTCTCTGGTTTGCTGCAAATGGGGTCAGTTGTGCTGGTGATCTAAGCCTTGGCTGTTCTCTAGTGATTATCCCCCAAATGAAGCCAGACTTAGCTGGTACAGCTGAGAAAAAGTGTTTCTGGCTCATTCAGGTTTGAAAAGAAGAGTGTGACAAAAGAGATGAGATGGGTGGAGGCACCCCCAATGGGGACTGTGCACTGTCTTGAACTTCAGCTCAGTTCTGTTGCTGATGCAACTGTGGCCACAGCTGCCAAATGCTGCTCCCTCTGCCTGTTAAAGAGCCAGGCAACCCGTCTGATTTACCGAGTAGAGCTCATTCAGGACCTTCATCAAATCATCTTGGAGCTGCTGGCCGACTTCTTTACTCTGCAAGAAAAGAGGAATGAAGGTCAATTGGGAAACAGAAGGAAGAAGGAGGGAGCAACAAAGGCAAGAGCAGCATTGGCTCTACAAATAACGCAGACTCAATTAAGGTCCATTATTTAATCCAGTAAATCAGATAACCACTCCGATCAGATCCAATTATGGTCAGATTACTCAAAGAGTTTTAATAAAATGAAACGTGCCCCTTCTATAGCCTAGCAAAGGCAATCGAGTGAAGGGAACATGGGTTGTAGCCTTTGGTTTTTCAATTGGTCCCCAAAGAACAGGTCTGAAAGCCACATCCTACCTAGCAACTGTTGTTAAGTGGAACAAATTTTCTCGGAGACTTGTAGCCAAGCATTCCTGAGAATTGTGGAGGAAAGTAAGATGTAAAATAGGATGAAATGGGAAGAAGTATATAACCAAGGACTTCAAAGTACCTAACTAAACAGAATCCTTTAAAGAGGAAGGAGTCAGATCTCTTTATTTTATTTTATTTTATTTTATTTTATTTTATTTTATTTTATTTGGAGTTAGACCTCTTACTTGCTCTATCTCTATCTTAAACTTTCAGGGCAGTGGTACCTCAATAAAGACTGATTGTGAGACTGGCTGAACTGTTACTTGATTCTGGTAATATATGTTAAGGGGTTGCCAACTGGGTTATCCCAAGTAGTGGTGGCTCTCAGGTTTTTTTGTTGCTGCCACCCAGAACTGGCATCTAACTACACAGAGAGAATAGTAGAAATAGAGAAGAATGAGGAAACAGAAAGGAAGAGCCACACCTTCTATACTGGTGTTTTATACCAAGCCCAAGAGAGCAGGGGATAAAACTGATTGGCATCACTGGGTCACTGAGAAGGGGAGCAATTGTTTTATCTTCTACCAGCTCCTTCTAGTTCCTTTCTATTAAAAATCAGATATTAACAATACCCTTCTACCAGAAGGAATAACACACCTTGGCACAGCTCAGCTCCCAAGCAAATAAAGAAAGAGGTCTTGCATGTCAGACATATAATCACTTAAGATTTTGTCTTTTTTCAAGATGTAGGACTTTAAGAATATTATTTTTTACTACAAAGAAATGTTTATTGTAATAAATAAAACAATAGAAAACCTCAAAAAAGAAGTAACTCTTAATTTCTACCACTAAGAAATCATTACTTTAGACTGTTACTTATTTTTCTAATCTATAATTTTTGTGAGATCGGGATTATATTATAAAACACTATCATTTATACACTTAAACATGTTGTGAACAATTCCTTACATATTATTATTATGCTATAACATTACAATAGACCATACTGATGTAGCTCCTAATCTTGGGCATTTACATTGTTTATAAATTTTTATGATAAAAAATGCTGCATTAAATTACTTTGCACATAATCTATGTACACACCTTTCATTATTTTCTCCAAGAAGTAGCACTGCTGAGTCAAAGACTATTTATTTATTTATACCATTAAATTGCCCTTGAAAAAAACTGTACCAATTTAAAATACCATTAGAAACATAAGAATGCTATTTCACTTTTTTGTCTTGACCATTTGATGTGGTATCCTGCTGTAATTTGTATTCTAGTGAGCCTGAACTTAAAAAAAGAAAAAATGTGTATCAGTCATTTGCGTTTTTTTATACTTTGCCACTTTTCTGGTATGGAGTTAATTATGGAATATAACACGAGTGACCTTAGTCGAGGGTTGACGTGAATTTTTATATGTGGGGAAGGGTGGAAGAAGCTCTGATTTAGCAATCACAAGTGTCTCACGTTCCCAGATCCTCTACCCTCAAAAAGGGAACTGGATAACTTAGTTAATCTCTCTGGGCCCATGTTTTTATTTCCATAAAATGAAAGTCTTTGGCTTAAAAATTCTTAAGGTCTTTTCCAACCTCTGTCATTTTATGGTTCTTTATTATCTTTTGTCTGACTTCTTAAGTCTGTGTTACATTCAAACACCACCCACTTCAGGTTGGCTTCACTCCATAGAGTGGAAGATAATCAGAAAGTTCTCAGGGATCAAGATGCTCAATAAAATGGATGGCTTCAAAGGTTATCTTTCCAGTCTTAAATTTACCATTCCCAATGCCTCTCACCCATGCCCTCAACCACTGGAAGACGCCACAAGAGAGAATGCCTTTCATCTAGCTCACATACCAGCCTCTCCTTCCCATATGAGGCCAGCTGAGCTCCACTGAAGAGCAGAGGTCCCAGGAGGTGAAGGGAGGCGAAATGACTCACCAACCAGCCCAGAGTCAGCAACAAGGCCAGGAAGTGACCATGATTATCACTTCCAAGTGCCCTGCCCTCCCACCTCCGGACCAACTTCCCCAGCCAGCCTCCCTCCTTCCCTTACCACCTCTTATCTTTAAATAGTAAAGGTTACAGGAGAAAGCTCCCAGTCCTCTACCTTTAAAAAAAAAATTAAATACACTTTTGATTTTTTTTTTACAGAGAGGAAGGGAGAAGGGGAGTTAGAAACATTGATGAGAGAACATTAACCAGCTGCCTCCTGCACACTCCCTACTGGGGATGTGCCTGCAGCCAAGGTACATGCCCTTGACCAGAATCGAACCTGGGACCCTTGAGTCCGCAGGCTGACGTTCTATCCACTGAGCCAAACCGGTTAGGGCCCAGTCCTCTACCTTGTTCCTCACCCATCACTCAAATAACTTAGTGCCCAGAGAAGGAGGATGGGTGGGGAGAAAAAACATAACCAATAAAATAGCAATTAAGCCCAGGCAGATGTTTCCTTTCATGTACTACCCATTAGTTGGAAAAGGACCGACTCACTATTATCCCTGTTTATTTGAATAGTCTGCTGAAGCTATGTGGACTTCAGGCTTCCCTCTGGCTGAGGGCTGGGCTGGGCTGGGGACATACGTGTGTGTGTGTGTGTGTGTGTGTGTGTGTGTGTGTGTGTGTGTCGCTAGCCAGTTCAAGTACCAGATAAAGCTGCCAGCAAGCCCCCAGCAATCGGAGCGATTTTGACCCAGAGAGAGAGGCAGGAAATAGCCTGAGCCTCTCCTTTCACAGATGAAAAAGGCCACCCGTTCTCTGTGCCAGAAACCTTAACTGTGTGCCTTTGGTGGCCGGCATGGCCCCAGCGTCCCCGGGAGGGCTTCCAGGCTGGCTGCTCTGGGGGGATTGGCACTACAAGGGGACCCCACCCAAAAACAAGGGGGACATCTATTCCTGGGAACAGCAAGACCTGAAGAGGCCGAGTCCATGACAATGAAGATTGCAGAGCCTTTCCGCTCTCTATTGAAAAAGCAAGGGTTTCTAGGCAGGGAAGCAAGAGAATTTACAGAGCAGTCTTTGTGTGCTATCGCACAGCCCGCATCTCTTCTTCAAAGTTTCTTGGAAGAGAATGAGTCATCTAAACACTGCAGGAAACCAACTAGAAGTCAAGGGAAAAAATTACTTTGGGTGAAGTTTTTCTCTTAAATGTTTGCATAGTAATTTTTGCTTAAAAAAAAAAAAGCCTAAATTTAGAAAAGAGATGTGACACAACGGACAGAGCCGGCCCTACGGGGCAGGAAGTACAATGGTGTGCTCTGGCGGGGATCTTTTATTTTGAAACTCACCACAACCGTTTGGGCCAGAGCGAGTTTCAGGGCCCCCACGCTGCCTGCTTCTGGGTGGGGCTGATCGGAAGGCGGTGAGGTTGCGACAGCTCCTGCCAGCTGTGCGCTTACAAAACGGGTAGGGAATCCTCCTTTTCCAACAGATAACAGCATTGGACAACAGAACCGAAACACCCAGCCTCATTTCCGCAAGGCTGGCGTGCCAAAGCCTCTCACTCACCAGCAGGAGCAGAAATGGAAGGAGGCATGAGGCTGCATGGTCTGGGCTGCCAGGACACCCGGCTGGTCACTCATCTTTGGGTCAATACATTTCCTGAGCGGGGCTGGGTTTGTCTATTAGCATTTCCCCAAAGAACACTGATGATGAAAAGGTTTTAAAGCCAGTCCTTATCAGGGAAGATACTACAGAGCTGTGTCATTGGGCAGGCACAACATTACTCCCTATTTATGTGAAAGGAAAAAAAGAGGAAGGCATGTCTCGGCCACGTGGTGAGACTAATTTCGGCCGTCCCAAGGCTGAGTCTGTCAGCAGGTAGGAACAGTAGGGTCATTTACTTCTCTGTCGATTAGCCTGTGCCAGCAGTTAAAAAAAAAGAGTTTTCAAGGGCACAGATCTCCTTCCATCAGTGCTAGCACCCCCTATCCAATCCAAAGATACTCTGAGACCAACCGTTTAAAAACACAGAACAGTTTGAAGTTGAATTTGTGTGGATGGATTTCAGAGGAAAGGGACAGGAGCCCGACAGGGACCTCTGGCAGCAGAGGCACCTCCAGATGCAGAGCGACTGCTTCAGAGGCACTCACTCACCTCTTCAAAGAGGCCTCGTTTCCTGAGCTGGAGATTTGCCTGAAATGCTTGGGGTGGGAGGACAAGGCTGAAAGGAGAGGCTGCTTGGCACCAGGGCCGGTGCTAGGTGATGGTGGGCACGGTGTCAGGCTTCTCCGCAGCTTATCAAAGGAGGTGGTGCAGAGTGAGGCTGTGAGGACAGCTCAGAGCCCAGGAAGGATTCCAGGTTTTCCCTGGGCCACACCACCTGTGTATAGGCAGAGGCCTCTATGCAGCCTTCACTTACTGATTAAGCTGCCACATGATGGCTCTCAGGAACCATGCTCCAGTCATGACCTTATACTCTGGGCTGCCCAAAGTAGCATAAAATACAAATCTACTGAATGGCAAATGTTCTATAGAGAGGTAAGCAGTGAGCTGCCACAAGAGGGATGCCTGAAGTGCTTTTACTCTCCGATAATAGAGAAGTATTTCAAAAAAATTCATTTTTAAAACTGTAATCCAGTGTTTACAACTACTTATTATGTGCACTGCATACTGATATTTCTTATTTGTTTCTCTTCTACTTTTTTTGTTAGTCATAACTCAACAAGTTCACTTCACAATTCATTAGTGAGTCGTTATA